AGAGACGCATTGGGAGGAAGAGGCTGTTCTCTGTACGTCAGTTTTCTTCTGCTGCCAGGATCCACTGGGGTCTGAAACCCACTCTTTCTTCCACACTGCTGCACTGGAAGACGAGGTGACTCTGGTGGAAACTGAACCAGAAGACAGAGACGCCACCGGCCGGCTCCCACCCTCCTTGGGGAAGACACGTCACGCCGCTGGCCATCTTGCCTAACTGACTCCGCGAAGCCATCCTAGCAGGAGTAGCCCTGGAGAACACGGCAGGAAGGGCAGGTGCCGAGGGAAATTACCCTGAACGCTTGTTTGCTTATGGCGGGCGTCTATACGCTGCCCTTTCACAACAATCGCACAAAATAGTAGCATCCTCTCTCTCTGTAAGCTGAGGAGATAATGCAGCCATCCCTTGTTAAGGAGAGTTCTGGGACTAATGCAACATTTTTCTGCCTGGAGGATCCCTCATTGCCTTGGAATAAATGTTTCAACCTTTCAGGACACAATACAACTGCCTAAAAGATAGAAAACTGAACTCTCAGTGGATGGGGAAGGAGTGCACAGACCTGCACCGATCCCGGTAGGCCAGAGTTGGTTCCTTGACTTGGGTTTCTGCACCACTGGTGCCGTACTTTGCTACTCGCTTCCAAGTCTTCTGCTGATGCATGATTTCCCTCCTCCCATTCCCTGCTTTTCACAAATGTGGAAGCGATGCCGATGCTCACTTACCTACCTGTCCCTATTTTATGGAATGAGCACATGACTCTGTCTTGGCTCTGCAAGACAAGGCCCCATCGCACCTCGCAGGCAGCTCCTGGACCTGTGATGCTGTTCCGGTGACCCACCCCTTGTAACTCACCCCGGCAGAACAGGAGGAGGTTAAGTGACGTGCCTCCCAAGGGCTGGCCTCCTGCTTCACGCAGACTCCCCTGGGCTCCTGCTCAAATGCCCCGTGACTCTGCTGCTCCTCTTAGGAACCAAATTCCCAATTTGCAGCCAATCTCCTCTGACCAGCATGTTTTTCAGGGAAGCTGGCCATGCTCCATTTCTGCCATCTGCTGGAAGAAGCTCCCAGTGCGCTTCTCCCTTTGGCGAAGAATCCGGGACTTCCACAGAAAACGTCTTTCTGAGCACTGGGAGCAATGTTGCCCATGATGGAAGGCACTCTGCTGTTGCACTGAGGGGGGTTTGCCATCAGCCAAAGGTTCACTCCCCAGTTATTAGCGGGGAGGAATCCAGGCCAAATTCTGTGCGAGCCACCACCTCTCCCCACCTCCCTGGCACCTTCAGGGTCATATTTTGAGCCAGTGGGGTGCAGTTAGTGGGCCCAGAATATGGCCTGAAAGCACATGGGGCATCCATCATGCTGAAGCTAAGCATGTCCAGGGCTGGTCAGAACTTGGAGGGGAGACCCCACGAACCTCATGGAGCCACTTGGAGTTCCACAAGGCGAGAAAGGTGGGATATTGATATAATAAATCAATCATAGATAAATCTCTTGGTTGTCTTGGGGAGAAAGAAATGGCCAGCCTTCATCTGCACAGCGCTGATACTGAGTTTGCCACAGCCTGAAAATTCACCCCCTCACACCACGCCATAAGGATAAAAGGCACCATCCCGCACAGGCAGAGATGGAAGAAAGGCCTTCAACTTCCTAGATGCTCTAGTTAGGGCACCTGTATTCCGTTCAAAGGCCGGTTGGCCAGAGCTCAGTTGGTGGATCCATGACGTAAAGATGGATGGAGAAATGTATTCAGTTTGCATTTTAATGCAAACCTACCTGATTCACACTTTCAAACTGCTTTTCAAACTGAAGCTTGGTCCAGATCCTTGCACTGACCACTTTTGCCACAGAGATCACCAATTTATCTATGCACACCAAACCGTCTGTACTGGAGGAAATCATGTCCATTTGTGTGTTGCGATTGGGAAATGTCTTGCAAAAATAGGTATATTGTGCAGTCCCCCTGCAGTCCCCTACTCTCTGAAATGCAGAGGGTGCTTTCAAAGACACACCCAATCTCATCTTTCACATCATTCTGCTGCCTGGTAAAGATCTTTTAATCCCCCCCCCCCCCCCCCCCGCCAAAAAATCACCCTTGATCTGTTTTATTCATGCTCACATACACTGTAGCTGATTACCGGTATTTGTTACCTTTCCTTCTAATTATGCTATTTATGTGACAGCACCTGTATAGTTCATCAGCACCAGGGGGAGATTTTGATGAGTTCTGCCGAGTTCTGAAGCTTGCAAATGTGCAACCCATCTTAGAAGGCCTAAGAGCCCAGTCTCACGGCCCCTCTGTTTTGTCTTGGGGTCGGGGTTCACATAAGATTATTTGGAGGGCAGTCCTATGGCCTTGGGGAAGCAGCCAGCAAGGTTTCTTTTGTGCTAGTTCTGAAGGGGGGGAGTGTGCGTGCATGTGTATGTGTGTTGGGGGGGGGCTGAGAGTGGATCCCCAAATCCAGTCTTGGGTCTGGGAATCTGCATGGATGGACAGAACTGCTAGTCTCAGTTTCTCTTCATTTCTCCAGCCTTAAGTTTGGCTTCTTCCAAATTTCTGGGTGTTCCTTAGGTTTGGCTCACTAAGACTTTGGAGATTTGCCTTTTCAATTTTGCATGAAAATCCTCAGCAGGAGAATTTCATTTCTGCTTGCACAACCGGCAAAAAAGCCCCCTTTACAACCCTGAATGTGGACACAAGCAGGAGCCCCGTGTTGCCCAAAAGGTGAACAAATGGTTGAGCGTGTGGGCATGTTTGGAAGACACACCGCTCTTTGCCCAACAAGCAGTTGGCAATTGTGCCGTGCGACACTCTCCTCTCTAGAGAGGTGTTGCACAGCTTTTCCCTCTCACTCGTGTTCGATGGGCACAATTCTCCCATCGGCATGAATCGAACGGAAATCACAGCCCACTGGGGCAAATGAGGTGAGAAGGACACCGCGTGGATGTTTAGGGAGCCTAGGCAAGGGCTAACCAGAGAAGCGTCTCTGATGCCGCAGTCCACAGAGAGGTGGGCAAGAATAATTCCTCAGCCGCGCAGGCCCCAGCCCACCAACGGTTTCAAAGGACAAGGGTCAGCGCATCTTTTCGCTAGATCTAGAAATGGCCGGGCAGCCTTTTGCTCAAAATGTCAAGTCCCACTTAGCCCCACTCTGAACTAAATGCTATTTCTAAGCCATCTTTCATTTCTTTCTTTCTTTCTTTTCCTGTCATGTTATTCCATTTCTAAACCGCCCAATAACTGAGGCTCTCTGGGTCATTTACAAAGATGAAAACCTTTAAATGATTTACAAAAATAGAAGGGCTGAATCCCATCTTGGAGAAGTTGCATTCCAGTCAAAAGCAGATCAGGCGGGACTCAAAACACCAGCATGTTTAAGTTTACAGCATTGTTAAACTTACAGCAAGCTCAATGGCATCTCCTCAGTAGCAAAAGGTGCACCAGGAAATTCTCCCATGCAGGCTCTGTCGAAATGGACAGGAAAGAAGCATCCAAATTTTCATTTTGCAGAAATTCTTGTAGCTGCATTCCACAGGTGGGCAGAACTGAAGGCAAAGGGGAAAGAACAAAATTACCAGAACAACTACAACATAATTAAGTGTAATACTCTGATAACAAAGTCATTGGCAAGGTATTTCAGCCTTTCAGAATGGGGGAAAAGCCGGGGCAGACATCAGGTGCTGGGGCCAATCCGGAACGGTCAGAACATGCTTTTTGGATCCTGGCCCTTGTCCTTGGTATATAGCAAGCATATCAGTTCCATCTGCTGGAAGAAACAGATATTCCCCTTCTAAAGTCAAGTATCATTTTATTAGACATAATAATAAATAACAATAATTATAAATAACAATAAAAGTCATATGACAATAAGAATGTCCCACAAACAAACTTTGAAGCACATCTTGTGCACTTTGTATTGCACAATTTATATTTTTTTGAACGGCTTCTGTGATGCTTCAGTCTTGAACTTTGGCAAGCACATTGGCAATTGAGTGGCTTAGAAATGTCACCAATGATGTGACTGAATTCTGTACCAGAAACTCTGCCAAGGAATATGGTAGCGTTATTTAAATATGCGATAATAGCAGCTAGGGTTATAATTGCATCAAAATGGAAAGCAGAAGCCTACCCAACTAGAGAAGATTGGAAAAATAAGCTATTTGGATATGCAGTAATGACAAAACTAACTGTTTACATAAACAGAAGACCTGTTAAATATACTCAATAACAAAAATAGGGCTTGTAAAAATATCATTAGTGGGTTTTAATTTTAATACAAATGCTTTGCAGTCATTTAAAATTAATTTTAAAGGAATGGGAAAAATTTAGTATTAAGGATTACAAGTTAGAACAATTGTTTTATGCATTTCAATTAAGCAGTGATTAATTTAACTGAGTGAAGAAGAGATAACAATTACTGAATTTTTGTGAAATTTTTGAGCTTGATATTATATATAATATTAGTGCAAGATCCCTTGGAATCCTTTCCCTTTTCCTATATTCTACATTTTTATGAAAATAAGAAAGAGACATCATCAATGAATCAAATGCAATAATGCTATTTATTCATTTATGTATTTATTTAAAACTGTGTATATCATCCCATCACAGATGTCTCGGGCGGTTCACAATAACTGTCAAATAATTTTGGGAAGAAGATTCATATGGGCTAGCCCAGATCGAGTGATGTATGCAGAAAGCATTCTATCAATTCCTGGACTAATTATGTAAATACTTGTCCGGTACATTCCCTCTGTCTTCCGCTCCCTGAGCCAGGCCATGTGGTCTCCTACAGTGGACTGTGGGAAAGGCCGGTGCTCTCAGCTGAAAATTCGTCTCTGAGAACCATTTCCCTCTCCGTCCACAAGATGGAACTGGGAGAGAGGAGATCTGATCTGAAGGAGGATTCCTCTCCGAGGAGGCGGAGGAGGTGGGCCTCATGCGTGTCTCTGGAGGCCGGGACTGAGCGCGGGCATTTCGGCAGATCCTCGGAGACCTGTGACCATGACTCTGCTCCTCTCGTCGTTGGCCCTGGTGCTTCTGGACCTGCACCTGTCCATGGGGGCCATGGACTCCTGCTACGACACAGAAGGGCGCCCTCAGCGCTGCATGCCCATCTTTGAGAACACCGCGTTCGGGAGGCCAGCTCAGGTGTCAAACACTTGTGGCTCCCCACCAGAGGATTTCTGCCTCCAGATGGGCACCAGGGACTCCACCTCTCTGTGCCACCGCTGCGACGCCAGCGACGCGGCGCTCCACCACAATGCCACCTACCTGACAGACTTCCACAGCCAGGAGGAACCCACCTGGTGGCAAAGCCAGTCTATGGCCTTCGGGGTTCAGTACCCCAATTCTGTCAACATCACCCTCCGCTTGGGTAAGTGCACTGAGTTCCACTCAGCTGAGTTCCACTCCCTTCAAGAGGGGTTAAGGAAGCTTTGGCAGGAATGAACCAATCTCTGTCTTACTTTGTGCAGCTTTCTTATTTTCTAAGCCCACAGCTGTTTAGACCCCAGTAGGTGAACTTCTTGAGTTCTGAAGCCCTCCTGAAACCCATGTACATTTCTGGGCTCTTTCACACGCATGAAAATTCATGTGCATTTGGATGCCATTTCCCCTACCATATACATTTCTTTGTTAAGTATCCCTTTTTGTATGCTATTTGTATGCTATTTAATGTACGAATTCTATGCACAGTGTCTCATAATGGATACATATTGATGCAGTTTTTGATCAGGGAACTGCATCTCAAAAATCTAACAAGAAAAACAACAATGGATAATTGCATTTGAGCCCATGTATTCATTTAGAAAGTGTGCATTAGACCGGGCCCTCTTAAAATGCAAATGAAATTAATGTCATCACTCACCCCAACATCTCAAAGTTGTTTCCATTTTGTTTTGTTACTTGGAAGGAAGTGTTGCGAGGTCGCTGGAAAGATCACTTTTCTTCAGAAAAGAGAATATGGTTGACTTTTTTAAAAATAAGTCTTCACATGCATGCACAGGTTAAGAAGATGAAATGCAGGCAGACAGATGTTTTCAGGATGAAGATGGCTTGGCCTTTGGTAAAAGGCCTAGCACCAGAGTTTAGTACGCTTGGGCATTTGCTGTGGCCCCAAGACCAGTGTAAGATTCCCTGCCAGCAAGTGAGCATTTCCACAGCCGGTGTGATGGTTTGAGTGTGGGAGATTTGGGTTGTAGTTCCCACTGGACAACTTTGTGCAGTCACTGACTCTCAGGCCAGTGTACCTCACAGGGGTTTTGTGAGAATAAAAGGAGAAGAGAAGCCCCCTGGCGTTCCCTGCAGGAAAAGGGGTGGATGGTAATAAGAATAAACAAAATGCCCACCTTACACATGAAGATCAGCTGCTGACGTAGATAATTCTCGGTTTGTTTGTTGTGCCTCTTCCAAATGAGGGGGGACTTGGTGGGTTCCATGTCGGAGGAGCACTTAATCCTGGAGCCAGATTTATGAGTAACTTTTCAAGTAGGCTGTTGCAGTGCGGACATGTGGCTTCCTTTGCAACCGGCTCTCACCGTGCAGTTAGTTCAGAACGCGACTGCAAGTTTAATATCCAAGACTAGGAATTTTGAGCTTATTAAGCCTGTAATTTGTCCACCGCTTTGTCTTACAGCCTATTTGCAAGCCTTATTTAAAGGGCTGGTTTTAATCTGTAGAAATGGCTTATGAGCAGGTTACTGCGTGGGGGGGCAGGCAGTTAAAACTTGGGCCCGTCATTGTCTCTCAGCCTGAGACCACCTAGGATTGTGATGAGGAAAAATCGGAGGGGCAGTCACAGGAACTTTCCTGATCTGGTTGGAAGAAAGAGATAAATGCAAGAGCCTTGAACTCCTGTTTGCCTCTGTCTAGGAACTGCTTCAGATTCTGCTTTGTATGAGGTATTTGAATGTTGCAAGGATTTTGCAAGGTGCATTTCGCAGAAAACTGAGCAACGGGGCAGCTTAATAAATACAGCAGATAAGACAAAGAGATTGCAATCCTACGCATGTTTAGAAGGAAGAGAAGTCTCACAAGTGGAGGATCCTGCAAGTCTGGGGACTCTTTCCCTTTGTAACATACACAAGAGTGAGCTCTGAAAGACCACGGGAGGCACTGTGCCTGCATATACCGGTTGCTGGCGAACATGGGCATTATGGTGCTGCTCCACTCACATTCTCTTGTGGGCTTCCTGTTGGGACTAAAAGGAGACTATTCAGACCCCTGCTTGGATCACGAACATCTCTTGTTATACATAAATCAACTAGTCCCCCACTGAGAACAAGGCAGGATGATATGATGCCCCATCAGATAATGTCTGTCACTAGCCAAAAAGAAAACAGAAATCCTTAATATATTTCCCCATCCCTTTGGGGTGGTTTCAAACACGATGCATCGCCCTTTTCTTTCCAGAGGTTTCCTAAGTTGCTTTTGTTTTTTTTGCTCCATAAAAGATCCTGGCCCTCGGCCAGCTTTGAACAGTTTCATTACCCTTTTTATCAGCTCCCCTCCTGAGACAGCTCTGGGCACTTACAGGAGAACCGCCACTGGGTGCTCAACAAATAACCCATCACAATCTTGTCCACTTATCCCGAAGATGGGAATTCTCTGGAGGTCTCTGAGTGCAGCCTGCACCATTGACCTTCCCAGTGGATCCAGGTGGTAAAACTGGGAGGAAAAGGGGACAGGAGGTTCAGGCAATGGCCACAGAGTCTCTAGGGAGACGAGGGCTCTCCAGGCCAAGGAAAGTCAGAACAGCCTGTCTCTGAGAGGTTGCCCCTTTCCCAGCCTCCTGTGAATCTGTGGACATCTGTTCCAAATTGAAGGAAGTTTGGATAGGGCTTCCTGCTTAGGATGAAAGGTGACACGGAGAGGGGCTGTAGCTCCCACCCGCCCCCTTCCAGGCTCCGACACCTCCGCTAAACCAGGCATGTGTTGTTTTTTCCCTCTTGGCATTGTCCTGTGTCCTGGGGGAAGGATCTGTTGCTGCCAAAGGAACTTTCTGCACGTCATGATGTGGTAAGACAAGGATCGGGCTTTTTTCTGGTAACCACTGCAAACAGGCAGATCACTGGAACAAAACTCCGCTTTTGTTCATTTCTGAAAGGAGTGCTTGCAGTTTAAGCAACCTCCTCTACGACTGATGCTAAGGTTCAGACCAGTGTGATGAGGCCCATAAGTCTGGCCAGAGACGGGAGACTTTTAATTGGCCTAGAAACTCTCTTCAGCCTAACTTAAGGTGCCTGGAAGCTTCCGCACTTGTAGAACGATGTGCCTCCCATGAAGAGCGGGAGGTGCACAAAGATATTCGTTTTCTCCCCAGTCTTCTGGCCCTGCAGGTTCATTGCCCCTATTTGGGGAACAGGGTTATACCCCATGGATAGTTCTGAAAAGTTCTGCCTCGGGGTGGAATGGACTCCACCACCCCCTTTCAATGGGGGACCAGCATGGGGACACAAAGAACAGGGCAGAATCTACCTCTTCCATTTGCCCTAATCTTGCGCTCAACCCTGCCCGGAAAGTAAGCTGCGCCAAGATCAAGTTTACAAACACCCCAGAATCCCGATGGCTTCTTTGCGCAAAGTCTGCCATGCACCTGATTCTTTACGTGCAGTACGCCAGGCCTCAAGTCGCAGGTGCGGAAGCTCTAACGTGCTTCCTGCCAGATGCCTGACTCCACAAAGGGCAGAGAGGAAGCGGGCCTGGGTCCAGTGGGCCGAGCTGAGGAAGTCCAATGACGTCCCACATGCAAACCAGATGCCTCACACATCGATAGCCAGGCACTCCCCTCCCATCCAGAAGCTGAACCCAGAGTCTCCAGAAGGTATACCCAAAGCTTTCACCACAAGAGTCCGGGAACACTGCGCCAGGAAGGCCATGTACCAACCCCAGAAATCTGGATCGTCTGAGCTCCACAGTACCTGCTCATTTCTGACTCAAGAATCAGAAGTGGGCTGGATTGGGGGATTTCCCTGTGTTTTGTGCATTTTGAAGAAATGCTAATGAAAAGGTGCTCTTGCAGAATTTGCACACATGTGTACAATTTGCACAACTTTGCCATTTGCACGAATCCTTGTGTTTGGGACATTTTGCACGAATTGACACAAGAAATGCAATTTCAGATTTGCACAATTTCTGATTTGTGCAAAAGAGACCATTTTATGTTTTATGGGGGGGGTGAGCATTTTTGGTTGGTGTTTCTCAGTTTTCATATGTCCCTATGGCAACATATGTGGAAAAGTACCGAAAATTAATGGGAAAAGGCTGCACGTCTGCAGAATATGTGCAAATTCTCCAAGAGGGAACCTGGCCCGGTCCTGAAAGGGTTTCCTCATCCCTGGAGGAGAGAAACTCATGGCGGAAAGGTGTGTCTGCAGCCAAAAGCCCAGATAAGAAAAGCCCCTCATTCAATGCAACTTCCCTCTGTCTTCCTTCTCTGCCTCCAGCGGCTCACCACAACATTCCATAATGCAAACCAGATTCTGGCAGATGTTCACCAAAGCTCAGATCCTCACTGGTCACCTTGCCGTTTCCCCCGTCTGGCCACGGCTGGGTCAGGGCACATCGACTGACCTCCAAACAGAGGCATCCTGGATTCCAGAGCCCTGCCAAACAGTTGCAGGGGTCTCCATCCCATTGCCTGCTCTCTGGATATTCACTCTCTGGATATGCTGTAAAACATATGCAGTATTTCCACCGCCTAGCCAGATGGATTTTTTCTTGCTTGTCTCCATCATGGCTGATCCATGACAGATGTTGATGTCTCCCCTTGCGGTAGCTGCTGGAAAACTCTCTCACACACATGCACACCGAATGCTCTCACGGCTCCGTTGCAGACATTATTCATCTGGGTGCAATTAAGCCTTTGTGTTTGGTGTGTGCTTTTCCCCTCTCCACTTAGTCCCAGAATAATCGCCTTTTTCCAACAGTTTGGATTCATTGCCGTTTCAGCCCTCAGATGACATTGCCTAATTGTGTTGTATTTTTCGTCGTAATAGTTTCTGGATGGCAAAAGCAGATTTCTCATTGGATTGCTCCCCTTGTGTCTGACCATTAAATGCGATGAGTTTCATGGTTTAAAAAATCCAAACCATCATCCACTCCAGACAGCTTCTGCTCTTAAGTGTTGAAATGGGCACCACTGCACCCGTTCAGCTGACCAAGGAGGTCCAGCACCGTGCCAGGTAGCTGGTTCTGGCAGCTGCCCTCACCAGTCACCATAATGCCCCAGAGTGATGCTGTGTCAATGGGATTGTGGGAAATTAAAATGGCAGCTCCCATCTGCCTGGCAGCCTCCTCAATAAACAGGCGGATAAATAAAGCAGGGAATGAACCAAGGTGGGTGGGGTGCTGAGCGGGACTTGGCCAGCCAAGGTTCAAGTCCCCACTCAGCCGTGGCATTCCCTCCGTGGCTCTGGGCCAGGTGCTGACTCTCTGCCTAACCTACCTCACAGGGCTGTTGTGAGGATAAACTGGAGAGGAAGAGGCTTATGTCGAGCTTGGGTTCCTTGCAGGACAGGCTAGCTATAAATATATCTAATAAAGCGGTGATAAACGTGTCAGGGCTCAGCTGCAAGAAAGTAAGGTATGCCCTGCTGGATTGGGCCAAGGGACCATCTGATTCAGGGCCACAGGGAGCAGCCAGCTGCCCACAGGAAAGAAACACACATGACCCATGTTCCCCAGCAGCTGGTGACAGCAAGGCTTTTGCATTCCTGCCAGCACCCTAAACAAATTAGGATGTGCGAGCATCTTATAACGTACAACTTAAGAATTCTCTGGAAATTTGTGTGGGACTTTGGCTGGCAATCCTCAGAAGGCAGCATTCCCTAAGGGCCAGGCATTTTTTCTAATGCCATTCTGATTCTAGCCACATTAATTTGTTTGGACTGCCTGTTTAATGTTTTTCCGGCAGAGAACTTCCCTAGAGCAGGACTGCTTGCACTGTTTTCTTTGGATAAAACACATTTGTTTGTTGGTCTAAGGAAGAAGACAGACGAGGAGACATAAACATTCAATTTTAGATCCAAGAGATCGACGGGAAAGGAGATTTGCCTGTTTTTTATTACAAGAGTACAAGATGCTGCCTAAGAAAAGGAAGCTTTTTTAGAAGACCAGAGCAGGAGCTGTAAGTTTCTGTTGTAGTTTGGTGGACTGCTAGTCAAGATTCGTGGCAATCCATTCCATCCTCCTCCCAGTGAAAGTCAGCATTGCTTGACTCTTGGGGAAACTGCATCCAGTGCAAAATGCAGCAGCTATCTTGCTTTCTGCCGGACACTTTTTTGTCCTCTCTTGCAGCGATTGTACCAGCTGCCTATCAGTTTTTTCCCCTACAACTTCCTAAACAGGCTTTTAGGAAGCAGCACATCTGAAAGAAAGGATCCACCGATATGATCATCTTCAGACACCCTTCCGTGTGCCCCCACAACCCCCTCCACCATGAGTATGTCGCTGGGATCCCAGAACGGGGACTACTTAGCGCTGGCACCCTGACCATGAAATTCTGTCCCAGAAGAACCCAAACTAAAAGTCCAATTCCAAATGAAACCATTTTTTTCCATGCAGTCCATAAGGCTTTTTAATATTTACCCATGCAATCCCGCCTGTTCAGACATAAGTAGGACATGGAGAGGCAGTGTGGCACAGTGGTTAAGAGCATGGGACTGGGACTCCAGCGAGCCGGGTTTGAGTCCCTGCTCAGCCATGAAGCCAACTGGGTGACTTTGGGCCAGTCACAGACTCTCAGCCCAACCTACCTCACAGGGTTGTTGTGGGGATAAGATGGAGGAGGAGATGTAAGCTGCCTTGAGCCCTTTGTAGGAAAAAGGCAGGATATAAATTGAAAAATAAATAAATAAATAAATAAAATGGAATAATCAACTCCAGTTGCAACAACCCAGATTCAGGTTGGACATCAGGAAAAGCTTCCTCACTGTCAGAGCCATACGGCAGTGGGACCAGCTGCCTGGAGAGGTGGTGGGCTTTCCCACACTGGAGGGATTCAAAAAGAAACTGGGCAGCCCTCTGAGTGGGATGGTGTCACATGGTGTCCTGCAAGAACAGGGGTTGGACTAGATGGCCTTCATGGCCCCCTCTAATTCTACTACTCTAATATTCTATGACGCTCAAATAAATTCAGCCTATTTCTAGGTAAGCTGGTACAGCGTTGCAGCACAAGGGTACAACTCTATGCCTGTTTGGACAGAAAAACGTCCTACAATTCCCAGTATCCCCCAGCTTGGTACAGGCAGGATTCCTTGAACTACACCCTCTGCACCAACCCCGGGGCTGGTTTTCCATCCTTGGAGCCCAGCTGATGCAGAAAGGACTGTACCAGCTGGGAAGGCAGAGGAGGGCCTATGAGCGCAGCATTTCTGCCCTTCCTCGGAAGGCATTCCCAAGACTGGAGCTGGCCCTCCAACCTGTTCCATGCCCTGCTAAACAAAGTCAGGAGGCGACAGTCACAGAAGATGAAGCTTCTTCCTGGGGATAATGTGCTCACAAGGTCCTTACATCCGAATAGCTCTACTTAAGACTGAGCCACACAAGTATAAAGGGGAGCTCCAAAATTCAAAGAAAAGGTCAAATGGACTAAAAAATTGGGAGCAGGACTGCAGGTGGCACAGTGGGTTAAACCGCTGTGCTGCTGGGCTGGTTGATCGAAAGGTCGCTGGTTCGAGTCTGCACAACGGGGTGAGTTCCCGTTGCTCCGTCCCAGCTCCTGCCCACCTTGCAGTTAGAAAGCATGCAAATGTACGTAGATAAAAAGGTACCACTTTGGTGGGCAGGTAACAGCGTTCCATGCACCTTGGTGTCTAATGCCGGCCACATGACCACAGAGACTGTCTGCGGACAAACGCTGGCTCCCTCGGCAAGGAAACAGAGAGGAGCACCGCCCCCTAGAGTCAGGCGTGACTGGACTTCACATGAAGGGGAAACCTTTACCTTTACCTTATGCAAGGGAGAGAGATTTGTTTGATTCACATGCTGAATTTCACACCAATATGTAAGTTGAAACTCAGTTGTTGTTTTGTGTGCGTGTGTGGTTTTGTTTGTTTTGCCATTGTGCAATGAAATCTGCCAATCCAACCAGTGTCTACATTAGGGGAAGATGGATATATACATGCATACATGGGAGATGAAACTTCAGAAATGCATTATATATAAAAAAAATTGCTCATAAAAAGATGCCTTCATGTTAGACATAGCAACTTGCAAAATGCATGTGGTAAGACAGATGTGCACAAAATGAAGAGGGGTTTCCATGCAAGCTTTCCTCTCGAGTTCTCAATAAACTGAACTGAAGACTGCAAAACTACGAACTGGAAACAACCCAAAATTGACACATTTGCCCATTCTTTCCCTGAATTATGGTAATATTTTTGCACTAGCACGTCAACTGACATGAGGTTGTCCTTTGAAATCTGCACTGACCTTTGCAATGGAGTTTTCCAATAAAACCTAACACTTGTTTTTCAAAAGTCAACATGAATGTTCATACTAGGGAAACACCCAGAAAAAATGCAATATTTCCGTGAAAATTCCATCACAAACTAACCAACATGGCCTTTTTTCTGTTTAAACATGCATAGGATTGGGCCCTTCGTAAGTCAAGTGACCAGCTGTACCATTAAAAAAAAAAAAACTTGCAGGGAAAGATTCCAAACGTGTCTTCCTTTGCTTTCTCTCTTCCTTCTTTAGGAAAATCCTATGAAATCACCTACGTGAGGTTGAAATTTCACACCAGCCGCCCAGAAAGTTTTGCCATCTATAAGCGGAGCCGAGCCGACGGCCCCTGGATCCCATACCAATACTACAGTGCTTCGTGCAGGAAGACCTACGGCAGACCAGAGCGCCAGTTCCTTCGGCCTGGGGAAGATGAACAGGTGGCCTTCTGCACGGATGAGTTCAGTGACATCTCCCCCCTGAGTGGGGGCAACGTGGCCTTCTCCACCCTAGAAGGCCGGCCGAGTGCCTACAGTTTCGACCAGAGCTCTGCTCTCCAGGTACAAGCCTCAGCATGGATGAACGGACACTTAACAGTAGAGGGCCAGGCAGACTCTCTTGGCCTTGCTGGCCCAGCCGCTTCTTGGTGCCCTGGCTTGGGATGGCTATAAATCAGGGCTGCAGAACCTCAGGGCTGGGGACACAATCCAGCCCTCAACGATCCCCAGAGAGCCCGACACGCTTCCCCTTTCCCCCACCAGGAATTGTTTGGTAGTTTCCCAACTCTATTTCTGCTTGCTGTTGTTGTTAGTTGCGAAGTCACGTCCGACCCATCTTGACCCCATGGACAACATTCCTCCAGGCCTTCCCGTCCTCCATCATCCCCCGGAGTCCACTTAAGCTCACGCTGACTGCTTCAGTGACTCCATCCAGCCACCTCCTCCTCTGCCGTCCCCTTCTCCTGTTGCCATCAATTGTTCCCTGCATTAGGCTCTTCTGCAGTGAGTCCTTCCTCCTCAATCGGTGGCCAAAGTATTTGAGTTTCATTTTCAGGATCTGGCCTTCTAAACAGCAGTCAGGGTTGATCTCCTCTAGGACTGACTGGTTTTATTGTCTTGCAGTCCAAGGGACTCGCAGGAGTCTCCTCCAGCACCACTATTCAAAGGCCTCAATCCTTTGGCGCTCAGCCTTCCTTATGGTCCAGCTTTCACAGCCATACATTGCAACTGGGAAAACCATAGCCTTGACTATACGCACTTTTGTCAGCAGGGTGAGGTCTCTGCTTTTTAGTATGCAGTCTAGATTTGCCATAGCTTTCCTCCCCAGGAGCAAGCGTCTTTTAATTTCTTGGCAGCAGTCCCCGTCTGCGGTGATCTTGAAGCCCAGGAAGATAAAATTTGCCACTACCTCCATTTCTTCCCCATCTATTTACCAGAAAGTGATAGGACCGGATGCCATGAGCTCAGTTTTCTTAATGTTGAGTTTCAAGCCAACTTTTGCGCTCTCCTCCTTCACCCGCATCAAGAGGCTCTTTAGTTCCTCTTCACTTTCTGCCACGAGAGTGGTATCATCTGCATACCTGAGGTTGTTGATATTTCTCCCAGCAATCTTAATTCCAACTGGTGATTCATCTAGCCCAGCTTCTTGCATGAAGTGCTCTGCATATAAGTTAAATAGGCAGGGCGACAGTATACAGCCTTGCCGAACTCCTTTCTCAATTTTGAACCAATCAGTGGTTCCGTGTCCAGTTCTCACTGTTGCTTCTTGACCCGCATATAGGTTTCTCAAGAGACAAATAAGATGGTCTGGTACTCCCATCTCCTTAAGAACTTGCCACAATTTGATGTGATCCACACAATCAAAGGCTTTAGCATAGTCAATGAAGCAGAAGTAGATGTTTTTCTGGAACTCCCTAGCTTTCTCCATGATCCAGTGTATGTTGGCAATTTGATCTCTAGTTCCTCTCCCTCTTCGAAATCCTGCCTGTACTTCTGGTAGTTCTCGATCCACATACTGCTGGAGCCTAGCTCGTAGGATTTTGAGCAAAACTGTGCTAGCATGTGAAATGAGTGCAATGGTGTGGTAGTCTGAACATTTTTTGGCATTGCCCTTCTTTGGGATGGGAATGTAAACTGACCTTTTCCAATCCTGTGGCCACTGCTGAGTTTTCCAAATTTGCTGGCATACTGAGTGTAGCACTTTTACTGCATCATCTTTTTGGATTTTGAATAGCTCAGCTGGAATACTCTCGCCTCCACTAGCTTTGTTGTTGCTCAGACTTCCTAAGGCCCATTAGACTTTACATTCCAGGATGTCTGGCTCAAGGTCAGTGACCACTCCTTCGTGGTTATCAGGGACGTTAAGCTCTTTCTTGTATAGTTCCTCTGTGTAATCTTGCCACCTCTTTTTAATCTCTTCTGCCTCTGTTAGGTCCCTGCCATTTTGGTCCTTTATCATGCCCATCTTTGCATGAAACATTCCCTTCATATCTCCAATTTTCTTGAAGAGATCTCTGGTCCTCCCTATTCTATTGTTTTCTTCTATTTCTTCGCACTGTTCATTTAAGAAGGCATTCTTATCTCTTCTAGCTATTCTCTGGAATTCTGCATTCAGTTGGGTGTATCTTTCCTTTTCTCCCTTGCCTTTTGCGTTCCTTCGTTCCTCAGCCATTTGTAAAGCTTCCTCAGACAGCTATTTTGCTTTCTTGCATTTCTTTTTCTTTGGGATGGTTTTCATTGCTACCTCTTGTACAATGTTGCGAACCTCCATACATAGTTCTTCAGGCACTCTGCCTATCAGCTCTAATTCCTTAAATCTATTTGTCTGTTAGGTGCCGAAAAATCTTTTCCGGTCATGTATGGTGATCTAATGAACAGGAGCTTTCCCAGATTTCCTGACAGCCCTGCTCAACTCTTGCAAACTCAAGTCTGTGGCTTCCTTCATAAAATTGATCCTTCTCATCTTTGGGCTTGAGTTTTCCCTACCATAATTGTATTCTCCAGGGAGTCTTGCCTTCTCAAAAAGACCTTTCCAACTTTGGCACAGTTTTTCCCCATTCTAGAAGGTTGAAGCACTCATCTTGGATAGACTGACTGCAGTAAGAGCTCAAGGTAAATTATGCCATTTTTTTGGTGCCATCACCAGAATGCCGCCTCCTGAGAGCTGCTCCAACATGGAATTCAACCCAAGAACGGAAAGAGGCTCATCACCTGTGCTTTAACTCCTTCCAGGTCAGGTGTGGCGCTTTCACCTGGCAAGCTCTTATGCTTTTACATCCCACTTTTTCCCCCTGCCGAGGAGGCAGGGTGGTTCCCATAGTCCTTGCAATAGCTCACTTAGCCCCACCTCTTCACTGCCCAGCAACGTTCTTCTCCCTCTGCAGGAATGGGTGACCAGCACGGATCTTCTCATCTCTCTGAACCGGCTCAACACTTTTGGGGATGACATCTTCAAGGACCCCCATGTTCTGCAGTCGTACTACTATGCCATCTCGGACTTCTCTGTGGGGGGCAGGTAAGAAACTCGTGAGGGCGAGCACAAGGAAGGGAGGACAGTGCCAAAGTTTGGGGGGAGTCATCCCCTGGAGCAAGAGGAAGCGTGGGTGGGGTTCCAGCTCTGTCGGGGCTTGTGCCAGGGCGTAGGCATTCCGGGGTGCTGGGCAATCCCCCCATCCCAATGAGGAGCCTATCACCAACCCTGGAACTGCCCGCCTCTGCTGCCACCCCTGCTGCTGCTTTTCCACCTGCTTTGCTCGAGCATCTGCCATGGCTTCTCCAGCAGCAGGCTGTGAGCAAGCAGTGCCAGTGGAGGAAAAATGGTGACGTTGTTGGAGGGCCCTGGGAGCCTCTGGGGCTAAAGAAGGCAAGAAAGGACATCCCACTGCATGGGTAGCAGGACTCGGAAGAGCAGCCATGGACCGCACGCTTCCCTCCCCCGTGTCAGAGCCTTCACCCAGCCAAAGCTCTGCATGGGGTGAAGGTCAAACGCAACGACAGAAGGGGCTCTGCCTCCCGTTCGCCCCTTTCCACGAATAAGACCTTGGCAGGCCTCCCAGCCAGTTGAGCTTCCTTACTCTGGATGACCTGCATCGGGGACAGCAGCCTCAGAAAGGAAGCTGCAATGGATATTTCCACCATGGCTGCAAAGGGTGAGGGAATCACCGCTCAGGTGTTTTTCCCCAAGGTCTGCACCATTTCTGGCAGCAGGTTCTGCTGGTGCTCTGTGCTGCCGCTTGCTTTGCAGGGCCCTGTCGTGGATCAGTTCTTCAGTGCGCCTCTAGATAAATCTGGTAAGCGACACGGGCAGGGATCAGCACCATAGACAGCTCTAAGGGGTGCTGTGGCTGGACGCCTGACAGGGTGAGCTCTATCTTGCTCCAACCAGGAGCAGCAAAACTGAGACTTAAACAGGAGTGTAGGCCCCTTTAGGGTGTTGGCCCCACCTCCGTAATTACTGGCGCAGGTTCTCTTAAAGCGCCCTGGCCTGCTTTAGCCAACTCATGCTGTAGCAAGGTGGGGACGGCTGGGCAAGTTACAACCCGCCGAGTGTGGCCCTGGGGAAGGAGTCCAACTTATCCTACAGTCCCTGGAATGTGCCCTGTTTTAAATAAAATGAAATCTTACAAATGCTGCTGAGGATATGGGTGACACTTCTCCATGATCAGAGTTTAGTTCGGTACACCAATGTGAATATAAAGCCCTTCCAGTGATACAAATATGAGCATTTCTTTATCTCTGGACTTCATCATCCCTGACTGGGGAGATAAGGTATAGTTAACATACAATTAACCTACCGTAAAAGTACAGTTAAATTATAGGGTGTACTTATAGTACAATTAAAGTTTAGAAGAATCTAAGTCAGGGTAATAAAATACAATCAGATATATCTAGAAGGAAGAAGCATACGTTTTCACCATCTAACAGAAGGCACTATACTGTGGTCATTAGACGCACTCTAGACACCCTAGGATTGGTTGCAGTCCCAGCTCCAACCTGAGAAATGCTTTCCAACACTTCCTCTTCTTTAAACAGAGATCAGCTCAGGCAGAACTTCTCCTCTCTTCCCGCCATCCAGTTCTCTTCCCCACCAAGGAACAAAGGGAAAAAATACCTGGTGTAACATGATATCCTGAAACAGTGGGGGGTTGGACTCGATGGCCTTCGTGGCCCCTTCCAACTCTTCTATTCTGGAATTCTATGATTCTTCATGATCTCCAGCATTTCTACTTTTTTTACAGCTAGACACCCCTGTGGGAGCTTTGTTTGGTGTTGCAAATGAAGTAAGAAGCGTAGCCTTCTCCCAGTGGAGAAACAAGGGGGTGGGAAGCTATTTCCTGGTTGCTTAATCCCAAATGTCTTGCTTTCCCATTTTGCTTTTGATCCTCTGCAAGTTAACTACAGGGCTGAAGTCAGTTTTATCTTTTTCCTCATTCTGAGAATAAATCGGCAGCTCTTTCTTTCCCAAACATGAGGAATTCAGTGAATTCTTATCAAAAATGTACTGAACCCCAGTTCTCATGCACCTGTGTAACTTTGCTCAACTGGGGCACAATTAGCATAATTTGCACAAATTGGAAGTCAGACAGTATACATTCTACAGCGATTTGCATTACTACTAAACTGAATTCAAAAAGTTTCATGGTTGCTGGCTTGAAAAAGGCTGATCTAAGGACTCAAAGACCTTGATCTGAATGGACATATTTGTTTTTCTTTCTTCCATGATAGATCTTCTAAACTCTCTAATTCTTTTTTCCCCAAGTGCAGAAAACTTTGTGAATTATAGCCAATCCTACCCAAAGCTGAAGTGAAACATAATAAGCTCCCATCTCAAATGGAACAATGCACCAAATAAAAGGAGGATGGGAAGGGTATCAGTAAAGACACCCAATCAGCACCACACTGAATGCATCCATCTCTCCTGCTCCAGATGGCTGCAGCTTGTTCTCTTCCAAGCAGGCCACCCTCAGAGGCAGTGACGTCACAGCTGCCCCACGCAGGGAGCTCTGGGTCGAGGGGTCAGGGTGACTTCCATAGAAGGATGGACAAAACTGCCATGCAGCTTGATATACATTCCACCTCTCCAACTTTCCTTCCCACGTGTTCCCTTTTATCTCGTTTTCCACATCCGCTCATTTTGGATGGGGGAGGTGTAAAATAACATCTCACCGCAGCAAAATCCAGTGCTCCCTAACCTGTTCTCTCTCCTTCTCCCCCCACGTGGAAACGGGACCTTGGAATGCTGGGAGATGTTGTCCTAAACATCTGGATGGTGTCAAACTGGAGAAGGTTTTTTGGCTATAGATGCTTCAGGGCACAGCTCCCAGCAAGGTGGCCGTTGCCTCCGCTGGCCAGGCTGATGGCATTGCAGTCCGGAACATCTGGAGGGCACCAGATTGATGAAAACCGGCATAACGGATACACTTGCTTCACCCCCTCATCCACAGAGCAGTGGGTTAAAGAACACACAAAGACAATCATCCTGACCAAAGCAACCTCTGAAGAGACGGCTGTAGCCCAACACACATTTTTCCATTTAGGTTACGGATGCAAGTTTTGTTTGTTTGTTTATTTATTTATTTGGAGTTTTTATATGCCGTCCCAGTCGCATAAGCCTTGGGACAGCTTCCAACATAATAAATAATCATGCATATAAAATATAAAATATAAAAGTTTGCATTGCCTTGCATCCGGTCATACCAATATCAATTCCAAAACCTATCCATGGGCACAGGAAGCTGTCTTGCCCTCAGCCAGACCCACGGTCCTTCTCAGCTTTATCCTGCCTGCACTCAGGGTGCAGAACCTCAGGATCAGGGGCCAAATCCAGGCTCCCCAGTCCAGCCCTCAGATGCTCCCCAGATGGCCAAACCCCCTTCCCCCAACCACCCATCTTTTTCTGGTTTCAGGAGTTGCTGCAATTCTCTCCCCACCCATTCTAAATCAATTGAGATTGCTGAATTACTGTCGGAGAGAAGGTTACATTCAAACAGCCCTGCTCTTTTTGGCATTTCACCGTCGCCATGTTGCTTCAGGCCCTCACACCGCTGCCGTGTGGCCCCGGAGAGCTTCTCCGGAAGGGCACCAAGCCCAAGGACCAAAAGAAGCTCTGATCTACCATAGTAGAAACCCCACATGGATTGGTAGCACTTCCCCAGGATTTTAGCCACCAGCTTTCTGTCACCCCACCTGGAGATCCCCAGGGCCTGAACCTGAGAACGTTAACCATGTAAAGCAGACTTTCTCCCACTAAGTTACACCCCCCCCCCCCCAGTGCTTGAACTTAGTGGCAGCAGTAATAAGACAATACAAGACTGAGAGCCGCCGCCCCGCTTTAGAGGGGTCCTGCTTTATAGGACAAGCTCCACAACTGAAAGAGTGGGTCTTAACCTCTTGGTGGCTCTCCCAGGTGCAAGTGTAATGGCCACGCCAGCGAATGCATCCCAAATGAAGACGATCAGCTGGTGTGTCTCTGCCAACACAACACCACCGGGGCAGACTGCGACTCCTGCCAGCCATTCTATCAGGACCGCCCCTGGGCTCGAGGCACTGCCGAGTCGGCCAACGAGTGCCTCCGTAAGTAACACCTTCACTGGGTTCCGACAAAACAGTAGGGTTGAGCATGGGTTGTCATTGACCCATGAAACATGGGTTGTTGCACTGTCTGAACTCAGCCAAGATCATCATGGACAACAATCCACAGGTCACAGTCCAGCAACAAACCTCTTCATGGGTTGCTTGTGATTCACAAGCCGTGGCTTCTTGGCACAGCTGGGTTCAGACTTCAGATTACCCATGGTTCAGCCACAACCCACAGTTCAACAACCCACACTCAACGCATACTCAGTCCTTGATTGTGTGTTTGAACATTGCAACAGCATCACCGGCATCCCCTCGAAAAGAGAGCCCTTATAAAATCATTCTGTGATTGGTAATAAGAACTGTCCATCACATGACTAGCCCTCCCCACCTCCCATGCCCTTTCTGCCTGATATTTCTCATTTATGGAGGGTTGAGGGGTGCTAAATAGGTCACAAATGCACCCCTACAAGTCTTCCAAGGCTCCAAAGCAGTTCCAAATTTTCACAGCAGCCCACTAAGGTGGTCCAAATATCAGAGATATGGGGTGGGGGGGTCCTTGCCTCTGAGGCATGATTCAATAGAGTGAATGCAGATTCTCAGTTGTTGCACCTGCAACACCATCTCCGAACGCCCAAACCGAATAACAATCTGCTGAATGAGACCGAAGACGGCCAGGGGTGGCCTCCTCTCTGACATCTTTTCTTCTGAGCTGTATCACAGGTATCCACGGTGCCAACCTCCCACCCCAAAACCCATTAACCACCATGGATTGCTTCTATAAAGCTTGAAAGAAACGCTGCAACGGACAAGTGCCCCGCAGACACACCTCTGGCAGAGAGATCAATCCCGTTCCAAATTCAGGAAGGAATTCTTGGGAAATAACATCATCACCCTGTTGGCTTCCTTTACATTTTGCTCACTGGCGCCTCAATTTATCTAGGGCTTCAGGGTGTGCTCTTAGCCTGCAGGACACCGAGATAGGTCCCTGCCCCACGGAGATTGCAATCTGATGTCAGGCAGCAAGTGGCTTGGCCCATCCACGACACATACTGCTGTTGACCTTGCCCTCCATGCTCTCTACCCAGCGTGCAACTGCAGCGGCCGCTCAGAGGAGTGCCACTACGACTGGGAGCTGTACCGGCGCACGGGGCACGGCGGCCACTGCCGGAACTGCCGGGATCACACAGCTGGGCCGCACTGCGAGCGCTGCCGCCAGAACTACTACCGCTGGGATGTCCGGACAGCCTGCCAGCCGTGCAACTGCAACCCGGCAGGTGGGCTGCCTTTGAAGCCTCCGCAAAGCGTCAGCCACTGTCATGGGGTGGGCTGCAGCTCTCCCGCTTTGCCTGGAGAAGGTCCCTGCCCGATCCCCTGCAGCTCCGACTATCTCTGGGAAAACTGTGCCTGAAAAAGCAGAGAGCTCTGGGGGTTGTTGCCAGCAAACCTGCTCCAGGTGGGCCGGACTTGGCCAAGGATAGCTTCCCATGCTCCTAAGCGCCTGTCCTGAGGATTCATACCAGCTGGAGCTACCTCTCTCTCCTGCCTTTGCTCTCCTGCTTTTCCTGCAGCACATTGGTGAGTTCCTTGCAGAATATAAGTTACTCCCCTAGACTCATGAGCAGGGACTTATTTATGAAAAGCTTTTCTATCCCATCCCCGACAAACCTCTCGGGATGGCCTACTTGTCTTCAGTGACAGGCAGGGCAGCCTCCAACAGCAGGATCTCTTGGCCAATCACAACTTGCTGGACCCCACCCTGCAGGTTTCGTCTGCCCCTCCTGGGACCCCAGCAAAGCCACAGCCACTCCCCCCCCTTCCCTCTGCCACTCGTTGACAGATGGTTTCCCAGCTTCTCGGCCTCACACACATGCCTATTCTGAAGGTGCAAATGCCTCTCCTAAGGCTTAGGTATGGCAATGAGGGGGTTAAGCTACCACATGCTGGCAGGTTGGGAGGTCTGCCCCCCCCCTTTCCTTTGGCCACGGCCCTTTCCCTGCAGCCACACCCCTTTTCCTTTTGGCCACGCCCCTCTGGAATGGGGCCTCCAGCATCTGCTCCAAAAGTGGGAGTCACCCCTCATCCTGAGAGAGGCTCTGCCCCGCTATTGTCACCTGAGTCTGGCGCGCTTCTGCGGGCATTGCAAGGGGAGAGCCCCCCCTTGGCCTTCCGCCCAGGCAGCCCCTTTCACCACCAGCTTCTGCCTCCTCAGGTTCCTTGAACCCCCAGTGTGACAGCACCGGGACGTGCGCGTGCAAAGCCACAGTGACGGGGTGGAAGTGCGAGCGCTGCCAAGACGGATTCCACTCCTTCAGCGAGGGCGGCTGCAGGTGAGAGGACGGTGGGGCACGAGGAGAGCTGGTGGTCTGAAGAGGCCTCCTGCTGCCCTGGCTCTGTAGCTCAGGCAGCCTGAGCAGAGCTGGCCTGAAGAGGAGGCACGATAATCCAGGGCCTGCAGCCCAGCAGCCTCCTCTGAGACGTGCTCTCCTCTCCCCCAGGGCAGCCTGCTCATTCCCACACCTCTTGCTCTTGCTGCTGGCCCAGAAGGGAGGAGGCCAGATGGCCTTCTTGCTCCCAGGTTCTCTAGCCATGATGCAAGCAAGCAATGGCACTCATGAGAACGAGCTTGAGCAGCTGGTGCGCAGGTCCGCTCACCGGTGGAGGGTCCCTTGTCCAAGGGCTGTCCAAAACCTGGAGCCAGGGCTGGTTACTATTTTAAAAAGTCTTTTGGGAAATTGTGCCTCAGTTCCAATGACAACACACTGGTTGCTTGCCTCCGACTTCTCTTCCGCAGACCTTGTGCTTGCGATCCAGCTGGCAGTGTGGGAACGTGTGACCCTAATACAGGGCACTGCGCATGCAAAGAGAAGGTGGAAGGATACCTGTGTAACAGGTGGGTGGAACGCCTGTGCAGGATTTGCCCGGGGCATGGCAGCCAGGAGCTTGCTTTGCACTTTAAGCTCCTTGTGGCAGGGGATTTTTGTCCTCTTCTGAATTTAGCTGAGGCTCCTGGGACAGCTAGTAGCATTTGACAGGAGGCAGATTAAGGCAGGAGGAGGTGTGACTAGGTAGGGTCACTTTAAGCTGAAACAACCTGGTCAGGACCTTGGATAGCTCCCAGTTAACTGGAAATCTCCCACTGGGACAATAGGAGGGTGTTGTCTCAGCAGCAAGCTAGAGCCAAACTTTCCTAGGTATTATCCAAACAAATTAAAAAGCTTGACTCTGACCCTGAGAAGCAGCTAGACCTCTAGCGCAAGCATTGGTGGGGTCAGTGGTGCAAGACACAGAGTTGAAATTCCAGCACCATCACAAAGAATTTGAGCCCATCAGCATGAACCACACACCTCCAAGCCAAATCCTCGCAAGAGACCACACACCCTGAGCCGGACTCCCGTGGAGAACCGGCCCTCTTTGTACCACAGACCTTATGCTCCTTGGTGCCTGCCCAGCACCGCAATGCACAAGGCGGGACCGACTGAGAAGTGGTAGGAGAATGAGTCTTCACTCCACTTTAAGCGTCTCGACTCTTCAGGAAGAGAAAGGAGCTGGGCAGGAACAGACTGGCCCCAAAAGGATAAAAGTCTCAGTGCTTGTGATGTGGAGCAGCATCCCAAAATCTTGTCCTCAGCAATTACCAGCATAACTCATTTCATGGGAGCAACATGCAGCTGGTATAAACTGTTGGACTCTTTGTAGGGGAGAAGAAGGAGCGGATATAAATATAATATTTTTGAACAGTAGATTCTAAATAAAACCAGACTTTTGCATGAGGCCACCTGAGAACCTTTTCTTGTTCAGGTGCCAACCTGGCAGCTTCAACCTGCAGCTCCACCACCCCTCAGGCTGCACCAGCTGCTTCTGCTACGGCCATTCCAGAGCATGCACAGCAGCTACAGGATATGGGGTCCATGAGATCATCTCCGACTTCAGTCAAGGTAGCTGGGAAAGACTTTACTTGATCTCTTCACTCAGGATGTGGAGGAATTTGGTTGCTGATCATGAACAATAGAAAGAGAGTGAGTCAGAAGGATCCTCCCGGGCCATCTAGCCTGGCCCCCAGCTCCGCTCATGACATGCCCTCCATGAGCATGTCCACCCCCTCATGTGCCCAAAACATACAAATATGTCCCCTTTGCAATCCTAAATGCAAAAATCCTCAAGATGTCTTTGTTATGCATTCACAAAAGCACAGTTCCAAAAATGTGCCTCCCCACTAAAAAGCAGCAGCTTCATGCCTTAGCCTATGGGAGGAAATGCACATTTTTCCTGGTGAGAAGCTAAAAGAGAACGCCAAGGGAGGTGAACTGCACTCCAAGGGAGCCTTCAGTGGCTCAGGGAAGTCACTCATATCAATGCTGCAAAGTGAAATTTTTTTCTGTGATGAAGCAGCACTGCTCCCACTGGGCATTTCACTGTGGCAAGTGGGTTGTCCGGGACATCTAAAAGGTGCCTGGTTGAAGAATCTATCCTGCAGAGAAACCAGGGAGAAGAGGCAGCTGTGCTCATCTGCCTTTGAAATTTAATTCTTCGCTCTGGAGCAGACATTCTGTTGGTCCAGTTGGGAAAGCGAGAAATCACAGCTGGTGGCCCCATGTGAATTTGTTAGGGAGAGAAGCTTTTGCTCTCACACTCTCCTCCAGTCCCACCCTGGGCTTGCAGTTTTTCTGCCCCTGGGCCAAGACCGTTTTGCAAACCTAGCTTGGAGCTGTTGGGCAGCCAGGAATCCAACAGGGCTGGGACAGCAGCTGTGAAATCTCTCCCTCTGCAGAGAGGTCCCAGAAAGACACTACACAACCCATCCGCCTCACATGCACGCCAGCAGGCCAGGACACCCATGTTAAAATTATTCCCTGAGTGGCCGTTTGAATTTCTCACAGGTTAAGGCAATGGTCCAATCCTGACACAACAGGGTGTGTGCTTTGTGAAAATGTAGGGATGAGTCAAAGCACCATCTTAATAAAATCTGCAGTGACTGCATTTAAAAAATAATGGGAATTGTCACAATTTTAATGCGTTCACTGGCATTGCATCGGAGCTGGCCTTTATTTTGTGTAATTGCTTAGCTTGTGAAATGACTTCAGCCTGGCCACTTAAGGGCAAAATTTTACTGTGTTTGGATAATTGTGGTGTCTTTGCGTCCCATTCTGAGATGTAGTTAAAGGTACAATTTCATCAGTTCTCCATGAGGTTCGATTCACACCACTGGCTCATCTCACTGGGCTGTGGAGGAATAGTGGTTTAGTGATTCTTCCGCTGGAGAATCGGGGGAAAGGCAGTCAGATGCTGTTCTCTCTACCAAGCAAATGCATTGCTAATGACGCTTTCAAGTTCTACTGTGGTTGATAGCTAGTTTCCATGTGAACACATCTGGATCTTTGAGAATATTCATTGCTGCAAAATATTTTGTCCTATTCTTTAGCCAAATAGAGGGGAATAAAGGCTTCCATTGTGGATTACAACCAATCAGTAAACAAAACCATCCCTAACCTGAGGCTTACAATTTTAAAAATGACAGCTGAGGAAAGGGAATGGGGAGGGAAGAGGAAAAAGCACGTCGATTCCAAGAAGGGACAGTGCTAAAAGTAAGGACAGCCCTTCTGGATCAGGCCCTGCTGTTTCTCCCTTGCTCCAGTGTCTTTCTCCCAGGGCTCTTGGAACCAATTCTCTGGGGGGGCGGGGGGCAGTTTGAAGCTGGAAGGGCACTGCCACAAAAGGGCTGATCCCATTGCCTCCTAACCCGGCCAATGAGGTCCTCTTGCTCCAGCAACTCATCTCTCCCCGCTTCAGAATCACCACCTCAGACTCATTCACATGCACACCACACCCGAAACACACACAGACCCACAACTCCCCTCCCCTTTGCTCAGTGCAGACCACATTTCGCATCAGCCCACCCCCAACCTTCCCACCCATGGCCAGCCCCCCTCTTTCCCCCTCCCACCCTGGGTGTGCCAGGGAGCAAAACCCCACTGCTGGCTGCTTGCTCACGTGTTCTCTCTCTCTCTCTCTCTCTCTCTCTCTCTCTCTCTCTCTCTCTCTCTCTCTCTCTCTCTCGCCCTCTGTGCCTTTGCACAAAACCATGTGAACCAGGACTTAATGGCTGGAGAGCGGAAGCTGCTGATGGAAAAGCAGTCACTCTGCACTGGGCCAGAGGAGAGATCGCCCTGGAGCAAGATGCAGAGGGAACAGCAGACTTTTTAGCCCCAGGTATGGCATGCCTGCAAACAGGAAGGGTCTCATTTCTTCCCAAAGATGACTTTGTAGATTGCTGTTGAGTACACCCACCTCTGTGGACAGGCGACTTTTGTCCTTGCAGTTCGTGGCATTTTGTGGGAATGGGGAGGAACTTTACTTGTGAGTCATGTCACCAAGTCCTCTCAGCTGTGCACGCAACCCAGGCCCCATCTGCTTCTATTTTCCTGATGTGCAAGTCAGGAACAAATCTGTCTGCCCCATAAAAAGAGAGGCTCACTGCTACATTTTAAACTTTAAACTGACTTTGCAAGTCGGGGGCCCCACCCTTGACGCACTGAAGCCCCGACCTCAGGGGTCCCACTCATCCCGTGCCCAGACAAGGTGCCTCGGCAGCCCAACCTGCCCCACTGCTGCACCCTTGCCCAGCTTATTTTTCTAGACAGCCGTTTGTGGCCAACTAAATAAAGCATGGCGAGGGAGAGGAAATGGGGTTGGGAGGCAGACAGGAAGCAGTGTAAACACCCACCCTGGGCCTTCATCCCCCCACCCCCCAGCATACCCCTTCCGCTCCCCTGCAAGGTGCATTTCGGACCTCCGAGAGGCAGCTGGTGCAGCGCTTTCCACACCGGCTACAAGGGGCTTGGCCTTCGGAGTCCTGGCTGCAGGACAGGCTGAGCTGCAGATGAACTTCTGCCTGCTGCCCAGGGCAACTTCAGGAGGCCACGGCATTGCCCCCGCCCCCAAGGGGATAAATCACTGTCCCCATCACCTACCACTTCCCAGGATGACTCCTCACACACCCTGAATGGTGGGCTCCCAGCTTTCGCCCAAAGGGGCATCCCCGACGGCAGCACTGTGCCCACTTCCCACCAAGACTGGGAGGAGGTGGCCCAGTGTCCTAGTTTACACATGCCAATCGCCTTTTGGAAGGACTGTCCAGCCCAGATAAACAGGTTCCAAGGTAAGTGGAGGACTCACCGTCAGCCTGCCACACCTGGCCATCCCACAGTCGGAGCAGCAAACCCACAAGCTCCCACTCGGTCCTCTCACACCCCTGTGAGATGGATTCTGTTTTCGTTAAAATTGTATCAGACATTCTTTACAGCACAGCTATGAAAGCGCATGCATTACCATAAGCTGCCTTTACGCAAAACAACTGGGCCCCGTTATTTATTTCTTGTATTTATATCCCTTTCAAAGAACTCAAGACAGCTCACATAATTGGCTTCTCTTTTCCAAGGGTCAAGGATGCTGATCTCCATAGCCAAATCTGGGGAGGCAAGGAAAGCCACTGTTGGAGCTTCTCGGAGTATTCAGCCTGGAAGCAGGCTCGCCCTCTTCTGTAACTCCTGGAAAGCTCAAAATAAAAGCTGGAATGGATGAAGAGCTGCACTGACTTAGGAGTCACTAGCCTCCCCCTGCAAAGAGTTCACACTAGGCCAGCTTGCACAACCTTACCCTTTCCCAGTGATTAGGTGGAACTGGCCCACTTAAGCCCCCAGCCTCCTGAAAATATCACCAGGGGCTCACTTTTCTGTTTCCTCTTCTCCCTCCTGACTCAGAGATGTTTCTGCATGACCAGCGCCTCAGCTACGGACAGCTCCTCTCCGTGATTGTCCGCACGGAACCCACAGTGGCAGACACACCTGCTCATCCCATCTGGCTGGTTTTGGAGGGGGGCGGCCTTTCCATGTCTGCAAAGTTCCTGAACTCAGGAGGGGACAGAAATGGCAGCAACTGTGAAGAACACACAATGTCATTCAGGTGTGTGTCTTTCTACCAGTCACACGGAGGTGGGCAGAGACCTGTTCTCCCCTGCAGAGGAAGGCAGGACGCGCTCCAACGGAGCCAAGCTCAGGGAACCCAGGTTTCGTTTGGATGCCAGGAAGCACTTCCTGACAGTTGGGACCCCGAGGGTGTGGAATGGGCTTCCAGGGGAGGTGGTTGAGGCCCCATCGGTGCGGGTGTTCAAGGATAGGCTGGACATCCATATGGTGGGCATGTCGTGAGCAGAGCCGGCTTGTGCCGGAGGTCAGACTAGATGGCCCGGGAGGCCCCTTCTTACTCGCTCTGTTTCTATGTTTCTCCAGCTGTCCCTATGATGAATTGAGCCTTTTGGCTTCACAGCCCTATGAAAAGCACTGCCCCATCATGGGAACACTGCCAGTGGGGGGAGACCACCCACTTCTCCTTCCAGAACCAACCCACATGGGACAGCACCGAGGCCTTTGGAATTAAGCAAAGGCACCAAGGCACTTAAAACTCACAAAGTTCAAGACTCGGCCACTTGGGACCCTCAGAGCCCCATGCCCAGACCACTGTATGGGGCTACCAGCCACCAGTCCCATGTGACCAGCAAGGGCTCTAGGAGTGCACCAAGACTGGTACCAGTGGGGCACCTCGGGGGCACATCCTGACACTGGTGCAAAGCTTCCTTGGGAGTTCTACTGTATCAAACCAGGCGCTCGCTCTGTGCAGCATGGATATAGCCAGCACAATCATTGAGTGAGGAGGGCCAGTTAAAGAATTCGACACACAGGGCTCTTCAATGCACTTCAGGGCGGCTCAATTAACTCTGGCCACTGTTGGCTGACACCAGGGAGATCCGTCTAATGGTGGGTGGTGTAAATAGCCCCCCAAAGGGTCAGGGGCTGAGATCTGGAAAGGAAGCAAGCAGAGGGCAGATGACACACATTTAATTAGGTGGGTAAACCTCTGTGGATGCTTTGGCCTGGTTCTTTGTCTGTTTCCCATTCTGGGCTGTCCTCTCACAGGCTTCACGAGGCAGAGGAAGGGATACAGCCTATGCTGTCAGCTTTCCAGTTCCAGCGCCTGCTCTCCAACACGACGGTGCTTCGGATCCGGGTTGAAGGTGGGTGCAGAGCATGTAAGTCTTCCAAGAAGACGGGGAGGAAATGGGGCGTTTGATGCCAGCTCACATGCAGGTGATGGAGCAAACCTGCCCCCAGTTGCACGAGAGGGCAGACTCGAACTGGTGGGTACAAGTACAGGGATGCTTCCTACATGTCCCTTTCCCACCCACAAGCAGCAGCTACTACAGAAAAAAACTCACGAGAGTCCCAGAGCTTATTCATTTCCTTTTCTGCAACGGTGCCGCTCTTCGGCTTGAAACAGGGCTTCCCCTCGCTGGCAGATTTTCCAGAGCCGCCCAGAAAGCTTCAGCTGTGAAGCAGACCTGAGCCTATGAAAGGCTCAGACCTTGGCTGAAGCATGTCTCTGGGCATCTGGCCAGAGGAGAGAGTACCCATAGTTCAGCCACGTGGCTTCTTCCCCAGCAGGGGGCTTCAGTGGGACTGGCAGATGCATTATGTCTCTCCTGGGAAGGATCCAGGACTCCTTGCTACTGCTGCATGGGAGCATTCTTCATCACACAAGGCCAAGAACCAGCTGTGTGCATGAGTTTGGGTGCAGTGCCTTGCGCACCTTTCTGAATTGGGACGTTCTGGTGGGCATGTAGAAGCAGCCTCACCAAAGCGCCAGGGTGCAAGGAATGGGCAGAGGAAGTCTCAGGAGAGGTAGTAAGACCAAGGCGATGCTCCCAGGGCAGGGCAGGGCAGGGCCACAGTCAAGAACCAGAGCAAGATCAGGAACCAGGACTGAGAACCAAACAAGGGCTGGGGTACAAGAAAGCTGAAGATCAAGGACCAGGAAGACACATAGGACAGAGAAGGGGGCACCTCAAGCAGGGCAAAGCACGCCGGACTCAGGAGTTGTGGAAGGCACAGAAAGTGAGGCAGGCCTCTGTTGCTGAAACAATGTAGTAAGGCAGAATACAGACCCAGGGAGAATAAGACGAGAACTGAACCACATTGCAGTTAGAAGAACAACCTGTGCTACAAAAGAAGCTGCTAGCAAGCAGACCTGGCTCTTGTATAGCTCTTCCCCCAGGGCTCCCAGTTGAGCTGCCTGCAGGGCCTGGGACGGATCCTGCAAATACTGTGATGGCCATTGTAGTTCAATATGCACTGGGAGATTTGTGCATTTTCAGGGGTGCAGATTTACGCAACCACAAAATTGCACAAAAGTGTCCAAATGCATTTGAACAAAATCCAGTTCCAGGAACAAGCTGATGAAGGCGCCAGCCCGTCTGGGACGTGTGGACAGAGTGGACTTTGCAGCCTCTGTCTATCCCTGCCTAGAGCCCAGGGGCCAAATCCATCCTTGCAGGAGTCCCAGACTGGCCCCCTACTGGCAAGAGCTGAAGCCCGGCATGGCTCCCCCTAGTGACATGGTGGTGAAGAGCAGCCTGGTTCAGCCTGCAAGTGCGCAATGCAATAAGTAAGTGCCTGCGGGGCCAGGATCAGACCTGTAAGCCCTTGCAAGGACTGGAGCCCTGCAATCACGCAAGGCAGCCAGGAGCTCTGGGGGGCTCTACACGAGGTTTTTCTGCGGCTCAGCTTGGTCACAGCAAAGGGATGTTTGTGCTGTGTTCCCAGCCTAGTCTTGGCTTTGGTCCTGGCTCCCCTTGCTAGGCAGGTGGTCCTCATTTGTTCCTTACTCTGCCTTTGTTGCTGGCATTGGTATACTCTGATGACATTTGGCCCATGCTGGTTCTGGCCTTCATCTTTATCTCTAGCCCTTTTGCATCTCTCCAACACCTCAGTCTTGGTGCTCCAGGTAGAGACACCTGCTGCCTATATCCCAAACCTGCCGTTCCTACAGTAGGGTTCCCGAGATGGACCTACCCCCACCCTAAATCTACACGGGGGGAGGGAGAGTAAAGTGCATTGCAAAAGCATACTTCTTCACCCTATAACTGTCCAAACCTGACAGGGCTTCAGACACTGTAAGGGGGCATAAGGTAGCATCTATCTCAAAAGTATGCAGAACCAAAGAAGCCACTGTGAAGAGGCTGTTGCAAAGAGGAAGGTCCTTGGTTCTGGAGAGCAATTCCACCCTGTTGTAGTTGACTAGGCGGCCCCACAGCCTTTCTTTGGGACTGCTGCCTTTCCCCTGTTGTGGACCAGTGGGTAGTTTCCCTGCCTTCTAAGAGGTGGCACTGAAACATGCTTTCCTGGATTTCCTGTCTTTATTGCATCTACATTGTGTGGTTTTAATCTTGTTTGTTGCCTTAAAGGCAGCCTGTAAATCATTTTGGATAGGTTGAAATGCCTCTCATGTGGTTTCGATCGTGGCAGGAAGAGCTTTAAGCAGAAATTTGTAAGGCCTTTTGTACTTCTTGTGTTTTCAGGAAGGGTAAATCAATCTATTGCTGTTTGTGTCACATAGGCAGAGTCTGTTCTATCCTGCTTCTGCACAAATTCAAATGTGATTTTCTTTTTAAGAAATGGCTTCTCTCCTTAAACGTGGGGTTTGTTGGTTTTAATGCATTAGAAAATGCTTTATAATGCCTTTAGATGTCTTTTTTTAAAGCTCAGAACTACATTGGGAAATTTGCAAAGGACAAATCCCAATGGATAATTTATGTCCACATCTGCATCTCTGTCCAGATCACAACAGTTCACAGCTAAAGTTGCAAAGAATTTCCTCAAGCAGTGCTGCTTTTAATCAAGCTCAAGGACTCATTCCCCTGAATTTCTCTTCCTTTCTGCAGGCAGAATTTCCTTAAAGGAGGTCCGACTCACATCTGCTCTTCCAGGCCTTTCCCCACCTGCCCTGTGGGTAGAAGAATGCATTTGCCCCCAAGGGTATGTGGGGCAGTTCTGTGAGTCATGTGCCCCTGGCTTCAAGCGGGAGGCCCCCTTGGGGGGGCCCTTGACCAGCTGTGTCCCCTGCACCTGCAACCAGCATGGCAGCTGTGACCCTGACACAGGTCAGTACCACCTCACTTGCTTGGTCTCTGCTTCATGTCTCCTTATCTCGAAAGTGTGGGCAACCTAGCTTACTCTGTAAGTATTCACAGGATTCGCATCAGACCTGTAAGTGCTTGCAGGATTAGGGCAAGGGCAATTGCACAGACCAGTTGGGAGCCAGGGATGCTGGTCAGTAGCACTACCCCAAGAGGAGTTTTTGTGGTAGTTACTTAAGGTCTGGGCTTGGAGTGTCTTCCTGGTTCCACAGTACCTTGAGCTTCACCTCTTCCTGACTTTCCTTCTTGTCCTGCCATGTCTTTGCTGGCCCCAGACTCTCACTTTTCTGATTCAACCTTTGCTTCTGAAGCTGCTTGAATAAGTATTACCGTATTTTTCACTCTATAAGATGCACTTTTTTCCCCCTGAAAAGGGGAAATGTCTCTGCATCTTATAGAGCGAATGTCTGTGTGCCCAATGCCCGGGACGCTGCTGGCCGCCTGCACCACGTGGCACCACCTGGCCGGCACGCGCTCGGCACGTCCTGCTTGCCCCCCCCCCCCCCCCGGCACAGGTGAGAGCTGTGCCGCTCAGGGGGAGAGGTGCGGAGGAGGAGGAGCTGCGGGCTTTAACCCACCGGCTAGACGGAGAGACGGACCGCTCACCTCCACCACCCGGGAAGACCTGCTGCCACGCTCGGCACGCCCTGCTCCGCCCCCCTCCTCCGGTGCAGGTGAGAGCTGTTAATCACAAGTCGGTGTGTGTTTTCAAATGGCAACCCGTCTTTTAATGAAGCCCATGGGAAAGTGATGGGGAATGTGCCTGTGATTATCAGGAAGTTTTCCATGGATCCCTCCCCTAAAAACTAGGTGCGTCTTATGGTCAGGTGCGTCTTATAGAGCGAAAAATACGGCACTTATTCAGTACTTTCTTATTACTACTTTCATCACCCTTGGCCAGTGTCCCAGTTAAGGATGGTCGCCACTGAATCTGGTAGAAACAAACTGGGCACACCCATGGTTATGGAGACGAGCGGAATTCAGTCCACTTTTAAAATGCATTATCTTGTGGGTCTCTGCTGCCTTCACTTCCTACCCGCCTTCAAAAATAACTTTAAGTGGAAATGTTAGAGTACAGAGTTCTCCTTCCTGATCCTACTTGCTGAACAGTTTTTAGGAAGGAAAAGGAAACCACGCAAGGCAAACAAGTACTAAGAAGCAAGAGGCTAGGAAAGGTGAGAAACGGCAAGGTAAACAGGTGCGAGTGGAAGGAAACAGATGTGGAGAAAGCACAGAGGGGAAAGGTTTGCTCAAACAGAAATCTAAGCAGAGTGGGAAGCAACTCATGCATTTTCCAGCTTTGAGCTCTGCACTTTTTCTCCAATTCCTTTCCTCCCAGTTTCTCCCTTTCCTGGTCCCTAGCCAGTCTCAGACCAACACTCCTAATCATTATGTCCCACTGGCTCTTGAGTTTTTCCATGTACGACATTTATTGGGGGATTGTCATTCCTTACTCACTGTTTATTACAATATGTGTGGACCTTGCAGTTTGAATTCAGTTCTAAAAACAGCTTTTCCAGTGACTTTTTTAGAGCAGGGCAAACAGGGTAGTATTTGCAAAAGAAAATGCTTTTTCCAGTGGTGGTGGCTGGCAAATGCTGATGAATTGTAGGACTACAGGACTACTTGATTTCAGTGCATTAACTAATTTAAATTCATTTAAATAAATTAGGCTTAAGAACATGATACTTGAAGGAGCGCCACCTTCCCTATGTGCCTGCCCACCCCTTAAGATCTGGGTTGGAGGTCCTTTTTCATGAGCCCTCCTTGAAGGAGATCAGGAAGGTGGCTACCCAGAGAAGGGCCTTCTCTGTGGTGGCACCCTGACTATGGAATACACTCCCCAGAGAGGTTTGCCTGGCACCGACACTTTACTCTTTTTGGTGCCAGGCCAAAACCTTTTTATTTTCCCAGCATTTAAGGTTTAGATTGTTATTTTAATCGGGGTTTTATTGTACAGAATTGATGCTCTGCTTCACTTGGTGTTATTGTAAGACTGTCCTAAGACTATTTCGTAGAGGACGGTATAGAAAAGTTTTAAATGCATACGTAAATAAGAAGTCTCTCTCTACTTGGAGCCTGCAGTACCATCTTTAGTCACTAGGTGTCTTCCATAACCAGGATATGGCTTTGGCGCAGGCAGTGTAATTTGGACGGACAGACTAGGAGGGCTGCTGTATCCCCCTTCTACACACACCCCAAGCATCCTAATCAGAGCCTAACTCTACCAATATAACATCTGGGTTGTTTTCTGAGAAATAACTGAGGTGGTGAAAGCTTTTTTAAAAAGGAATGTTCTTAACAAGCTGCTTTTTTTCCTCGCCAAATGGAAAATGGCAAGATTTCTGCAGGCTTTTTTCCCCACCCCCATCCCAAAAGGGTCTTTTAAGGGTGGAATTCCAGAATGTCTGGTCTTCCTTTCTGCTTTTGCATAAACCCTGGATACAATTTCAGGCTTTGATCTCTCGGCTATTTTTTCCACTAATCAAGCCTTTGCACCCCTTGGAAAGAGGCACTTCCTAGTAATTTGATTTTCCATCTCTTTCCCCTCACCCCCACATCCACCGTGCCCAGGCTTTTCCCGTGACTCTCTTGGTACATCTTGTACCACTCATCTCCTGGGCAAAACAACACAGGCTGCATTTCCAGCTGGGCTGCTGAGAGATGGAATTGCATCCCCTTCTCCCATCCTCTGTTTGCAAACAAGGGCATGAACTTGTAGTCCAGGCTGTGCAGTCACTTCAGGTATTCCCTCTGAAGCAACCTTTGCCAAGCCACAACTTTCTCAGTGTCCACATCTGAAAAATGGGCCCATCACATTGGCTTACCATTGTGAAGGCGAAGCTCTTCAAACGCTCACTGTGCTATATAAGCTTGAGGTTCCGATTGGGATTTTAACGTTCCCGTGCTAGTTCTGTCGCACTATTTGTTCTGCACCTCGCCCACAGTGTTTTCTTACGACTTAACCATTTCAAAAATGAATCTTGAGTCAACCACAATTGTGTTTAGAAGTGACACATCACTTCTAACAGCTTACAGAAATGTGTTGCTAATTTTCCTCCAGCTCAGAATTGATTTCACACTAAAAGCATTTTATGCGTGCCCAAAGCCAGTGCAGCAAAAGGGCCTTTTGAAGCCGCGGTTCGTTTGAGGAGGCCTGGGGGCCCGCTTGGCTTGAAATTGTGGGAATCCTGTAAGTTTTATGCATTGATCTTTTGCAGAGAGCCATGCAATGTGGTTCTGTGGGATGGATGAGGGCTTTATCCAAGACGGAAGGCATTTCAGGAGGGCCACGGGAGGCTGTTTTGCCCACCGCGCCATTTCAGTGGGGCGCAGGCAAAGGACCCTCTTGGGGGATTCTGCCATGCGACTTGGAGACTTTCACCTCATGCTCAAGACGGTCCACAGCTGCTCCTGTCACTCCTCCTTTCTCACCAGACAGATTCATGGAGGCCCAGCCTGTTGAGAGTATCTCTGGGGGGAGGTATTTGGGCTCCCTGGTGCTGGAAGAGGCTCGTCTCTGGCTGCAGCTAAGGCTGAAGACCTTGCGCATGACAGAAGCTCCATGGGGTGAATCAAAGGGTTAATGTCTCTCATATGGCTGCCCTAATTCTTGGCAAGTTACCTCATGACTTGATGGTTGGACTTACTTCTTAGATTTATACCCTGCTGCCATTTTTACACAGAACACCAAGCGGCTTGCATCATTCTGCTCTCAGTCCTATCCCCACAACAAAAACCCTGTGAGGGAGGCTGAGCTGAGGGTCTGTTATTGGCCCAAAGTCACCTAGTTGGCTCCATGGCTGAGCGGGGACTCGAACGCAAGTCACCTGAGCCCCAGGCCTGCGCTCTTAACCACCAGACCTCACTGGCTCTCTTCACATGTGGAGCTCGCCCCCTTGTCATATATAAATCAGCTCAAGGATATCATATGATTAACTTGTGGGGAACAAGTGTTTGGCTTGACCTGTTTTTCCCTTTGTGCTCCATTCTAGCCAGACACCACATTGAACATCTGAGGCCTTCCTCAGTTCTACCTCCAACAGAGGCTTAGCGGATGACAATGAGCAGCAGGGCCTTCCCGGTGCTGTCCCCATCAAGGCCCACCCAGCACTGGTGCTGTCAGCTTCTCAATGCTAGGCTAAGCCTCCCATGCATTTCATGCCATTTGACTGGACATTTCTCTTTAGCGTGCCTAATATCCTTCTTGAAACGGCTTAGAACAATTTCAATGGTCTAAGATTTGTGTTATTGTGGTTCTACGTATCTCATCCTCTGTATCTGAGGCATAAAATTTTAGAGTTGGTTGTGAATGGCTCGGGGCTTTGGCTGTGGAGCGGTATAGAAATTAAAGCATTATTCCTGATTATAATATGGTCTCCAGTAATTTCTCAGTGGCTTCCATTCCAGAAGAGCAAGTTGGCCTGCGATGGAGCACAGGGCCAGCTCAAAATGGCCACCTCAAAATGGCCGCCCTCACGTCTGGTGGTTGTCACTGGCCCATAAGGAAGGCTTTTGAGAGCCGCTTGTTCTCGGCTGCTGTGCTTTTGGTCAGCTTCTGTTTCTTCTCTCTCGGCAGGCCTCTGCCGATGCCTGGACCACACCGAGGGAGCCTCCTGTGAGCGATGCATTGCTGGCTTCTATGGCAGCCCCTTCATAGGCCGCCCGGACGACTGCAAGCCGTGCCCTTGTCCCGGGCAGTCCCCTTGCACGGCCATGCCTGAGAGCGGGGAGGTGGTCTGCACGCAGTGCCCCCCGGGGCAGAGAGGTGGGTGCAGCTCTGGGAGAGCAGCAATATCTGCAACCTGGCATTTCTGAGCATCCACCTGCGAATTCCACAGCAGCCTGGCTTCTCCCAAGCCCCACAGAGAAATTCATTTGAGTGAAATTCAATAGTAAAAAAATTAAAAGCCACCTCACAATGTACCTTTTCCCTGTAGGCGAAAGCATTAAGATATGTACTTTAAGATGGTTTCTGTCTCTGAGGCAAATTTGCACATTTTCAGGAGTGCAAATTTGTGCAGCCACAAAGTTGCACAAATGTTGATTAAAAATCCTTTCCTTCCCGAGGCTAGCTTACGCAATGCTACTCCTTTTCTCCATTTTATCCTCACAACAGCCCCGTGAGGTAGGAATGTATTGCACAAAATCTGGTTTCATCAGGGAGTTGACAACAGAAAGTCAGTTTATAAAATGCATACCAAATGGATTTTGCAGTGTCTGCAGCTCCCCAGGCTGCGGAAACACTTCTCATAGCTGAGGTAGAGAAAAAAATTATTTGAATATCAGGATACAACAGAACACTGCATTTCTCCCCCTTAATCTTTCAGCTCTGGCCAGGGAGCCAAATCCTTTGTTCAGATTTTCTCTCAATAGCCATGCCTTGTCCCCAGCCACAAATTGTCTTATGATTTCCTAGTTTTTGTTCCCTTCTAAGAGGCTGAAATGCCTCTCCTAGGCTTAATTGCTGGAAATAAGGATCTGTCTATTTACTTGTTCGATTTATATCCCACCTTTTTTCTTTTAAAGAACTCAAACTGGGTGACATCATTATTTTCTTCCTACTATCAGTCTTATCCCCACAACAACAATCCTATAAGGTAGGTTGGGCTGAGGGTTGGTTCCATGGCTGAGTGGGAACTAGAATCCAGGTCACCTGAGTCCCAGGCTGGTGTGCTTAACCACTACACCAGACTGCCTCTCAAATAGGCTGCTGTTTTTTGTATCTAGCCCACCTCTTTTTACCTTGGCCCCCATGCATGGCTGCAATATGACCTCCCGAAGTATTTGCAAATTAAGATTTTGACCGCAAACTGAAAAAAAATCAGCATTCCTTTTCATCCACCTATGCAGTCCTGTCTGTAATGGGTATGAGTGAGTGGCCAGCACCAGGGTAGGGTGCTATGTAATGTCTAGAAACGCTCGCTACTTTCCGCTTTAAGTAGAAAAGCAAGTTTCTAGCCCTTTTCATTATGGAGCAAGAATTTGAAACATTCCTTTCTTTTCTTGCAATGTTTTCTTCTGTCACTCCTTCTTTTGCCCAAATGAAACTACAGGTTTATTTTCACCCTTGAATAATGAAATGGATAACAACGTTTTGCTTGTGTCACCTTTGCAAATTGTCCTTGAATTTCAAATTTGGGTCTACGTATGGGGATGGGGAAAGAATTGGGAGTTTTCCTTCTAGAGGGGAAGGAACATAATACCAAACACGAGCATAGAATAATATTGACTCAGGGCTGGATTAATTGGGGCAAAGGGGCTGCTGTCTTGTATGACCACAACAAACAGGGTTTTTATCTCAGTTAATATTTGTCATGGTCCACTTTCACCTCCAATCAAACAGGTTTGGCCAGCTTTTCTGCCTCAAAAACCTACCAAACCTCTTTTAGCTGTGGTAATGTATGCATGGAGGGCAGAAAGCAAAGTCTTTTGGAAAACACTGCTTGCTGGCTCCTCAAAGTTGGGTCCCACCTGGTGGGATTATTCTGCAAGCATTAATTCCATTCATTCCTTAATTCCATTCATTAATTCCATGGACTGGCCTGCTCCAGGGCGACTCTGTGAGCTGTGTGATGATGGCTTTTTCGGGGACCCCCTCGGACGCAATGGACCGGACCGGCTTTGCAGACCCTGTGAATGCAACAACAACGTGGACCTCAACTCCGTGGGCAACTGTGACCCCGTTTCAGGCCGGTGTCTGCGCTGCCTGTACCACACCTCAGGCGACCGCTGCGAGAAGTGCCAGGAGGGCTTCTACGGGAATCCATTAGCTGCCGACCCTGCGGCAAAGTGCGCACGTGAGTACGGAGCTCCCAGCTCCGACCCCGCCGTGGAGGCCCCGGCACGCTTCCCACAGCCCTTCCTGTGCGAGCCCCCAGACCCATGGGCCTCCTCCCAGTGTCTCCCTCCTCAAGACCACGAACTGAAACTGTTTAAAGAGGATTGCGCACCTAGCAATGGACACCCAACCCCAGCACCTGGGGTGGCTCCGCCCCACCATTCTTGCTCATTCTAGCAGGGCTTCAGTAAGAGTTGCTGCATGCAATCTGCCCGGGAGGTAGCTCTCTTCCCCTCCTCTTTGGAGGCTCAGGAGGGGACACAAATGTTGCCCCCCAGGGCAGAAAGATCTCATGCCCCCCAGGGCACGCCAGGTGCAGCCCCCTTGTCACCAGCTGCTCTTGCTCCTTGTCTTCTGCGTCGGGGCTACTTCTGGCTTGCCTGGTGGCGGAGATTCGACATGAAAGCAGCCCCTGGCCTCTCCCACTCCCCCTCGGCCTCCAGGGCCAGAGCTGAAGGCAGGGGGACAAGCAGTTGCCAAGGGGCAGAAGAGCAAGGCAAGGATGAGCGGTGCTGGTGACCAGCTCCTGCCCATGAGCAGAGCAAGGCACACGCATCCGCCACATTCCTGACATGCACATGTGTCAGTTTGCCACGTGCACCTTCCCCAAAGCTTGTCTTTGTGACCCGTGGCAGGACAGGCGGATTCCCCCTCTGTGGAGGAAGAGACCAGCTCAGCCCCTCTTCCTGTCATCCTTAACCAGCCGTTCTCCAAAGTCCATCAGTTTCAACCATCCGAGTGTCAAACCACCCCAGACACTCACCGCTTTCTGCTTTAAGCAGAAAGCAAGTTTCTAGCCCCTTGGATTATGGAGCAAGAATCTGGGGGATACTCCCAGTCTGCTGGGAGTTCAGTGGAGCTTTTCCAGGGCAGATCGTTTTTCTTTCTCTTTCCCTCGCTTGCTTCTCAGCCTGCAAGTGCGATGCTGGAGGCTCTGCCCAGGGGCCGGACACGTGCCACGGCATTTCCGGTCAATGCGTCTGCCTCCCAAATGTGACGGGCCGGGACTGCAGCCGCTGCCAAGAGGGCTACTTCGACCTGCAGCCAGGAAGAGGCTGCCAAAGGTAAGAAGCACTGGAGAGAAGCGACACAAGGGAAGGGGCCCAAAAGCACCTCCCACATGCTGCCTACCAGGACCCCTGTCTGTACACCTGGCACCGACGTTCTGTTCTTTTGGGTGTCAGGCAACCCCCTTTTTATTTTCCCATTACTTTAATGTTTTATTGATCTTAACTGAGACTTTAGTAATCAATTGTCGGATGCTGCGGTTGTTTGTTTTATTCTACTTGTTTTTTGTAAGTCGTGCCGAGATGCTAGTAGTGGACAGGTTAGAAAAGCTTGTAATATGTTAATAAATACACTTGCCCTGGCCTCCAGATTTTGGTGGGGAAGTTATAGCAGTCATCTGATAGTGCTGAACTGCACCCCCCAAGCAGGTTTGGCCACTTGGGTAGCTCCTTTAAAAGTCCAGACTTAAAACTGGAGTGGATACTCAGCTCTACCGCTCATGTCCTAAGCCAAGGAGGTGCACCAAGAGAAGGATCTGGAATCAGATAAATGATAGCCCACCACTGAACAACCCACGCTCTGCCCATACCGAACCCTTCAATGTTGGTTGCACATCAGATCTAGCTGTGCAATAAACAACCCATGGAAAGAACCCATTGTTGTTAGTTAGGCTTTAAACTGTGGGTTGTTCACCATGGTTTGCCATCTCAGCTGGGTTCAGACAATGCAATAAGCCATACTTCCAGCACAGCCAATATCTTCCCTCTCTCTTTCTTCCCCCAGCTGTCAATGCCACCCAGTGGGAGCCCAACACAACCTCTGTCACCTGCTCACGGGGCAATGTGCCTGCCATCCGGGCGTGGAAGGAGTGTCATGTGATCGGTGCCGGGCTGGTTTCTTCGGTTTCTCCTTCCCAAGAAAGGAAGAAGAAGGTAGCGTTGACGTTACCTTCCAAGGCTGTCAAGGTAACTTCAGTGCCAGCTTGGTTGGCCTTAAGAATAACTTTTCCTTCTGGTGGAAGGGGATCACTTTTACGACCAGGGTTGGTCATAAAGCAGCTGAATCAGAAGACCTTGTGTGGAGAACATGGCAGAGGGAGGTCAGAAAGTATGCCAAGAAGACATTTTCCACATCTCATCCATGATAGCACTTGGACTATCAGTAGATGAAGCCAACGATAGGTAAATGTGGGCTGGACAAAAGGAAGGACTTCTTCACACAACCTACTATTTATTTATTTATTATTTAAAACATTTTTATGCCGCCCCCATTGCAACGAAGCCACAGGGCGGCTCACAACAGAAACAAAATACATAAATAAATAACAATATAACAATAAAAAATTAATTTAAAAACCTCCGGTACATCTCGGCTAAAAATTTAAAATCCTATAAATACAAATAATTTAACCATTAAAATAAGTTTTAAATAAAAAGGTCTTAGCCTGGCGCCGAAAAACAAATAATGACGGCGCCAGGCGGACCTCTCTGGGGAGCGCATTCCATAGATGGGGTGCCACCGCAGAGAAGGCCCTCCTCCAGGCACTCACCCTCCTAATATCATTCACGGAGGGTTCCCGGAGAAGGGCATCTGTTGCTGATCTCAACCCTATAACACATGACAAACGGGGTGACCCCTGAGTTAGGTCTTCAAACGGATCAGCTAGACTAGGAGACAGTCCACCCACCCGAAGGACCGCGAGCTCCATTTTGGTGGTCTGTCGAAAGCTGAAGAATGGTAGGAGGTGGCCAGGGAAGGTGGGTGACTCCTCATCCCTCGGAGCTTCATGGGAGCCAGCCAGGTGCCGAAGCTATTTTAAGGATCTTACACAGCTCGAGGAAAACCCAACATTTGTCCCTACCTCTGATGTATGTTCTAAGGATGATGAAAATCATTTTTGAACAGACACTCAATGTTCTAGTTGCTGGGTGTATTTTTCAGACAGCGGCCCGTGGGCTTCCCCCTAAAAATGTACCACTTACATGGTCCCTTTGTGGTCTGTTCTGATTTTCAAAGTATTTTTCATATGGACTTAGGGGTGTTGGAATGTTTTCTGGCCTAAGTCTCTCTTGGGGGACCTATTCCAGGGACAGGTGGGCCTGAGGGCAAGGCGGGGGAGACCAAGCCATCACGCTTCGGTGAGTAACTAAATCTTAGATGTTTAGCCCTTCAGAACAGGGGCGAGAACTGCACAAAAGCAGGGAAACCCTCCAGTGATCTGCAGTTCAGAGAAAAGGTGTGGTCAGAAACATAGAAACAGAGTGAGTCAGAAGGGGTTCCCCTGGGCCATCTAGTCTGACCCCAACTCCAGCTGGCTCTGCTCAGGACAGGCCAGAAGAAGGGGGAGTGGCGTTTGGGGAGCCCCAGAAGGTGTTAGCTGTTCTTCCTCCTGTGGCTCAGCACCCCCGGCTAGATGGCCCCCGGGACACCTCCTGCAGGATTGTATGTTACTGCCTGGAACAGGATTGTACCGATAGCAAACAGCCCTTGAGAGTCGCAGTGGCCATTCGGGGTCGAGCGAGCGTGCCGTCTTCACCTGCTTCAGCTGTTCATTTGCACCCTTTTGCCAGTCGCCAGGCACCGGGTGGGGGGCTTGGGAGGACGTGTTCGGGTGGCGCTTGAACAACATGGAAACAGTGAAACAGAGCGAGTCGGGGGGACTCTCGGGTCATCTAGTCTGACCCCCGGCTCCAGCCAGCTCCGCTCACGACATGCTCATAACAAACAAGACCTGTCTCCTCTTTTCATCCTGCTAGCTTGTCACTGCTCCCAGCCGGGTTCTCTCTCCCTCCAGTGCCGGGAGAACGGCACCTGTGTGTGTCAGAAGGGCTTTGTGGGTCAAAGGTGCGATCAGTGCGAAGCAAACTACTTCTACGACCCTGGGAGCAAACAGTGCCAGGAGTGTCCTCTCTGTTACAGCCTCGTGAAGGAGGAGGTAAGCTTCCCTCCTCTTCTCCCTTAGTTCACTCAGCCAGTTTACTGACCGGCCTTTTCGGGTGCAGCCCCATGCGCATTTGCTACATTCTTGCACACCCCAATAGCCAGAGCCTTCTGGGTTGGACGTAACAATTTAGAAATCCAAAATGCCACGCAAAAATGTCAATGGTTTAAACCACAGTAGAGAAGAGAAGCAAAAACCACAGTAAGACTTTACAGCGACACAGAAATGCTCTGCAGGCTGAACCTCATTTCCTGGGCAAATAAGATGGTCTTCACCTGGTGTTGAAAAAGATCACAATGTAAGTGGCAAGCAATTTCACTTCGTAGTTAGGGGGCCACAACCAAAAAGTTTTGGGCCCCTCATTGCAGGAAGGATATAGCCAGGTCAGAGTCAGTGCAGAACAGGGCCACAAAGACAGTGGCCGGTTTGCAGGGGATGCCGTATGAGGCGAGGCCGAGGGAACTGGGTCTCTTCAGCCTGGAGAAGAGGAGACTCAGAGGGGATCTGTTGGTGACATGCAGGTATGTGAGGGGGTGTCACTTGGAGATGGGTAGAGACTTGTTCTCCCCTGCAGAGGAAGGCAGGACGCGCTCCAATGGAGCAAAGCTCAGGGAGCCAAGGTTCAATTTGGATGCCAGGAATCACTTCCTGACAGTTGGGACCCCCAGGGTATGGAATGGGCTTCCACGGGAGGCGGTTGAGGCCCCATCGGTGAGGGTGTTCAAGGATAGGCCAGACATGCACATAGTGGGCATGTTGTGAGCGGAGCCGGCTGGAGCCGAGGGTCAGACTAGATGGCCCGGGAGACCCCTTCTGACTCGCTCTGTTTCTATGTCTTCTTCTCAGTGGGCAACCACCTGGCTTCACTTGTCAGGTGCTCCTGCAGAAAGACTGCTGAGGACAGTCCTAGGTTCTGTGCAGGTATATATGGGAAATATATATATGGGATATATGATCCTTCAGGTACTCTGACCCAGGCCATTTAGGGCTTTGGATGTTCATACCAGCACTTTGAATCAGACCAGGGAAAAGTTTTCCAATTTCTTTTCTTTCGGAAAGGAAAAAAGAAGCACATTGAACTTCCTTTGAACAACAGCAACAACAAAGTTTTTCACAGTTGCCTGTTTGATGGGAAAAGACCCAGCTGTGGGTGTTGCTGTTCCTGGATAGGATGCTGTGCACGCGCGCGCGTGTGTGCGCGCGCATGGGGTGGAATCAAACATTTGGGGTCACCACCAAGCTCTCCCTACCATCATTGGTACAGGACCATCTTTCTGCCACCCCAGCTGGCTCTGAGGAATGTTGTCCACAAAGCCACATGCTGGTTGTAGAAAACCGCAAGTGATTCAAGATGGGACTGTAAACTTCAAAGGAGACACGCTTAAAGTAATCAATGCATCACAACCAAATCATCCCAAAGAATACAGCCCTGGAGGGGGAAGGGGGTTCCTAATGGGCAAGCTAAGTTTCAGGTGTCTAGGTTTTATAGTCTCGGAGCTAAGGTGATGACAGACAGTCATCCATTTTTATTATCAAAGTCGTCTCTGCATACCTCACACACAGAAACTGCCCTACAACAGGCCTGAGTATGCAAAAGTTTTCACCCCTAGCCAAGTGAAGACCAGCATGGTCCCCGCCTGAAAATGACAGGAATCAGAAACACCGCGGTCAAACCAAGGGTGCTTCCCTGCAGTCCCTTGCTTCTGTGGCAGTCTCTCCTTCTGTTGGCGAGCAGTGGGGAAGCGGGCAGGCGCTCACCATGAAAGTCCCCATAGGCAAACACCTAAGGGGAGGGGAGGCAGCCGTGTTGATCGATAATAACAAACCAGCCCTAGCAGGTCTCTTCTCCATTAGAAACCGTCTTCTTGCGAAGCTCTTACCTGTCCGTTGAAAACCAAGCCGTCCCGAAAGGGGACACTGCATTACTGGCGGAGAGAACTAGCTTCATCCCTCTGCTTCACTTCCAGCTACTAGGAGGATCTCAGCTAGATTCAGAGAACTTGGCTGCCTCGAGAGGCCATAGAGACAGGCAGCATATAGATATTTCAATAAATAAATAAAGCAAACATGTCTGAGCAAAGCAGGCTGGCAGCCGAGCTCAGCAACCCTGTCTCCCTGCTACCTGTTTGCTGTGAAGCCAAGCTCAGGGATGTCTCTCCCTGTAAAGTCACACCTTTCCCCTCGTGCTTTGCCCTGCAGGCAGACAGGCTGACGGTGAAGCTGGCCGAAATGGAGCCACAGCTGCAGAAGCCCAGCCGCAGCAGGCCAGCGGCTTGGGAGGGGCAGGCCGTCCTTGGGGAGGCATCGCGAGGAGACAGCTACCTGCAGAAAGGTAGAGAGCTGGGGGGCAGGGAGGGGTCCCATCTCATCTCACCCAGCCAGTTAGAGCAAAAATGTGCATTTTCCCCCATCGGTGAAAAGGTATATTTTTGGAGATTTCCACCTTCTCCGAAATAAGAATTTGCCCAATTCTGAATTCACACAAATGCTTGTGAATGCAAATCCAGTTGTGTCAATGAGTGGGTACTGGAAAGTAAAGCTCCCGCCCGAGCTTTTTGCAAAGCGTAGCTGGAACTGATTTTATGATGTCTGTATAACCCTAGGTGTGACCCCCACCCTCTTGCTGTCCTGTTGGCATGTGGAGGGCTGGGGAGGGGGCCATCTGCCCACCCAATTTTGTCTAATTATAGAACAGCTTTCTTCGTGTCCCTTCCCTCTTGCTCGGGAGAGGGGTAGAAACTGGGAGACAGCCCAGGAGTGTGAGGCAGCAGGAGAGAAGCAGCGTGGGGTCTCGCCCACGGGGCCCCTAAACCTGGGCCTTGCCAGGGCTGCCACACCTTCCCTGTCCCGCCCTCACTCTGCTCTGGCCCCAGGAAGGCAACTCAAGGGATGCCTCTGTGGCTTGCAGGTGCCCAGGCGGCTTTCGTGGGCAAGATCGGCGAGCTCGATCAGTCAGTCCATGATGCGCAGCGCCGGCTGAGGAGCACTAGCGGAATGCTTGGCTGTGCTGGCCACGGGGCCACAAAAGTCTGCGCCCTCCTCTTGGACATCCAGTCTGCCCTGCAGTCCACGCAGCGAGAAATCCGTCTGGCTGCCGAAACGCTGGCCACAATGGTACCGTGCCCGTCAGTCTCGCGGCTCTGCAGCTAAGTGGTGGCAGCCTCCGCCATGTCGGTCCCCACACCCAGAGACAGGTGACAGAGGCAAAGGACTAGATCTGAGGACAGGAAAATCTCCCTCTGAGTCAACCCGAGGGGGCCTTCCTGGCGCAACAATTCGTGGCTAGAGCGGCGGCGTGCGATGGCAGGGAGGTCCTGCGTCACGCAGGCCCCATCTTGCTTCCACAGCTCTGCTTTAGCTGCAATGGCCAGTAGACACTGCGAGTTCTCTTAATGCTGTGCGTTCGTTTGTTTGTTTTATTTAAGGCTTTTACAGCCCGTCCCACTACTAGCATCTCGGGACGGCTTACAACAAGCACAGATAAAAATGGCACAGCATCCAGCAATTCACAATAAAAGCACAATTAGAGCCAATTACACATTGAAATAATGGGCGAATAAGAATGATTTAAAACATGTGATTTCTCCACCTTCTAGAGCGGAGGGGAGGACCCCACAAGGCCCCTGAGCTGAGGTCAGCCTGCCTGGGTTCCCCCTTCCTGGCCCAGCCCATCTGCTGCTTGGTGGCTTCCAAGTGGTTGGCCAGATTTATTTAAGTGGAAATGCAGTAGCGCCATTTGGAGCCCATTTTTCTGCCTTCAGCAGAATGCAGTCTCCAGGAACTGCACCAAAATTAACTTTAGCCCTTGGACTGAATGCTGAGAATGATGGGACTTGTAGTTTGCAACATCTGGAGGATGAGGAAGGCTACCAGGGAGGGCAAAGTGAAGCCCTGCCTCTGTAAGCCTACAGGAGCTGTAGACAACTTGTCCACCTGTGCTGAAGTAGGACAGCAACAACGGGATGAGATAGTGGATAGTGTGGTAGAGTGGTTAGAGTGCTGGGCCGGGGGCTGTGAGGTCTGGGTTCTAGCCCCCACTGCCAAGCCAAGATGCTTGCTGGGTGAAGCTGGGCCAGCCACAGACTCTCAGGTGGCTTACCTCACAGGGTGGTTGTTTGTGGATAAAATGGAGAGTGAAGGAGTATCTTACAAGCTGCCTTGGATTCCTTGCAAAAGGGTATCATTGTTCTTACTACTATTACTACAGCAAGAAGATGCTTTGAAGCAAATCATAGCAGACTCAGAGTTCTCCCAAAACCAGCAGCTAGTTGCCAGCTTCCCATTGCTGCACCCATCTGAGGTTGCACAACCTGGTCACATCCAGGCGTGTCCACCTACAATCCCATCCTCTTTCGCCAACATGCTTCCTTGGATGTCTAAACCTTAATCACACTGCCTGCAGGCCCTTTGAGCCAGGATTCCCTGAGGCGGAAGACAGCATCCTAAGCCAGCAGCTTTTGATTTCTTCCCCCTCCCTCCCTTCAGGAGCTTCCTCCCGAAATTTCATACCAGCTGACAAACTGGAGCAGACGGGCGCTGGAGGCCAGGGGGCTGGCCCTCAGGTATGTGCCTTTGCATTCAGAGCGGGATCGGCCGGTCCCACAAGGATGACCTGGGAACAACCCAGCGCCATGTGGGGGCTTGAGAATCGGGCAGAGTGAGCTGGACCGACCTCGGTTGGGAAGCTCCCTCTCACTCACGGGGGTTGCAGGAGAACATGTGTCCCGGCACTTTGCCGGTGCCATCCCCGTGGGGTGCCCCTTGTCCCCCCCACTGCATGTTGATCGGGGGAGGTGAGACTCCTCCAGAAATAACTCTGTTGTGTGTGGCGGGGGGTGTTTCCCCATAGCCACTGGGGGGCTGCGGCTGCGGTGGAGGATACAGGCAAGAGGGCATTGCTCATGGCCAACGCAAGTTACCTTCTCCTGCAAGACATTCTGGAAGGCAGTGCTGAAGTGGCGTTCAGGGGACAGATGGAAGTGAGGTGAGCTTGGGGGGCATGGAAAACCCTGCAGGGCTGTCCCAGCCACTGGGCAAAGTGAGCCGGCCCCCTCTGGTGGTGCGTAGACAAAACGGTGTCTCTAAGGCCAGGCCTTGGGGCCAAAGCCAAGGCCCCCACAGCCCGGGGGCCTAAGTGACCACTTGGAGAATAGCCACTGCAGAAGTGAGCTTCGTGTCTTCCCAGGAGGCATGGGGTGCTATGATTTAGATGAATTTCAAATGCAAGTCCACCCATGCGCAGAAGAAGAGGGTTAACCGCACGCTGCAGCCAGTTGTACTGCAAACATTGGGTGTGGGGGAAACTCATGTGCTTCTCAAGTAAAGAGAAATGTTTTAATAAATAAATAATAAATAAATAAAGAAAGAATGACACACGCACGAGTCCCAAGGGGATCGCCACAAGATCACTCAGTCCTGGGTCTTAAATTTTAGAGAAATGGGGAACAGACAGTGTTGTGTGCACAGTTTTTGCTTTCAGTATTAGGAAATCAGGACTTGGGAGTATAGATGCTCAGATCCTGTCTGATCTGTCCTGTTTGTTTGGCTGATTGCCACACATCTTTGGTCCCAGCAACCCCCGAGCGATGGAACTGGACTTTCTTTACCAGCAAGCCATTCTCGTGCTAATGCAATAGCAGTGTTAGTCATTTCTACAGATGTGCTAATGCAAATTCACTTCTCAAAAAGTGGGGAGGAAAAACCAGAATCAGAATCTCCATGGCACCGAAAAGGCATGTTGGATATGGGATCTCCCGTCTGGGTTCCCAGAAATCCAAACTCATGTGAATCTGTTGCCAATTTCACCCACTTTCCTACTCAACAGGTAAATTCTAGAACTTCCCTTCCCAGTAGCAGCAATGCTGGGGAGCTTTTCTGAGAAACCTCCCTGAGTCCCCTTTTCTGGCAAAGGTGATCCATCTCTCTCCTCCTCTCTGCTGAGTCCGTGACCTGCTTCCCTTTACAGGTACCGGGAAATCCAGAGCGCACAGGAGGAGCTGGGCACTAAGATGGAAGAGGCCTTGGCCCAAGCCAAGCGGACCTTCGACTCCGTCCGTCAGATGAACAAGGCCATAGCAAAAGGCCTCTCGGAGCTCTCCACCTTGGATGTGGTGCGCTGCTAACGATGATGAAGCCTCACTCCTTAGGCTTGGTTCAAAGCCGAGCATGTAATCCCCAAAGAACTTCGGGGGCTGATACAGAGCAACCTTTATTGTGCATTTCTATTGTCCCCTGAAGTTTTCATCTTTAGTCAATCCACCCAAAAATGAATAGCGATTTATGGCAAAATCATCAGGCATCACAAAAATGTGGTGTCAGTAGCCACATTTTGGATTTTGAGAGAGAACCGTGGGTGCTCTTACAAAAGGGCTTCCATGCTGGGCACAGCCAGTCACAAAATCCTCCTTTCTCAGACAGCAAATCGGCCAAGACCAGATGAAAAGCTACTTGGCCGAGAACCTAAGTCGGCAGGGGTGAGTTCCAAGAACTTCTGAAAATCCCATGTGCTTCCACTACCAAGAACCATCTGGACCTGTTTGCATTCTCATGCTCCCTGTAGAAATATCCCTGAAAAAAGTCCCCAAGGGCCCATTCTGTATTGCTAGCCCACAGGAGTGAAGCCAAACACCCGTGTGTTGAGGAGCGGAGGTGGTGGAAGCTGAACTTCTCTACCGAATGCCAAGAGAGCACAGAACGGCCGTACCGCGTTGGCCAGCTTGTGTACTCGCCTCCTTGCAATTCCTGCTCGCCTGTGGTGATCAGGAAAGGCGTATGGTTGGCGTGTTGGTGGCAGGAAGAGTGGTGAAAGGTGTTGGAGTGATGCTGTTCTGCTTGGGTTGGATGATTGCTAACAGGCAGGGGAGGAGGGCGACGGGTGCCGCTTTTATCCCGAGCTTTATGGGAACTCTGGGTGGTGCTCCGTGGTGAAGGACCTGTGCTGGGGATGGAGCGGATACAATTCAGCTGCCATGATCTCTGCTCTTGCAGCGCCCCCTGGCGAAGCAAAGGGGAAATCTTAACCAGGCTGCCTCGGAGCTGGAGCAGCTCGTCCAGCGACAGTTCTTCGAGCTCTCCGACAGATCGCTCGCTGTCCGGGCTGGCCTACAGGGAGTGCTTGCAAGCATGCAAGACCTGGAACAGGTAGGAAAGGCAGGGATGGAGCTGCTAGCATTAAATGTGGATCTCCCGCTTTTACCCTTCCAGACCACTCTGTGAGCCAGGCTGCCTTACCTCCAGGCATTTGGAGTTCTCCAAACCTTGCAGGGGAGCTCTGCGGTTTAGAACAACCCCAAACACGTGGAGGTTAAGGAAAAAGCACGCGATACCTGCTCACACTGGAAAATGCCTTCGATTCAGAGCCGCTCACCCAAAATGAGAGCATAGGATGCCAACATGGCCTCTCACAGGGCGGTGCGCACAAACACGTATGAATTCTCATGCAGACTTTTTCCTCCAGGCTCGGGACAAACCAAATGTGAGGCCGAGAACTTGCAAAGTTCAGGATGAATCAGTGTTAAAACGGAAAAAGAACGAAAAACCAAGAGCAGCTGAAGCTGACAGATGCGTCCCTCCCTAGTGTGTTAGCGAATGAGGGCATCTCTCATTCTGGAGGAGGAAAATTTACATTGCGAGAAATCCCAGTGGTGTTCCAACTCAGGCAGTTGTGGGCCTTTTCTTCTGTGTAAGCGTGAACTGCGTTCTGCCCTTGATGCACTTGATTCGTAAAATGTCATTTAAGAGAACACTGGGCTAAGAACCTTTTTTTAAGTCAATAACAGCATACGTTATCCTAGAAGCCAGCGTAGGGCTGGGTATGCATCCTTAAGGAATGCAGGCAAATGCACGAGCTGCCAGATTATATTCCAGTTAAGCCCGCGTGCATGCGCAGACACATGGCCTTAATCCTGCCTGTTTGCTTTCCGCAGCTTTGGCAGAGAACCAGCGATGCCCACAAGTTGGCCGTGTCATCACTCTCTAAGGGGGAAGCAGCAGTCTCCGAAGCAAAGTCTTTGCTGAGCAACTGGAATGGTAACTTGTAGGATGCCTAAAGCCAGCCAGAGCCCTCCAGATCTGCCGCACTACAAGCCACATCATCCCCAGCCACATTTGGAGGGCTATGGCATGAAGTGCTTGGCTGAAGTATTTCTCTCAGTTGATTTTCCCTGCTTCTACTCAGCACTATCCAAGCTCTTAAAACATATTCTAAAAATTGCAAGTGAAAGTTGTAGATTCGACATGTGTTGTGTTCTTTCCTGTTCACAGTTTCGGACAGTGGTCTGTTGCACTGATGTGTTTAGTTCAAAATTCATAGGTTTGCATGGGCTCTTTTCTACATAAATCTGTGTATGGAAGATAGGGGTGGTTTTGCAGTGAAGAGTTACACATCATTGTCACCCTGCACAAGAATCATCCAGGCCAGTGGAAATTACACTCAAGCCCTTATTTTAACAGAAGCTAGCAATGGTTTCACACTGGGGGGCAGGTGGTGGTTTTTGTGTTGCACTAATGAGGACTAGAACCTTGTTTAATCAACAGCTAGGATTTGGGGGATCTTGCAGCAGGGGAGTATACAATACCTATCCTATAACAGATCCTAAAACGTCAGACCTGGGCTATGGGTCTGCCCCTGAGCATTTCCCAGAGGGCCATGGCCCACCGAGGATGCACAGGGGATGGCTCACAAGGGCCGGAGCCTCAGACCGAATCTCTGGGGGGCAGTCCCTTCCACCACCCTGCTGCCAAGGGGTGCTTGCTGAAATGAAGGTCCAGGGACCCTGTGGATCTCCATCACACCCAAATCTCCGGGGATCCACTGACTCCCCCCCCCCCCCCCGGAGCATCATTTCTTGCTGCCCCCTTGACTCTCTTTACATGGGGCTTCCCCCCTAAAATCAAACAGCGCCTTCTCCCTGTCTGTGTGTCCCTTTTTGCAAATAGGGGAGTCTTTAAAAACAGGTTCCTGTCCAGACACACAGCCTTTGGGGCATACCTCTGTTAGCACATGGAAACCTGCGTTTTTTTCCATGTTCTCTTCAGAACCTACCCCTGCCACTGGCCCCTGGCTCTTTGCTCCAACATCCAATGGTTTGGAGGGATCCCGGCTTCTTCACACTGCCCCCTCCACCCCCGCTCCTGGAACTTCTTCCGGGGATTAGCTACAGCCAAGCAGGGCCCTAAAATGAGCTAGGCTGGTATTCCTGGGCCTGCCCTTTGGCCTGCAGCCCTGCCCGGCCTTGGGACGCTGCCCCCGAGAGCTTGTCAGGAAGGCAACTTGGCCCTCTCAGACCGGTTCCACACCCCCGCACCGAAAACCTGCGGAGCAAGCGGTAGGAGGCAGAGCATGGGCTGCGGCCGTCACCTTCCCCCCGGGAGGCTCAGCCAGTTCTGTCTTTCCGTCCCTCGTTAACAGGGATGAAGAGGCTGGCGACTCACCCCAAGGGCCAGTCCTCCTTGACCCGGAAAATGGCTGTTGTGCAGGGCAGAACCCTGCCGGACGCCCAGAGGAAGGTCAGGCTCGCACGGAGGGTACTGGGCAGCTCTGTCTCGGTCGCCGCCAAGGCCCAGAAAACTGCTGCACACGGAGAGTCAGTGGCCCGGGAAGGTGCAAAGGTACGATGGGCAGACACCTGGCGCACTGAGAGGCTGCGGCGATGGCCTCGCCATTGCTTCGAGCCCTGCAAAGTCCAGGGTCTGGGAGGTGGGCGCTGTGTCATCATGACACTTTATTTGCCAAGAGGGGTGTAGAGCCATCCCCCACCTGCAGGGGGAGCACATTCGGGGGGGGTTCAAAGCTCTGCTCAGGCCCTTCAGACAAACCTTTCTGCTGGGATTCTTTTCCAAGGCACTGCGGGGGGGGGGGCGTTGCCCAATCTCCTCCCCGTGCTTTTTCCTTCTGCCCTGCAGGCAGCTGAGGATATGCTGCGGGATACCAAGCGGGAGAAGACACGTGCAAGGAAACTTCAGACTCAGGTGGCTCTGACTTTGGCAGAAACCTCCAGGCGAGAGCAAGAGGCCCAAGAACTCAGCAGCAAGTTTGCAAAGACCGGAGTGGTCAGTTCCGTCCCTGGTCCATCATCCAGGGCCAATGTGGGTCTGTTTGGGAATCTGTCCCCACTTCCTCCACTGAACTATTGTTTGTTTTATGCTGTGGCAAGTGTGGGGCATATTTGGGAACTGGAGATGGGCTTTGGCTCCATGGAAGAATCCTAGTTGGGTGCCAGGGTTGATTCCCAGCAGACCTTTATGTAAGGCTATAAAAACCCAAAATTTTGCAGAGCTGTTACTGCTACCCTGGGTCTACAATACTGGGTTGGATGAATCCAGGTCTGACGTCAGGCAAGGCAGCTTCTAGTCCTCCTCATTATATCAGCCTTTTATTCAGAGCCATGAGGACTAGCACCTTGTTTTACTTCTTGCTGGAAGGCTAAGGTTTAGTGATAGAGTCTCCTTGGCATGGAAGATGCTCTGCTGAGATGGTGTCTGCTTTCCAATCCCTGCTCAGTCTGGAAACACAAGAGCACAGCTGGATCAGCACCTAGAACTCTTGCTTTCCTCTGGGGCCAGCCGGATGTGTCTGCTGGGAAGTCCAAGCCAGGCATACTTTCCCACTGGAGGCTAGTAGCTCCATAGCCAGTGGGATGGTGTAACCACTCCAGCATGTGGTCTGAACTTCAAAGGAGCTGTCCAGTGTTCTGAACACTTTTTTGGAACTCGGTGGTAGAATTCAGCTCCCGATGGGAGTCCACTGCCGGAGCGGTGTCCTTGCTGGTGACTTTGAGACCAGAGCTTGACAACTTGGTGCCCTCGATATGCTCTGGACCACAACTTCCATGCTCCCCAGTCAGCAGGGCCCATAAACGGGGGCTATGGGCACCGCAGTCACATTATCGGGAAGGCCCCCTGTTGCCTAAACCAGAGTTTGACACAACTAATGCACCCACCGTCTTCCCTGAAGGTTTCGCTGGACATGCATCATCTGAACAAGAGCCTCCAAGAGACCCGGAGCTCCCTGCAGGCCGAGATTGCGGGCCTGAACGAGCTACTCGCCAGCCTGGGTGAGCTGCGGCATGGGGTGCCTTCCGCAGCCCGCTGTTTCCACGGGCCGCGCCGCGCGAAGAGCAGGTCCCCAGCCCAGGGAGCTGCAGGCATGAGGCGCTTCTAATGCATTGTCTTTACTGTTGCTTGTTTTTACTCTTACACTGTTCACTGGGTGAGGAACAGTGCGGGTATAACAATGCTGCAGATAAAGAAAATCACACACATTATTATATTTATATCCCAGGGAGGCAACGGCCTGGTTTGAACAAGAAAATTATGGAGGAAAATAAGGTTAGCACCCTCTGCAAGGGATTTCCCAACCCCCCCGCCCCCCCGAGAGCTGCGTCGCACTCGTTTTAAAAGAAAAACTTTGCAAAAGTATTCTGCAATGGCACTGTTTTCTGCAAACAGCTTTGCCGGTGCAATTGCTCTGAGATCACCTTTCACCTTCAGCCCTTTTATGTTCCGCAACCATGTCACCTGGCGTTCTTTTCTTCACTGCCCAAAACAAAAATGTTAAGGAGGGAAAGACAGAAGTTAGCTGCATGCTGACTTTGGACAATAAGCTTGGCAGGCTCCAACATGAACACACCAAATGCATTGCTGGATTTTCAGCATTTCCACTCACGACCACAAGAGGGAAGCCTTCACTTTTTAAACTCCTCTCTCTTTAGAAAGAAAGGAAAAGTTCCAGGAACCAAAGAATGAACTTTCCTCTCCCTGTTGCAACCCCCTAACCCAGAGTCTGAGACTTGCCAAATGTTGCATGACTAAAGGAAACGAAGCCCGGCCCTGCGTCCTTACCTTTTTATGAGAAGTTTCACGGGCAGAAGTTAACCAAGCAAAGAAGTGGAATAGATTTTATTGATTTCTACACGGATCAATACTATAACGGACTTGCACACAGTAAAGGTAGGCACAGCATAAGCTTGTGCCCTAGATGAAGTACACCAGCATAACATTTAATTTAAGAATCCCTTGGAACGTAATTTAAGAATCCTTGGAATCCCTTGGAAGAATCCCAGGGGTACGTTGAGTGTTGAGTGGCGGTGCGTGAAGACAACCAGTCCACACCTGGCCGATGTCAGCCAAGTTGCAATTATAACTTACATTATTATACTCGACTTTTTGTGTGGCAGGGTCCTCAAGGGGTGGGGAACCTCTTCCAGCCTAACACCCGAGTTTAATATTAGAGAAACATCCAGCTTTCTGGGGGCCTACTGCTAGCAGGACGCACTTCAACAGAGCCAAGCTCAGGGAGCCAAGGTTCCATTTGGATGCCAGGAAGCACTTCCTGACAGCCAGGACCCCGAGCGTGTGGAATGAGCTTCCACGGGAGGTCGTTGAGCCCCATCAGTGCGGGTGTTCAAGGACAGCCTGGACTTGCACATGGTGGGCATGTCGTGAGCGGAGCCAGCTGGAGCCAGGGGTCAGACTAGATGGCCCGGGAGGCCCCTTCTGGCTTGCTCTGTTTCTATGTTTCTCCCCAATTTTAGTCAACTACTAAACAAGGAATGGGCACAATATTCCACAATCACAGTAAAATATAAGATGGAAAAGCAAGAGTTAACAGGGTGGGAAGATTTAATTGCAAGAGCCCTGTAAAACATCACTGTCTTAACAGACTGCTGGTGAATCGAATAATGAAAGCATCAGGCAACCGTAGCTCAATATGGGAGTGCATTGTGGAAGCAAGGGCCACCACTGGGAAAACCCTGCTCCATAGGGCAGTGCAGCAGCTGGCAGGAGATACAGAGAAGCGCTTGGACACATGGATGCTGCTTAGGCTCCTAGGGGAAAGCTGGCCCTTGAGAGGAGGGGGGACACAGGAATGTGCGGTGAGCAGTGCAACAGACACACTCGCACTGGGGTGAAGGGGTGGCCATTTCAGCTGCAGTCTTTGTTCCCCCAGGCAACCTGGACTACACTGCTCCCCTGGAGGCTGTACTGGATGCCGGCCAAATCCAGCTGCAGCATTTGCAGCTGCACCTTTCCGGGTCTAGCAACCTCGGGCAGAAGCTGAGCGCCCTGCAGAAGGAGGCTGAGGACCAGCAGCAACGCATCGAGGCCTTTGAGAGAGACTTGGAAGAAATCCGGGGTGACAAGCGAAACCTGGAAACCATTCTCCAGAGCTTGCCCAGCAGTTGCGCGAGCTGGAAGTAAGCCGGCCTCCAGCGCTCCCGCGAGCCGCCCTCAGCAGCTCAAGAGAGTTGGAGACACACGCACAACGCTGAAGTCTTGCCCTTCCCTTGTGGGAGGTGTGGTCATGCTAGGTTACGGGACCACGTCTTAAACACTGGCCGATGGCGATATTACACCAATTTGGCTATGTACAGATAGTAGCTTTGAGCACAGTAACGTACTCTGCACTGTTAAAAAAGAGAGAGAAAGCTAGCCCAAACATGGTCCAAACACTTTTCCAAGAATTTCTTTGCAGCCTTGAGGGCTAGAAACTTGAAGCAAAAAGCTGAGATTCTCAGGAAGCTAAATTCCGTGGTTTTCTGCACATTGTTTTCGAATCCTGACATAGTATCTACATAAAACTGTTTTTGCAGGTGTTCTGAGAGCTTCAAATCACACATGGAAGAGGGGGAAAGCAGAATGAACATAGTTCCAATGTACCTGCTGTGGGTATCCCATAGCTATTGTCCATGACTGTAACACTGCTCCAGTGTGTTCTCTCAGCTGGTGGTCAGAGAAGGAAATTCTCCACACCTCATCCATCACATACCATATGATTTGGGGTGCTCACAAAGATTTGGGGGCTGGAGAAAGGGCATCCAAGACTTCCGGATGATCAGCTCTCTGCAATTTCACTGCGTGTGAAAAACATTCTAAAGCTTCCAACACCCTAGTATGTGCAAATGCACAATAAACCTTTCGTTGCAGCACTTCACGGAAGCAAGTGTGATGTTCTACCAGTTCCCCAGTTGCAAAGGCAGCTTTCCAAAGAGCCAAACAGTGTTGCAAAACCAAACAAATGGGAGGAAAGCAGATTCTAGTCTAGCTGATACAGCTTGGCCTCCCCCAGGAAATTACTAACCCTCTGGAATTTGTACACAAATTGGTCACAGCTCTCCTGGCTTACCAAGAAGCCAAGGTCAAACCACTCCTGTGACGGCCACAAACACACCCGGCTCTTTGTCTTCTCAGCTCTGACAGGTAGACGATGGATCCCCACCGGATTTTTAGTTCTGATGTTTGCCTACAACTCCCATGATGCTTAGCCAACATGGAGGGATTGGGAGTTAGTAGCTCAAGAGTGCGGGAGGGCTGCACGTTGCACATGCCGTGGGGAGGGCCCTGTTTCTTGGGGGAGCAGAGACTGGGAGGGACACACTCACACCCAGCACCATGTTCCCCCGCTCCTTGGGTTCGAGTCCATTCCAGCAGGCCCTGCCCAGAGGAGGGTGTCCGGAGACATCTCCTGCACGGATGCATCTTAGGGTACGGGGAGCCGCTGATCTGGGTCACTGCAGAATTAGTCCAGGGCATTCTGGGAAATGAGAAACCCCTGTGAATCTGCAGAGTGGCACATGCCGAGTACGGAGGCCAGTGGTCTTCCTGCCGTAGGCGGGCAAGCAGGTGGCCGGCGCCGCAGCATGAAGAGCGAAGGATGATCTGGCTGGCCTAGGCCCAGGCCTTATCTGGGCCAGGCTTTGGTTCCCACAGAACAGAATCCCACTGCAGAACTAGAGTACAACAACACCCTCCCACCCATGCTCCCCAGCAACTGCTGTCTGCAGGTGCTTCGCCGCAGTATCCTCAGCTTCTTTAAGAGCCAGGGAAGCCTCCTAGTATTTGGAAAGCTTTGGATAAAAGGCGTGCACATTTACACAGTCTGCGATCCCACAGTGCCACCGAGTGGTTGTGCAACGGAACACATAGAAAGGCGGCAAAAAGACATGTGTAAAGGAGCCGACCTGGAGCCCACAAAGGACCTGGAAGCAAAAGTCTCACGTCAAGAAGCCCACAAGGTATGAAATGGGGGCGGGGCAGGGGGAGGAGAGGTGGCGAATGCTGTGCTTCACAGCTGACCCATTTCAGGTGCCCCACCCCTGCTCCACAGCGCGGTTGCTAAATCCAGGCTCCGACATCGCCTAGGTGCGCCGCTGGCCAGAGCTTGTCCCGAGAGATAAGCTGGGAAGAGGGTGACTCAGCCACCAGAGCCGTGCAAACATGCGCGCCAGGTTGGGTGGGGAGCTCCTCCATTGTCCCGGCTGAGATGTCCAACATCTGCAGGAAGGTCACTAAAGAATGGGTGGTTTGAGACTTCCAAATGGTGATTCAGACCCTTGGCTTGGGCTGAGCTGGGCGGGGGCCGCGTGGAAGAGCCTCGCCCATGTTACAGGGCTTCTTTGCATTTTGGCAAAGCAAAAGGATCTGTTCCCAGGGACCTGAGAGGCAATCTGGAAACACAACAGAGCTCGCTTCAGTGCTTGCTTGTTTGCAGATGCCTGGTCGTGCAGAAGAAAGGGCTGATGCCACAAGCATGTGCAGAGTGCAATTTCCTTCACGCCCTGGCATGATGGGAAATTTAAGGGGTAGCTCCCCATCTGGGGCACCTGGAAGTCTTGACCTGCTACTGAGAACCCTTTAAAAAACCCAGTGCTCCAATCAGCGCCCATCAGCCAAACCGTTATCCTTTTTTCTGGTCCTATTTTGCTGCTGCATGCCATCGTTTGGGTGATTCGTAATTGTCCGCCCCACCTGCAGCTTCCACGGGCACACGGATCCCGGAGGGGGTGATGGCACTTCCAAAAGGCAATTCCACCGCTTCAAACCTGGAACCATCCCCACACCTCCAAAAAAGCAGCCCATGAGCAAGTGTGGCCAGAAGACTGCCTGGCCCGTGCCTCTAACAATCATTCAAAATGCAGGGATCATACCATGCGATACTAATAAAAAGGCTTGCATGGCAAGCCCCTGAATTTCTGCCAGCAAACTCTAATTAATTGCAGGATGGGTCTAGTTTAAACTAGCTGAGCTGCATCCTTGAGTAAATAACACCTAGTTAAGCTGGTGGGGGGAATTCATTAGTAAAATGGCAAGCAATCATCCACCCAATTTCATCAATTAATCAAATAACACTATGCCTATCTAGTCAGAAATAAGCCCCGCTGTGTTCATTGGAATGTATCCTCAGGTAAATATGCATCAGATTGCAGCCAAAGTAATATTTTTTAATCACTCCTTGATTTCATTAAATTTGAATATCCCAAAGGCTTCACAAGTTCCTATTTTTTCCATGCCTTGCATTTTAATGCACTCAACCTGCCAAATGAATTTGTCACTCATCTTTAATTCCCTTGGCTAACTGCTTTCAGAAGTAGCACCCCCTCATCTTGAGAAATGCTTCACAACCCCTCCCCCTTGGTAGAACCTAAACCCAGCAGAACAAAAGAAATCAGTGGGGCAGTGTTGGGAAAATTCAGATACATCCTGGCATGAAAAGGTTGCTCATATGTGCCTTTGTGTTAGAAAAATACCTGCACCCCTTCCTCAGAAAGCACCAGAGTTCCAAGGCCAGGTTACGGTTTAGCATCTGCTGTTACTTTAAGAAGTGGGAACTCATAGCTGCCCTGGCTATTTCCATTCATCAGTAAGAGCTGCTAAGGCTGCCAGGTCAACAGCATTGCAATCACCCTCATTTGCATTTACAATAATCCCCTTGATCACTTATGTTCATATCCTGCAATCAAATGCCATTGCATTGAGCCCCCTCTGCGGACCCCTCACCTTCTTCTGCCTGTGTTCACCTTATTTCCTCATCCACTGCCCAGCTGCTGGGCCCACGTGACTCAGAATCTATAAAACACTCTGTGCATGTTCTGGAAGCTTGTAGTTGGCAGTGAGAACCACAGCATATCCAATAGTAACTGTTGTAAGTAACTGCAGGGGTCCTGAGTGATCTCTCAATAAAACTGTTGAGGTTCAAGGCAGAAGGGGTCTTTCCTGCCTAAACCCACATATCCTGCCTCCTGGCGGCTATCAGTTGCCAGGTAATCTTGGACCCCAGACTTTGTGCTCCATGCCCCAAATTTACTTTAGATGACTATCGCTCCACTGAAGAAGCTTACAAATGGTGTGCCTTTTCTCCCCACTATTTCTGGCTAGCTAGCTAGTTCTTAACCCAGGGCCATGGCCTTTCTGGGGTTCCCTTTCCCAATATTCATGCAATTCCTTCCCCCACTCTGAAAAATTAAACTGCTTCTCCTTAGGTTCGGGGTGCTAAAAGTCCCATAATTCTCAACGTGTGAACTTTCTGTCTAAAGATGTGCAGGGTCATATCCGTAGCAATCATGCATATTTCATGCTAAAAGTTTCCAACACAAAGGAACTTGCTTCTGAGTAAAACATGCGCCGGATCAGAATGATCCCCCCCCCCCCCCCGCCGCAGGTGGAAAAGAAAGTTGACATGGGTTTTTCCCCAGTTCAGTTTTTATTACGACTTTCTCCAAAAGAATTTCTCCTAACCTGAGAAGGACAACACAACTAATTGCATTCCGTAAATAGCCACGTGGTTGTGAACATGGAAATGTATCAGCTACACAAGTATCAACCGAGGTAGAGCAAAGATCCACACATCTGTTGGTTCTAGAGCACGCCACCTGCTCCAGCGCGCAGGTCTCCAATCCACTGCATGGCAGGTGAGTGTTTCCCTCTCCAGGGTCGCGACATCAGTCTTTTAGCGGTCAAAACTAAAGAAATAGTTCTATTTATTTATTTATTTATAACATTTCTATGCTGCAGCCATCCCCGAAGCCTCGGGGCGGCTTACAGGGAAAACAAATAAACAAAGCATAGAACAATATTCACAATTCGGAGTTCTCGGAGATAATATAAAACCATTGAATAAAACACAGCGTCACAATTAAAAATTAAAACAAATTCTATAAATAAATTTATTTATTAAAATACGCTAAAAATTAAAATAAAGCCAACGGTGGCCTGGTGCCATCTAGCAGCCATCCCGGAAAGGCAGAGTTTCAGGAAAGGTGGCCAACTTTTCCAGCGCCCCTGGCTGTTGCGATTCTCAGCAGCAGCTGGGTGTATTCTGATCTCCAGGAGGAGGAGGAGGAAGAGGAGGAGGAGGAGGACGCCCCCTCTGCCGGAGGCAGCTCTTCAGCGCGCCGCAGCCGGAGAAGCAGCCCCGCGGAGGAAGGGTTAACCCTCCGCCGCCGCCGCCGCCACGGTGGGCCCGTCCGGGGCCGGCTGCCTGCATTCCTCGGCCCGCGCTTCGGAGCGGGGCCTTCGGCAGCTGCCGGGGCCGCATGAATGGGCTCCATTGACGGGCGCCGGCGCTGACCCCCCCGCCCCCGCCCCCGCCCCCGCCCCGGCGCGCACTGCCCCGCTCCCCTGCGCCTGGCTCAGCCGCAGCGCAGCGCAGCGCAGCGCGGGGACGCAGCGCAGCCCGGGCCGGGGACGCCGCGCCCCAGCTCGTCCGTGATGCTCAGCAGCTGCTACCAAGGTAAGGGGTCCCGGGAGCGAGAGCGCGGGGCTTCGGGGCTTTGCAGGGGGGTGCCCTCCCCGGGGGAGGGGGCCGCGGCCCGGCTCCTGCCCCCCCCCCAGTCCCACCCCGGCTCACTCGGCCGCGTGTCTTTCCCACTCTCTTTCCGCAGGAGGCAAAGCCCTCGGGCTGCTCAAAGCCAAGCAGGAGAGCAGGCTAGGAGAAATCAACCAGGTGGGTCCCCGGGGTTGCCTGGGTGCTGTGCCTCTGCTCACGCGGCTGCGCGGGTCGCTTTCTTTTCCGGGCGGCGCGCAGTGGCTGCCTTGGTGGTGTTGGGGCCGGGGCAAGTTTCTCGTTTCCCGACTCTTAGGAGATGTATCCCCCTGGGGAATCGCAGTCTGACATCCCTTCCCGCGCCTTTTGAGGTGTGTGGCTCCAGCCCCCATCGTCCCCAGTCAGCATGAAGTGAAAGGAGCCGCCAGGTAGTTCCACAAGTCTTTGGCTTGGGAAGGCTGACCCTAAACTTCACCAAACTTGGGAGAGGAGTAGTCAGGGGTGGGGGAATAAATGCGGGTACAGATCACGCGGTAAATGTAAGATCTGTTTAAAAAGCAAAGGCGGTGGGAAGCCCTGCCCGGGCGACACTGCAAAATGCTATCCAAGGCAGTGTGTGGTTAGGAGATTTTAGACTCTGGGCTTTACTGGGAAGGTGTTGGGGCTGCAGAACTGTTTTCGGACTGAGGGCCAAATTCTGTTTTAGTAGGCAGGGGGAAATGACAAAGGGCTGGACACCAGAAATGCTGGCAGAAATGCTGTTATCTTGATTCTCTTTCTGCGGTGTCTAAACCTTTAGAAGGGGCATTTCAGCTTTTGCAAAGGCACTGTGGACTAGTGGTTAGAGCACTGAACTGAGACTCCAGAGATCTGGGCTCGAGTTCCCATTTGACCATGGAGCTCACCAGGTGGCATTGGAGGACAACGACAACCACAATTTATTACAGTAAGGGACCAGTCGCCGACTCTCAGCCCGACCTGCTTCAAAGGGCTGTCGGGAAGATAAAATGGAGAGGAGGGAGCTGTTGCGGGGAAAAAAGGTAGGACAGAAACAGAATAATCTGCACAAAGGCCAGGGAACTATTAAATGCAAAGGTGGTTGAGGGAAAGTGGGAGGAGAGCCAGCCAAAGTCTGTGGTTCATCTACAGAGCAAAGGTCCCTGCCCCAAGGAGATTCCATAGCAAGGAGATTCCATGAGGCATCTGTGGGGAAGCCAAAGCAAGGTCAAGAGAGCGGGTGGCTGTGGGTTAAAATGTGGCCAGAAGCGAAGAAGCAGGGCATGGTGGGGACTGATAAATGAAACAGGTCTTTCTCCACTATAACATCTTTCATGGGCTGCCTCTGAATGTTGGTGGCTGTGGATAATTAGAGGAAACAGCCCTGCCTCCATGCATGCATTTGACAGACTCACAACAGAGTTCATTATGGTCACCGGGCTAGTGTAGAAAGAGGCACAAGGAGCAGAATCCAAAGTAATTTTAAACTGCAAATGAATTGCAGGATGAATCATCCTGCCATCACAATTACACACAATTTAGCACCTTTAAGAGTGGTGTGTGCTTTACACTGGGAAAAGTAATGCACTGAAGAGGCATCTGGATGTCCTGGCCAATGCAAAAGAGTAAGTAAAACTTCCTTTGTATGTCCCAAAGAAAAAGATGCATATAAAAGGATGTGAGTCACTGTTTAACTCTCCCTGGACTTAACGATCATTGGAAGGAATTTCCCTCTATCTGCCTTCAGGGAGAGCTGAAGTAAAAGAATGGCCAACAGTGAGTACAAAGGCTCCATGGTATCATTGCAGTGAAGGGGAGTCAAGATAATCTGCCAGATTTGCTCCATCCAGTTGGCTGGGTGGCCCAAAAGGCCAAGAAGAAGGCCCTGCCTTCCTTGTGTCCATCACTTTCCAGCTGCAAAGCAGAGTTTTGCTGGCCCATGTGGATCGGAGAATTGATGGCACTTGGCCAACCAGGGAAAACATAAATGTCAACCAGAGATTAAAGACGGGAAGCCAAGCCCTCGTTCCAACCTTTGGGATGCCAGCCTCAGAGCCTAAGATTGACCTGGAAACGCAGTGCGGTGCTTGGAAGGGGCTCTCCAGAATTTAGCTTGGGCTGCTTGGAAAGGGCCGAGAGCGGGATATGGCTGGTTTGTGCCCCATACTAAAGTGTGTGTGGAGGGGGCCACTTTGCCTTTAAAAAGCTTTTTGCTGCCAACACATAACTGCCTCTGGCGTGTGTGTGTGTCATATGTTGTTCAATTGCAAAGTCATGCCCGACCCTTCGCAACCCCATGGGCAACATTCCTCCAGGCTCTCCTGTCCTCCACCAACCCCTGGAGTCCACCCAAGCCCCATTGACCCCATCCAGCCCCCTCAACCTCTGCCGTCCCCTTCTCCTTTTGCCGTCGTCCATCATTCCCAGCATCAGGGGCTTCTCCAGGGAGTTGTTCCTTCTCATTAGGTGCCCAGAGTATCTGAGCTTCATCTTTAGTACCTGACCTTCTAAAGAGCAGTCAGGGTTGATTTCCACATATATATATATATATATATATATATATATATATATATATGGCACAAGCCCTTCTGTGAGGTGGCTGACTGATAAAATCCACATGCATCTTCTGTCCACTCTTAGCCTGCAGACAATGTCCAAATATTTAAAAGTCTGTTCTACAACGTGGCCACTTATATAACTTAATGATTTCTTTGGAGGGGGTTCATTATGACAATATTGTGCTGGGAGCCACTCAAGTTCTCCTCAATCCAATGAGTGAGTGTGGAAAAAAACCTGTTTCCTTTGAGTGGATGGAAATTAGAACGATGAAAGACTCTTGCCAAAGAGCTGAAATAGAAATTAAATAACAGCCAAGCGAGGTGCAGCTTTGCCGAATGTCTTTAATGCTTCGACTAGGCCTGAATTTTGACCAGATCCATTTTCTGGCTGCAGAATCGAAAAGTGTTTCGAAACCCGCAGTTTCTGCCAAGCGGGAAGACAGTGCTTGTGCTTTTCAGCACCAAATGTTGCAAAATGAGCACCTGATCTGGAGTGGAGCATTCATCCAAAGTTGCCCTGTTTACCAGCCAGGACATTCTCAAGATGCAGCCAAGCTAAACAGGTTGAAAACAGATATCCAAAACATGTCCAGCGGACTAATTATGCGAGGGAGAGCAAAAGAGCCCACAGCCTGCTTGTCTATTCCTGATGGACAATGACAGAGAAATGTTGCAATGTGGGCCATTGCCAATTCCTGCAAAGTTAGCCAGTGGGATCTCGCTTTCCCATGGTTCCTCCTGAATGTTTGCTGTTGACTTGTGAAGAGCCCTTTCTGTGCCGTCTGCACAAACTGGACCGTGAGCAAACCTCGACAATCCCGGAGCGGAAGCTCGGAGACCTGCATAGGCAGACCTGGATGGAGGCTTCATGTCCCTGGTTGGCCCAAGAGCATTTGCCTGTTCAGCATTCTTGCTCCCCATTTAAAACATGGCATGCAAAGAAACTCAGCTCCCAGCCTCTCCCAGGCTCATCTCCTTGCAATATGCAGCTCGGGGGCATTGTGAGGAGGTGGCCCACTAGGACTGGCTCCCCAAATCTTACATTGGAAGGCCCAAGTCCCTGGACAGCCATCTCCTTCTACAGCCCACTGTCCACGAGAACTTTCTGAAATAAAGCGATGGGAGCGCCAAGATTTGTTGCAGCAAAACTCCTTGGAGTTCTTCCCACACGCATTTCTGCTCGGCTGCTCCCCTGCCTGAGACTCTTTTTCCTGAAAGCCAGTGCCCTTTGTTGAAATCAGGATCTCCTCTGCAGACAAGGCCCTTTAGAGGTGCAGACATTCTGCCAGATGTTAGAGCATCTGCAACTTAGCCTACCAATGTGTGCATTTCGGGGGGACCGGCTGAGCTCCCACCCTTCAGTTCCTAGGCCCACCCCTCACAACTGCTGGTAAAACCTCTCAGCACAGTCAAAGCTGATTTCAAACTACCCTCCATTTAAGGCACAGTCCTACACAGCTGTAGGCAGAAAAGCGCCCGTCGGCTTCCAGGCTGAAAGGAAAACCTTTTTCTCTGCCTTAAGCCTGCGCAGAAGAGCACCCCAGGTGATGCAAGAACAGGAAGGTGCAGCTTTCATCCACTCTCTCTGGGGCTCTGGGAAAACCTGCTGTAGAAGCTCTGAATATTTTGAGCACCTTTTCCCCACCCGTTTAGGGGAGGGGAGGTTACATGAAAGAAATTCAGATGTTGCACCCTCAGAATATCTGTCTGGTGGCTTCTGGGTGTCTTGCAGCTGTTCTCTTGCAAGGGCATGAGAAAAATACGGGGACAGCTCTCGGGCAGCTGGTTCTAATTGGGAAGCAGATTATTTGGAATTGCCAGAAGAAAGTATAGGCTGGGGCCAGCAGTGGGGCTGATGGGAGCTGAAGTCCAAAGCATCTGGGGGAAAGCTGTGCTAGATGGCGTTCCTTTCCTTTGGACACCAGGCCTATCCACCGGGAAGCCCAGCAGACCGACTGCAAGGAGGACATCCAAGCTCCAAACTGGGGGCGGTCATGCCCCGTCAAGCCTCACCCTCCCCACCACAAAACAGGTTGCAACGCTTCCCATCGCCCTGTGATGTTCCTAGCTCAAGTTACTGATTATGAACATAAAAACAGAAGAAAACACCAACTGGCCGTGGGACCCACAGGCACGGCATGAATGCCACAGAACCCTCCAGCAGCTGGTGCACCCAGGCACCCTGCCTTTGACCTGCAGGAAGCCTAGAGCCATCAGGACTAGTAGCATTGATCACTCCCCCACTCAGGAATTTGTCAAGGCCCCTTTTAAAACTGCCCGCTTGGTGCCACTGCTCCATCTTATGGAAACAAATTCCAAAAGGATCCCAGAGCAAACAAGCATTTAAACAAGAGAGTCGCTGCCTTACAGGCTTACAATCTACAGGGCACAACATGCAAGAAGAAAGGGAAGGGGAGGGAAGAGAAAAAGCGAAGCCCTCTTTGGATGGGGCTGGTGGAATGTCCCTCTTTCTCTCTCATCCCCTTCAGTTGCATGGGATGAGCACGCTCTGCTGAAGCAAGACGTGAACGCACATCTCTGGCTGGCATGCTGGGCTGCATTACATCGATCCCTTTGATGATTATTCTTTGCAGATGATGCTTTCGCAGCCAGAATGGTGCCCTCCACGCACGACAGACGCCTCACCAGGCCTGGAGAAGGCCAACATTGGAAAAACACCAGTCAGCTTTCAGTGTGGCCATTCCTTCTGGGAAGAGATTCCACGTTTCGAGCACATGCCTGGCGGACAGAAATCCAGCCTATCGCCACACATGGCACTTCAAGGCTCTTGCACCCCCCTCGCTTCCTGCCTGTGGCTTCCTACCCTTCTGATCCCCCCTCTCAAAAAAACCCGGCTTTCATCAGCCTTGATCCCGGGACTTAAGCACCGGCTTCCGGCCCTGGCTAGTTCACGGAGATCAAGGTGCCGGGTCGGGGGAGGGGGGCATGTGCGGAAGGAACGGGAGAGCGGCTGGCTTTGCACACGCGTGTCCAAGCTCCTGGTGCGAGGCAGCCGCTGTTTCGGGGGCGGGGAGGGTGCAGGCCCAGGACAGCTTCCAGTGCTCACCTGTTCTTTCAGCGGCTTCCCTCGGCAATCACCCTACGAAGCAGAGCAGCGGGCGCAAAACCGGCTCTTTGGAACCACAGCCGGGCCAAAGAGGGATGAAAGCATATTCTTGGAGGATGTGCAGAGGAGCACGCTGCAGGCCAGCGGCTTCCACATGTTTCGGACTACAACTCCCATCAGCCCCAGCAGGCCTGACCTGTGGTCAGGAAGTCAGGAGACAGAGGTGTCTCCTGCTTCTCCCCCTCATCATGTCCAGAGGGTGGTCTGGAGGCACATACAACCTTCAGTTGTGGCGAAGCTAAGCAAGTCTGCGGCTGGGCTGAGCTTGGAGGGGAGACCATCAGGGAACCACATCCAAGCACCTTGAGAAAGGTGGGATATAAATATAATAAATAATGCCCCCACTCTGGGCAGAGTGAGAGGCAGACTGCAATGGGGGAGAAGGGCAGCAACTCCAGGGGGATGTAGTCTGTGGCCCCCTTTTGGGTATGGGCCCTTGGAAGATGCCCAATCATGCCTACCATTGGTGCTGGCCTCGGCTTATACCTGTTTAGCATCCGAGCTGGAACCACATGAGGTTTCTTCAGACCAAAACCTCCTCTCACAGGCAGCAGGTACAGGCCGGAAAGTGTGAGTGTTTGTTTTCAAAACCTGGCAGGACCGCTTGGCGTGAGCATTGATTGCAACAGCCCCCGGAAAGCCAACGACTCCGGTTGAGCAAGGACAGGTGGGCCCAGGCGAAGGCTTCAGGGCTTTCAGTTCAGGCCAGAGCAAATTCTGACGCCGGCTGTTTGTCCGCAGCGCTCCTCCTCGCTCCCTTTTGCACATTCGATGTGCCTGGCAATCTGGAGAAAGAGAATTGAGAGCTTCACACATCCTGAAAGAGAGTCACCCCCCAAAACTCCCCCTCTGTGGCAATTCGACTTGCTGGCCTGAATCTTCTGAGTTCTTCTGAGTTGAGGACAGCTGCTAAATATTGGCTGGCACCCACGCTGCTGCCTTGCTTTCAGAAGGCCGTGCCTTTAAATATTATTCCTCTGAGTTGCTCACCCATCCGAGCCGAGTGTCTGTCCCCTTCACCAGCCCTCCAGAAGAGAAATCTGTTGTGTACACAGGATGGGGTGTGGGGGACACTCATCCTGACTCAGGCCTGCCCTGCCATTCTTGCCTGCCGCGCGGCTGAGCCGGGTTTGAATTTTGACCGTGGGCAGCAGCTTTCATTTGGGTGTCAGCCCCGGACAAGGGGATGGAAGAGCCTGCTCTGGAATCTGCCTGCTTTTCCTTCCTCATTCCCACCTCTCCATGGGAAGCGGGTTGGATGAGAGAATTCCAGGTTAGTGCGCTCTCGTGATTTCCACTTTGCAAGGCCATGGGGTTGCCATTTGCAACTCTGGGGCAACTGGTTTTAACTGCAAAGCGGATGCTTTGTTCTGCATTGCCAAAGGAAGGTATCGGCTGGGAACCATGGCCTGCCTGGCTGGGGTTGATGGGAGTTGAAGTCCCAACTGCCCGGGGGCCGGGGAAGGCTGTGTGAGACGGTGTTTTGTTCCCTTGCCCATGGGAAATTCAGTGGGATCGGCCTCCCATTTCTCTTAGCATCCCTTTAGTCACTGCGAAGAGCACCTCCGTAGCTTTTCGCGTCGGGGACGGCCAGGCATAAACTCCACCGCAAACAGAGTTGCCGCAACCCCATAAAGTCTTCCTCATTTTTCTTGCAGGTGCCGAACAGCCGCCAAATGGCGGAGCATCTTTCTCCCCGCTGCCCCCAGAGAGTCATTCTCAATCTCGGGGCACATGCGGACCATTTGCTTCTCCCGTTGGCTTTTCTTATTATTATTATCTTGCCAGCTGTGCGACGGCTCAAACCTGATCCTGCCCCAAAGCTTCTGAAATCGCTGCAGCATAGTTGACATACCAGCCTCGTCTGGGATGGCACGGCAAGGTCACCCGCCGGCAGCCAGCTTGGACCTTATATGGAAGAGCAGAAACTTTGCTCAAACTTTCCCAAGGCTGGAATGACCGCAGGGCAGGGTTGCTGGCCCGCTCCTCCCTGCCCTGCCCTGCACTCATGGCAGCAGATGGCGATTCCAAACTGGGAAGCCCCCTCTCCTGCCCCACCCGCATCCTTCTCCTATCTGGATGCCTGAAACCGGAGACCTCGGTGCAGGGTTGTCCCTCGGGATGGGAAATGAACCATAGAGTCATAGAATAGCAGAGTTGGAAGGGGCCATGGAGGCCATCCAGTCCAACCCCCTGCTGTGGCAGGACACCACATTACACCCTCCCACTCAGAGGGCTGTCCAGCTTCTTCTTGAATGTCTCCAGTGTGGGGGAGCCCCCCACCCCTCCAGGCAGCTGATCCCACTGTCATGTTGCTCTGACCGTGAGGAAGCTTTTCCTGATGTACCGCCTGAATCTGGGTTGTCGCACCTTGAATGGATTCTTCCGTGTCCTGCACTCTGGCATCCGCAGGAAGAGATCTTGACCCTCCTCTTTGGGACAGCCTTTGAGAGACTTATAGAGGGATCTCATGTCCCCCCTCAGTCTTCTCTTCTCCAGGCTGAACATGCCCAGTGCTCTGGCTTCCACACCTCCGATTCCAGCCTGCCCTCAAACAAGGCCCGCGTTGGGCAAAACTAAATTCCCTCCAGATCAATGGCACTGGTCCCTGAGGGATAAACCACGCAGGCCTACTTTGCAGGGTTGTTGTAAAGATTAGCGAAAGGGCCAACTCCACCTGATGCTCCAATGGATGAGAAGCTTGATGTGAGATTGTTCTTGTCTCTTGAAGAAGCTTCGTGGGCAGCAGATTCAGAAGAAAAAAGCTTTCTCTCCTGCAGATCTTCTGCTCCAGATCACCCGTTTCCAGCCACTTCCCCTCGCAGCCACAAAACAATCTCCAGTGTGCTTTGAAAACACGTTTCAGCTGCAGGCAAGGAACGCTGGTTTTCCTGTCCCGACTCAGCCCGCCCCCCCCCCCGCCCCGCCGGGGTCCTATGGCTTTTTTTTAGCTTATGGAGTCCTAGCAAAACACTAGCACCTTGGATTTGATATTTTCAGAGGCATGAAACCTAAGCCGCACCGAGACACTGCTCAAGGATTCCATCCACGATCTCAAGAATTTCTTTCTTCCAGACCTGTATTCAGGGGTATCCATGTGTTTTCTTCTTCCTTCCCACAGGAATTTCTGTGCGACCCGAAGTTCAGTGATGATGAGGATCTGGAGGACAAACTTGCCATGTTTAAAGGTATCAGAGCAAATTGTACACGGAGGTCTTTTGGCATAGCCCCATGGCGGTTTGCCTACAGTTTTGCCCCAGACGGGTGCATGGGGTTGGCACAGGGGGCACTGGATGCCTGCCTGGGCCCAGAGGAATCGGCCGTCCTGCATCTGTGGGGCATCGGCCCCTAACCCCAACCCCGCACTATTTCTCACAGCCCTGGGTGTCGGTGTCCCTTCTTGTCAATGGAATTTTTCCGCTCTGCCTTTCTTCCGCCCGCAAGGAGTCTAAGGCTGCTGAGACAGTTCCCCTCCTCTCCATTGATCCTCACAGCAACCCTGCGAGGTAGGTCAGGCTGAGAGTCTGTGACCCAGGGAGCTTCTCGGCCAAGGTGGGGCTAGAACCCGGATGTCCTGAGCCTCAGTCCAGCACAAAAAGAGGCCCATTTTTCAAGCTTTCCTGCAGTTTACAAACCGTCTCTCTTTCGCCCACTGATCTGGAGCGCCAGTGGGGGAGCCCTGTTACAAGGCATGCCAGCTGGGGATGCTGGTACTTGCAGTCCACACTTCCGAAGGACACCAGGTGCAGGGAAGGCCTCTTAAGAGCAGGCTGTGGCCAGCCGTGCCCCATTTCTCCCAGTGCCAAAAGCAGATCCACAAAGCCCCCCTCCCTCCCTCCCTCCCTCCCTCGGAATGGTTGGCTTTGGCGCCTGCTTCCCAGCTGGCTTCTGCAGAGTCCCGTCAAAGGACCTGGGCCGTAAGTGCCTGGGACAAGCTTCCAGACTTTCTCCTTGGCGGTTGCCAAGAGGCAGATGTGGGATGCAGAAATCGGGGTCTTGGAAGGCCTGCTTCCTTCGCAGGGCGGCTTTGTGGAGCGTACACAAATCCGCCTCCGTTTAGGTGGCGAAGGCAGTTCAGACCGGCCCGCTCCCAGCTCCCCTCCCCAGGGTCCAGCGGCTTGACCTGGCGGAACCACAAAATGGGAACCATACGGACACGCTCTGCCTCCAGCGTGGGCTCTGGGTCCTCACTGGACGCTTGCGTGCTTCTTCTGCTTGGTCGCACCGAGCCAGGACAGGGACTCCACTGAATGCAGATGCTGGCTCTTGGCAAGAGATCTCCTGGGCATGTGCAGAGTTCATTTGCCCCCGGGAAAGTCCTACTTTTGAATTAAAGGGGGGGCTGAAACATCTGCGGGATGGCTTCCCCTGGGAAGAACGGCCTCCAAGCCACAGACTGCCTGGGCATGCTCGCTTAAACGCCTCTGCAAGCGCCTCCCTCCCGCCCAGTGTGCCAGGATTCCCTTTCGGGGGATCGGGGCCAGAAGTACCCATTTGGGACACCTCTTCCTTCCAGCTTGGAAGATCATGTCACCATCTGCCTTGCAGACCTGATCTCACGCGGCAAAGCACGTCGAGGGTTATCGTGGCGGAGAAATGAACGTAAATGAACATAAATGGCAGATGGGCCGAACGGGAGACAAGCTGCCTTTCCCCGTGGCTGCCTAGGAAGCTTGTCGAGCTGCAACACACACGCCACGGTTTGGTGACAGTGCCAGGCGGCTGCGGCGCTCGCTTTGGAGCCCAGGGCTGCGAAGGTGGCGGGGGAGCTGTGCTAACCGTCGCTTGCTAGAAAAGCAAGCCGTTCATTACAACCCCATCCCTTTTGCCGCTGAAGGGGAAGGGGATAAAAGAAGGAACTGCCGAGGCAGTGCAGTGTTTGGCTGGGGCTCGGCAGGACGGGGTTCCAGGCCCCTTTCGGCCGTGGGGATCCCTGGACAACTTCAGCAGTCACAGACCCTCAGCCTGACCTACCTCGCAGGGTTGTTGGGAGGACAACATGGAGAGGAAGGGTCGTAAGCCTCCCTGAGTGCTGTGAGAGGGGAAAAGGGCGGATCTGAAGCATCAGAAAGGCAAGACGTTTATAGAGGAAGAGGAAAAGAAAAGAAAAGGCACTGGAATGGACTCCCGGCCGAGCCTACTTTGCAGGGTTGTTATGAAGATAAAATGCAGAAGAGGAAGAAAATCTCCGTCAAGGTGGCCTTTCTGGGTGGGGGTAGGTGAGATTTGTTGTCTGGCACATACAGAGGGGTCCGGGTGGGGAAGGCCAGTGTAGGTAGGACCAAGCTTCATGCCCCACCGGCCTGGCTGAGTTTCCAGGTGGGAAATCCAGGTGTCCAACCTGCCCTGCTTTTCATGGCATCTGTGTGTCCATCATGTTGCTTCGTAACCGAGAGAGAGAGAGAGAGAGAGAGAGAGAGAGAGAGAGAGAGAGAGAGCCATGCCAGAGTGATACGGTAGTTAGAAGGTTGGACTGGGATTCGGATCTGGCCTCCACTTGACTAGGAAGCTTCCTGGACAACTTTCGGGCAGGTGCACAACCATGCCTACCTCGCAGGGTTGCTGGTCGGGATGAGGAGGGGAGAGGAGAAGTCGCTGAAGCCACCTTGGATGCCTTGCAAAGCCAGCACATGCATGTAATAACCAGCACGTTGTGAGACTGAGCTGCCTTCCCTTCCCAGTGCGTTGGAGGGCTGCAGTTGTCCCATTTTCCCCAAGAACACACCCTCCACCTCCCCGCTCTGTGCCACTGGAAACCAGTCAGTGCACCCTGGGAGGGAGGATCATTTCCCCTCCGGAGCAGAGCAGGCCTTCTCCACACTGTGCCAGCGGCCTCCGCCTCTGCCCGCGCTCCTCAGCCCGCGCTCGCCCTGGCACTTTTTGTCTCTGCAATTCAAAGCCCCATTCGAACACGGGAGTCCCCAAGTGGCTGCCCCTCAATGGGGCCATTGTTCAGCCTCCTTCCCCCCCGCCGGGCCAAGAGGCACAGGAGCTGCCCGCAGAATTGGCAGGCGGTCACGTAACGCGCTCTGTGTGGGAGCGGGCGTGCTCCGGCGGGATTGCGCCTCACTGCACTCGGGATGAAAGGGCCATGTGGGGGCCCTTCTTCCGGAGAGACTCCAGTCCCGGATGCTGGGAATGGAGAGGGGGGAAGCAGGGCCGTGCAAGGGTCCAGCTTGCTTCAGTGCTTTTCCGGCCAAATCCTCGGGGAGCAGAGAACGTGCAGGGCCAAGGGTCAGCACGGACGGGCCCCTGCCAAGGACTCCAACCTGAACGGGGGCCCGTGGCCAAGAGCCCTGGGGCCTGCCCCTCCTCTGCCCCATTGCAACTTGCCTGCCCACCTGCTTGTCTCTCTGGCCCACCAAAGGTGATGGTCAGGGTCAGTCCCAGCCCTGGGCCCTCCAAGCAAGCAAGCGGGAGCTTTGATGTGTCGGTGCATTCGAGGCGCAACCTGCTTTGTGCTTGCAGTGAACCCAAAGCAGCCTGTATTGTTCTCCTGCTGCTCTCAATCCTATCCTCACAACAACCCTGTGAGGTAGGCCGGTCTGAGAGTCTGTGACTGGCCCCAAGTCACCCAGTTGGCTCCCTGGCCGGGCAGGGACTGGAACCCGGGTCTCCAGCATCCCAGCCCCGCGCTCTTAACCACTGCGCCACCCTGGCTCTCCAGTGTGAGTAAGAGGGGAGGGGAGGCCCTGGAGGGGAGAAGGCACGGAGGCTGCTGATTCCTTTGCCGGGGGGGTGGGGGGGTGTCCTTCCCCATGGCAGCTTTTATTCTGAATACTCCAGGACAGTGATGGCGAATCTTTTAGAGCCCAAACTGCAACCCAAAACCCACTTATTTATTGCAAAGTGCCAACACTGCAATAAAACCTGAATACTGAGGTTTTCGTTTAGAAGAAACAATTAAATATGATGCTGCAGATTCACACATGCCCGGGGGACAGCACAACGTCAAAAGCATCCCAGTCTCTTAATCAGAACATCTCTTTGCTAAATCTTAGATATTAAATTGCACCCTTTTGAAAACTCAGAGCTAAAATCTTGTGTTAATAAAAATGAATGTAATAAGCTCACAGCCAGTCCAAGCAAATATGTATCTATCTCCTTGGCAGCACACTGATCGGCCATGCGAAAGCTTGGATGAGTCGTGGCTAATAAGTCATGGTTTGTAACGCCATCGCCTGGCGCTGCTACTCCTTTCCGAGCATGCGCATGGCCCCCGCGTGCGCCGTTATCCGATGCTCGGCTGCTGGGGCGATGCTGGGGCGACTCGGCTGGCGTGCCGGCCGAGGGGGCTCTGTGGGCTGTGCCCGCTGCGGCACACGTGCCATCGGTTCGCCACCCCTGCTGCAGGAGCCCTCCCTGGTGGAGCCCATGTGCAGAGAGGGGTGCAGCACCGTGGACGCTCGGGGTGCAGGCTGCCGAAGAGAAGGGGCCGCACGAACACGGCAGTCCGCGGGAGAGACCTGTGTCCTCCTTGGGGAGCTGCACCCGCACCCACCCGGTGGGCAGAGGCGACTGTGCAGGAGTTGCAGGGAGCCTCTTGTCGAGGGAGGGCAAGTTATTCTTACAGACAAATCGGGTCATTTCTCATCTTGCCAAACCCCCGATGGCTTCGGGAGCCCCCGCTCCAGTTTATCCACACAACAACCCTGTGAGGGAGGTGAGCCTCCGCCAGCATGATTGGCCCAGTGTCACCCTGCGAGCTTCACGGCCACGAGGAGGCTGGAACCGGGTTGTTGGTGTCCCTGCTAGCCAGGTGACTTACAGACCCCTCAACCAAATGCCAATAAGGTTCGGCAGGCGGAGATTCTTTTTAGTTTCTTTCATTCAGCTGAGCAAAGGCACCGGGTGACTGCTCCCACATGCAGCAGGCAGGCAGCAACACAACACAATCCTGCTTTTCTCTCTCTCTCTCTCCCTCAATCTTGCCCCCACTGTTCCCTCGCCCAATCCCCCCTCGGGGTCTGCCTGACCCTTTCACCAATCCCCTTGCGGGGCCTGCATGTCCACTGCACACCTGGCCTGTGAAGGCCCCTTACCTGCGTCCAGGTGGAGCGTGATCCCTGCGTGCCAGTCCTTGCTGGGGGGCCTTCTCTCACTCACTGCCGCTGATCGACATTCCTTTGCCTTCTCCCTTTTCCTCTGCAAAGCAAGCCGTTATACAGAAAGCAAATGGCATTCGTTCGGCTGAAAGCTAACGACATTAGTTACACTAATCAGGCTCCTTCAGGATCCCCGCGTCCCAGCCAAGCTGGGCAACGCTTCCGTGTGGCTTTGCCCCGAGAGCCAGCCGGGGCGGCCGTGGCTGAGCCCCGCTCTTCTTTTCCAGAAAAGTACATGGAGTTCGACCTGAATAACCAAGGCGAGATCGGTGAGTGCCCCTTGTGAGGCGCAGTTCGGGAGCTGGGTGCCTGGACCCGGAGGTGCCCTGCGTCGTCGCGCGTCTGTGCGGAAACGGCCCCTCTTCTGCGCCAAGTTACAAGCCCAGTGAAGGGCCCCGAAAAGCCCACTTTGGAAGCCGGCTAAAGGAGGTGGCGCTGAACACATGGGAAGGGCCTCTCCTCGTCCCTCCGTGGCGAGGCCGGTGGTGGCGAGTGGGCCGGGTTGTATTTGGACAGACGTGGCAGAGCGAACCACTCGGGACGCGGGCGGAGCGTCTCCGGAGCCAGCCCTGCGCCGTTCCCCGGCCCCAGCGCCACCAGCCACCGCTGCCCACAGCCGCCCTGGGGGTGGGAGGCGCGATCTGCACGGGGGGCGGGCTGGGCCGTCCTCTCCCACAGGGCCCCCTTCACCGTGCAGGCGGCTTCAGGGGCTTGTCAGCGCACGGGCACAGCTGGCTCGGCTCCCATGAGTGGGACCCCCTGAGTCCAGTGGACTCATGCCCGGGAACAGGCGCTGTGGTCAGCGGGGGCACAGCCCTGACCCTCCCCCTAGCCGCAGCCCAACAATCCAGGCCGGGGGTTGATCTGAGTCACAAAGCGGGTCTGGTCATTCCTGCCCCCACCTGGAGCCAGGGGGTCTCTGGGGCGGCGTCACCCCCAAATACTTTGCATTATCGACAGGGTGGCACATTCGGGGTTGTGGGGTTCGCACTGCTGGACAGAAACGCTGGAGGGCAGTTCCCCTCGGAGCCCTCCCGCTCCAGCCCTGGCCCCACACCCCTCGCTGTTGCTCCTTGCAGACCTGATGTCTGTGAAAAGGATGATGGAGAAATTGGGTGCCCCCAAGACCCACCTGGAGCTGAAGAAGATGATCTCCGAAGTAACCGGGGGGACCGGCGACACCATCTCCTACCAGGACTTCGTCAACCTGATGCTTGGGAAGCGGTCGGCGGTCCTCAAGCTGTGAGTACCCCAGGCAGGGCCGGGGTGGGGGAGTGGCTGACGTCCGGATTTGAAGCCCGGCTTCTTGAGCTGCAGGGAGCTCGGTGCTGTGGCTTCCCAGGCGGTGCGCTTGCCTTTGACATCCCTGGCACAGCTGGGCCATTTCCGAGCCGGGACTTCCTATCCCGGCACGGCTGAGGGCTGCTCAGGTGGATCCTGTGTGTTACTTCAGCTGCAAAGCTCGCTTTTCTCTTCCCCAGCTCCGCCCCACGCTTTGCAACTGCTTCTGAGCCCCTGGCAAGGTCCGAGGTGTGACGGTTTCCCAACCCCAATCAAAAGCTCAGAGCACATGCGGTTTTTCATTTTCTGCTCACGGAAATCTTAGCACTCCGCACATGACGTGAACTTTGAGCCCTTCCGCTATTCCAGGAGGATTCCCGCGTGGCAAACGCTGCTCTCAGGTCGCTTGTGTGAGTTCAAAACCGGAGTTGCAGGTGTCCAGCCAGGACTCCCCCACAACCCCTCACATGCCCCAGCCAGCCAGTTGGTTCACATTATAGCCCAGAAAAATTGATAATTGCTAATGTAGGTATGGCAACCAGAACATCCACCCACTCTGAATTTCTGCTCCCCTTCTGGTTTTTCACTGCCCTCCTTCTTCTTTCTTTTAGGGTCATGATGTTTGAAGGAAAAGCCAGTGAGAGCACCCCAAAGCCTTCAGGTCCGCCTCCGGAGAGAGCGATTTCTAGTCTTCCTTAAAGGGAAAAAAACCCCTCACAGCCAAACTTCACATCACTTCCCCTGACCTGGGCCTATCCCCAGAACTTCTCTTGGTTAGTTTTATACTAGACATTCATAGAAAGCAATAAACTAACCCACTTTAGCAAAAGGAAAAACAAGGGAATTTGCAGGGACTTTACTCAGAGGAGTTCCTAGATGGCCATTTAAAATAACAACAGCTGTCCTTTCCTCCCTCTCTCCCTCTTCCCCCGCCCTGGTCTCTGTCTCAAAGGCTTGGGTCAGTAGTGAAAAACAAAAATGTGAACCCAAAAGCCAAATCCCACCCCAAACATCACACGGTTGGTTTTCCAAGGCCTCTGCAGTCATGCTACCGAACCATGTGACTTCCCAGCCAACGCGACAGACTTCTGGCCAGCACCGATGTTGCGAGCGTGGCCCCAAAGGCAGCGGAAGGCGTCGAGGGCCAGCTCCCCTCGCCCAGAGATGCATCTCCGGCAGCCACCGCCTCCTCTCCGTCTCCTGCCGCCCTTCCAGCCTCTGCTTGTCTCCTTCCCCACCCAGCCTGCCGCCCCGCTCCAAACCGCGGGGTTAGGGTCCCCCTGCTGACAGCCCTGAACCCCACGCTTCCCCACCAGTGGGTTTGTGGCTGCAAAGAGCAAGCAGGACGGCCTGATGCAGGGCTTGGAGGGAAAGAGGGACGGGGCAGGGGAAGGAAATTTGAACTCCAGCCCTTATGTTATTGGCAAGTCACTTCTTGCAGTACAACCGGCTTCCAGAATTTTATCTGCAATGCTTTCTGTGGTCTGCTGAAAAGAAAAAAGAAAAAAGAAAAGAAAAGAAAAGAAAAGAGATTCCCTCTCAATCTCCCAGACTAATCCCAGAGCTCAGCCGCTCGGGCACCGGGGGATGGCTCAGGGGCAAGACAGCTTGCACGGATCATGCGGGGGCTTCTTGATGGAGACCCTTTTGGTTTTGCAATTGGGGACACGGGGCAAGGAACCTCAGTTTTGGAGAATCTGGGCATGGGGGTAACCACACTGCAGTAGCAGGTGGGCCCAAAGGGAAAAGGTACAGGGGCCAAGATAACGAGCCCATTCCAGTTTTAAAAATCCCAGTGCTCCAGCCAGCCCGGAGCACTTGCTTCTGGGAAGTAAGCCCTGGAAGAGGCATTTCAGTCTTCCTGGATGAGGAGGAAACAGCACAAAAGCTGGGAAAGCCCAGCTGGAGGTTGGGGAAAGGGGATGGAATCTGGGACAGGCAGAGCGGAATCAAGCTGGCCCACGGGCCGGAGGCTCCCCGGCCCTGTGATGAGGGACTTGCTTGGCTGTCTTCTCTTCCCAAGTCGGTGGAAGAGGGCTCCTGGGTTCACTTTGCAAAGGGAAATCAGTTTGCCCGGCCAATTCTGCCCTGCTGTGGAATATTTAGCAAACTGCCTCCATGAGAAACCCTTCAGAGGCTGCAGCAGGGTTAGTTTCTCTTCTTCCTCCCCACAAGCTCAAAGTCTGAACCTCTGACCCTGCAAGCGGGTACTCGGCTCATTTGTGAGTGGCCCCCAGGCCCTTTTCCTTTTGTTTTTCTGCAGTTGCTCTTGGGGGGGGGGGGGGGGGGGGGGGGAGAAGGTGTGGGTGTGCTTCAACCTTGTGCTTGTAAATTCACGATTTTAAATAAAAATAGCAACCCAGTCGCACTGTTTAATGTTCTTGCTTGTATATAAAGGGATCCTTTGCCCTGAGATGAGGCAGATACACTGGGGGGAGGGGGGGAGGGAGGTGGCACATTGTGTTAGCCTATTGCTGGGAAAATTTAGATGAATCCTTATAGGAAAGGTTGCTTATATATGCCTTTGTGTTATACATCCCAACCTGCAGTGTCCCTGCCTCTCTTTCCCAGAAAGGACCAGAATTCCAAGCCAGGCTTCTGTGAGCTGTTCCTTGAAGAGAGTGGAACTCTCAGCTCACCTGCTGAGGACGGTGTCCCAAGGAAAGTTAACCCGTCTATTCTTGTGCTGAGAGCAACAAAACTGGCAAGGGCCAGCCAGGTCTTCCTAGCAGGATTGCGATCACCCTGATTCACATGTCCAAGCCCACAGCCAGGACTGACAATCTTTCCTGATTTACATGGCAATATCCTGTAATCCGTGGTATTGTATTAAGTCCCTTCTGCAGATCTCTCACATTCTTTTGACTGTGTTCCCATTATTTCATTATTTTGTCATCATCTGCTGCTGTGAGGTGACACAGAAGCCATAAAGCACTCTGTATATGTTCTAAAAGCTGGTAGTTGGTTGTGAGGACCGCTATGGATAGCATGCTGTCACTTCAGTAAGTCACTGCAGGGGGCCAGCATGATCTCACCAATAAAACTGCAGGGGTTCAAGGCGATTCAACCTTCCCTACAGGTCCCGGTGTTCATTCCTGCCATTGGTAAGAGACTCTGACACTGTGCAGACACATTCCAGACTGCATGGGTAAGGCCCTTCCAAACCCACTGTCTTCGTGAGAGTGTTTCCCAAACATGAAGTTATCACATAAAATATAAAGGGGTACCAATCCTATTTTAGATTGTAAGTTCCTCGGGGCAGATACCTGTCCTCTTGCACCTAGTAAAGCACCAGGCACAGTGGTGATGCCAGCAACTTACTATTATTAACAATGATGTACTCCTATCTTCAAAAAATACTTAAAAAACCATCCCATTGCCGCCCCGAGGCTTCAGCGATGGGTGCGGCATAGAAATGTTATAAATAAATAAATTTTAAACAGTGCGTCTGCCTCATTTCCAAGTCGATAGCCAGAGTGGTGTAGCAGTTCACTGGGACTCAGGCGATCCAGGTTCAAGTCCCCACTTGGCCGTGGAGCCAACTGGGTGACTTTGGGCCAGTCACAGACTCTTGGCCTGACCTACCTCACAGGGCTGTTGAGGATAAAATGGAAAGGAGGCAGCCACGGAGGATTATGCAGGCAACCTTGGGTTCCTTTGCAGGAAAGAAGGAGATAAGATTGAGAGCAGCAGGAGGAGAATGATGTGAATGTGTAAGAAAAAAGTGGGATATAAATCAAATCAATAGGCTCTGTCCTGGAGGGCTCTTGTGAAGATTGCCAAGGTTAGTTTTCCTCCAAAAAGCGCTTTTTAGTTACGGGCACTGCAGTCCCTAAGCATTTCTTAGATTAGAGGAAGTATAATAAAGCCCCACGCCTGTGACATTGTCCCACACACCCATGCCTGACCATGCGTGAAGGCTGGTCCCATTGAGGCAAACAGCAGTGCAATCTTATGCATTGGAGTTAATCAAGTGTGCACAATTTGGCAGCCTTGAAACAGATACAAATATGTGTGTTTATTAAACATTTCACTCTAGATAAGCCCTGAATGCATAATCTGCCATGTTCACCTTTGAAAAGGGCAAGAGGGTGATCAGTGGCTATCCAGATACTGTGGCCTACAAGCCCCCAAATTAAGGATGACGGATGCTGTGGGCCAAAGTTGCCCACCCGTTTGAGTTTATTTGGGGACTGCAAATCACAGCTGCTACTGTAAGTGCCACGGGGCAGGGCACTTACAGGGGCAGGGACTTACTCTTGAAGTCCTTGAGGCACTATGTATGTAAGGCACTTTGGAAATGAGGGGTTTTTTAAAGTTAAATAATAAGAAATAAACTGTGTGATAAATGGCAAAGAAGCAGCATCCATGCCAAAATCCTGAATTTATCTGTCGCTTTCTAAAGACGCCCCTTCCGTTCACTTCAGAGACTAAAAGAGTTCGGAACGCGAACGTTCTTTATAATCTAATTTTCGTAAGTCTGTGTTTTTATTCTTCTTCCGGTCTCCACCATTTCTAACATAGAGAAATAGACTCTCGGGCCTAGAGCGACACCAGAAGCCGTGTCCAAAACAGGTATCTTCCCCCTCCCACTCGGAAAAAGTTGGTTTGTTTCTCGCGCCCGCCGGACTGAAGGGACGATACGACACCGCTTGCGGCCTGAAGACCCGGCCGCTCCCTCGCGCCCGCCCTTTCCGGAAAAGCCTCGCGAAAGCGCTCCGAGCAAGCGTCGCCCGCCGCCTTCCCACCATACTCTTCCATAGAGTCCCGCGGCTAGAAAAACTGAAGGCGGAATAGAGCTACGCCTAGAGGGTCTTAGGAAGCGGAAGTGTCCGTCGTCCTTTCGTTCCCCCCACAGAGAAGAAGCGGCGGGGGATGTGATTGGTGGCTGCGCGCGCTCCGTCTGTCAGCGGCTTTAACGGCGGCGGGATGGGCGACGACATGGACGTGATTCCCGAGCGGGAGATGAAGGTGAGGCGGGCGGGCGGAGGAGAGGACCGGCATTGCGGGGGGGGGGGGGGAAACCAGGTTTTGAGCGGGTTCCTCGTGTGCTTTTTGGGGGGCGGGAGAACTGGAACGAGTGTGCGGGTCAGGAGGGGGTGTCCGGGGTGCGTGGAGCCCCCCGCAAGAGCAGCCCTTGAAAGCGGCGTGTGTGCCTGCAGGATTTTCAATTCAGGGCGCTGAAGAAAGTGCGTATCTTCGACACCCCCGAGGAGCTCCCCAAAGAGCGTTCCAGCCTCCTTGCCGTGTCCAACAAATACGGATTAGTCTTTGCTGGTTCTGCTGCTGGGCTGCAGATCTTCCAGACGAAAAACCTTCTGATGCAGATTCAAGGAGGGGATTCTCCTAATAAAATAGGTAAGTTTTACTCTGCCTTTTCTTCTTTCAGCTTCAGCTGGGGAGTTGTTAAGAGAAAGGTCATTTGTTCTGACCTGAGTATTCACAAGCTTCAAGGCAGTGAAAATTATCTGTAAATTGTGAATCTGCAGAATTGAGGTAGTGTAGTATATTGGGTAAGATAAGCAACAAATCCTGAAGTTCAGCTTCCTATATCAGGGCTGGATTCAGATCAATTGTATGGGTGGAAGTGAGCTTCCACACCACTTCTTTTCATTGTTGCCTCTCCAGCATCCTGAACATGCTACACAAAATCAGGAGATCTTGTTGAATGGGACAAGGTGTGGGAGAATTTCCCAGAATTGGTGGAGGGATCTTCCACAAGCAGAGCCATCCTCTCCACAAGGCAAATCATCAATCTAATTGTGGGAATTTAATATGAAAATGACTTCACTGATTCATACCAAGGTCTACCTCAGCCACTGTTGACTTTCCAATGGAGGTCAGCCAGTTGCTTTCAGGAAACCCAAAGGTTTGGTGATTTTTGTCCAACAAAATGGTGAAGGCACCAGTTGAAGAAGGCTGGTATACCAAGGTTTAAAAGCTGCAGGTTTTCAGCTATATTCTAAGAGTTGCTCATCTTTCCCCTGTTGTTTCCCTTGGCTTATTTTAAAAGTCGAGAATGTCCAGAGCCTTTTTGTCCCTATGAAGTTTCGTGTGCATCACCTGGCCATCAGCTGTGACAATCTGACACTCTCAGTCTGCATGGCCTCAAGTGAGGTTGGATCCTTCATTGGCTTTTTCGATATCCGGACCTTTGTAAATCAGGTAAGACTAGCTCAGTCCTTGGGCATACTTTGCAGCATTTTCCCTAAAAGCTCAGCACCTTGAAATGTACCCACTTCCTTGTTACCTCTGCAGCTGGTGATGTCCAGTCTGTTGCCAGCTACCTTTTCTGGAGGGAAAATGATTTTTCCATGGTCACACCTTGTTACAGCTCTCAACAAATGGAAATACTGTGCTATAACAGCTCAGAATCAATATTACCTGTTTCCATTTTTGCTGAAGCAGTTAGCCCCATATCCAAACCCTAAACTGTGGTTCGACTTAACTGGGTCAGTTGGAACTTGCCAGCTTCACAAATCATGGTTTTGGCCACAGCCATCTGTTTTCTAGAGAGTCGAGGCTGGAGAAAATGTGCCTTTCCTCATGGCCTTGAAGAATCCATGACTGAACTAGATAACCTGTGGTTTGAGTCATGAAAACATCTGCATGTGCATGTATAAGGACAAATGGGAGTGGCTTGTTGACAGGAGTATTTGATTCCTTCCAACAGGCTAAGCAGCAGAAGCGGCCATTTGCCTACCAGAAGATGGGTGGGGCTCTGGTTAGTGACCTGAAGTGGAACCCTGTGAACGCCTCCATGCTGGCCGTCTGTCTGTCTGATGGAAGCGTCTCCGTCCTGCAGGTGACAGACTCTGCGAAGGTGTATGCCACGTTGCCCGCCTCGGTGGCTGTCACATCAGGTTAGTAGCTTGGCTTTGGGCTGGTCTACCAATTCCTTGGATGCACCTGCTCGGTTAGGACCTGTTTTACCTGTGTTTGGGTATGCGCTGTAAAATCAGTGATGATACACTGAATGCATGTTTGGAAGCATTCTCCGCAGAGAATGTAGGTCAGGTCAGAGTGGCCCATGTCTTATTTACAGACGGCTGCCTTGGAATAGCCCTGGAAAGCGACTTTGTCCTGGTGCCCTGCTTGTGGTCTCTTGCACTCCCGTGGAGAGCCCGTGCTTTAAATTACTGAAGTGTCCTTGGCCTCTCAGTGTTTTGGGGTTTTTATCTGTGATTTACTTGTTGGCTTGCTACAGAGTCATACTGATGGTTCAGATTGGGTGATTTTATGCTGTGCTGAAATTGTGCTTAATACTGCTTTCTTAAAACCCGTCCAGAAAACCTTAGGGCAGCTGGTGACATACAGGTGCCATAAATTGCATGCTTCATACAGTTGTTACTGGGAGGAATGAGACTCGAAGGGTGCTAAGGCTCTGGTGGGGTGATATTGGAAGTAGAAAGTACTTGTCTCACCTTGCATTTGCATGGCACCTGCCCATCCACAGTGCCCTTGGAGGGGAATCTCCCCCCCACCACAAGTGGGGCTATACTTTCATCCAGGCCACCCCCATGTGAGTGCAGGCCCTCCTACCCATCTCCCCAGAGTGAAATAGCATCAGAGGCCTCGACGGCAGCTCCCTTTGGTCGCCTCAGTTGTTTACTTCCATGCCTCATGTAGAGAGCAAGCCTCTGCAGCCCGTCTGACCAGGGAGGCTCGGCCAGGGCTTCATGCGCCGTGCTGCAGCTGAGAGAGCTGAGGGCCCGCCTCGCATCATCACAGGGCAAAGGCTTCTGATGGATACCCTGCTTGTGCGTGGAAAGGCCCAGGGCCAGTTCCGTCCCCCTCCGCCACTCCACGTGCTGCGGCCTGTCACTCCCGGCGTCCCTCACCATGGGCCGGTGGCATGCAGGCCAGAGCGTCTGGAGGGCCACGGCTTGCCCAGAACCTAGTTGGCCAGGTTGTCTGATATGAGGCAGCTGCCCATGTTCCTTCTCTGGGCTGGGGAGAGGCGTTTAGGAAGAGCACAAAGCTGAGGATCAGAGGGAAGCGCTTGGCCATCAGCTTCCTCCCCTCCCGCTGATGTGCTTTCCACAAACCTTTGAAGGCGCCTTTGAACGATTGCAGGAAGGACAATCGAAACGGTTTGCTGAGCCCCCGCTGCTCTCTCTGTCCCCCTCGTTAACGGAACCCGCCTTTCCTCCTCCTCGCAGTGTGCTGGAGTCCCAAAGGAAAGCAGCTGGCCGTGGGCAAGCAGAACGGCACCGTGGTCCAGTATCTGCCGGTAAGTTTCAGGCTGGGTGCTTCTGTGGCTGAACCCTTCGGCTCCCACAGTGCCTTGCCCCTCCCTCCTCCAACTCTTGCTTGGCGAGGTGGAGTTTCCACCCTGCTTTGTTCACTTCCCCATGTGTGAGTCACCATTAGCCCAGATGCCCCTCTGCTACCCCATCCTGGAGATGTAGGGAGAAGCCAGCCATGTGCATCATGGCAGGGGCAAGGCTGGAGCAGCGGGCGGCCCGCGCGACGATGCAGAGTAGCACGAGGGGACGCCACACGCCCGTATGACGTGCTCCGGGCGCTTGAACGCACCTGGGCCAATTCAGTGTCATTGTTGCATCTTTGAGATGTAGCATTGCTGAACTCGCCCCCGCCCTCCTTTAATGAAAGAGACCGTTTTAACCACTCCTGTCATTCTGTTTTTTTAGAACCTACAGGAGAAGAAATTGATCCCCTGCCCCCCCTTCTATGATTCCGATAATCCTGTTAAAGGTAGGCTTCCCCAGTTTGGCCCCATGACCGGTTGGTATCGCAGCCACGTTTCTTTCCACGATGCTGAAAGCATTCTTTCAGCAGCCGGGTGTCCAGTTCAAGAATTTTTCCATGAAAGGCAGGATTACCTAGGCAGATGGTGGAGTCTTGTGACAGCCATTCTCGAGTGGCCCAGGGTTGTGGGTGCAAGATAACTTTCATGTTCAGAAGGTCAACCTGCAAAAACTGGGTGATAGCGAAACGGCAGGATGTTACTTATAAAAATACAGAGTTATCCGCATTGGCGTTTTGGTTATGGCATGCTGTATTTTATAACAACTCTGTTTCACAGGATGGATTTACTGTTTCGTCTTTGGCAGTAAAATCATCAAGGTTGTTCCTTTTTAGAGGAATAACTATTATTGTTGCTAGCACCAACTTTAGTGGAGATGCCACCTTCCCCAGCAACTCGAGAAAGAGCTGGGAAAAACGTGTCTGAAATCCTGAAGAGTTGCTGCTAATTTGGGCGCACCAGTTCGCCTCAGTTGAGCAGGCTCACGATGCATTGGGCTGCAGGGAGAACCTGCATGGCGTGGTGGTTAAGAGAGCTGGACTGCGGTCTGAGGTCCGGGTTCTAGTCCTCTTTCAGGCATGAAGCTCTCTGGGCGATCATGGGTCCCTCACAGAATCTCCGCCTTGCCTACTCACGGGAGAGGAGGAAACACAGCTATGGTCAGGCACCTTGGAGAGGCAAGATATAAAGAAGAGGAGAGGCAAGATATAAATCTACAAATGAAAGATATAAATATAGTAATCGTCATCAAATACAGCTGCCATCGGCTTCAGCTGGGCCAGTGGGAGCTGCAGTCCAGCGCAAGTGCAGGGCACTAGGCGGGGAGAGGCTGATGCCACTGATGCCGACTGAGGCGGGTGGACCAGGGTCAGGCGTGGAATGTGGGTGCTTCCCAGGCCCTTCTGACCACCGCTTCTGTCTTACGCTTCCAGTCCTGGACGTGCTGTGGGTCGGCACTTACGTCTTCACCATCGTATATGCTGCTGCCGACGGCACCTTGGAAACCGCTCCGGAAGTGGTGATGGCGATCCTTCCCGTATGTGTTTCATGGCAACCAGGGAAGCCCTTCATTGTTTGGCTGCTGTGCATTTGCCGGCCAGTTATTCCCTTGCACTGGCCTGCTCCGCGTTTCTGGCTTGTCTGCGCGTAGGCTGGGCTTAGATCACATAACGATGATAGTGCTAGTTTTGTATCTATCCCACCCAATTGCCAACGAGCAGTTTACAGCGCAGTAGTCCATGCTTGAGAGCTGAGCATGGGTCACTGAAACATGGGTTCTGGTGTGGTCTGAACCTGTTTGCGACAATCCATGGTTTGTTATCCACAAATGGTGGGTTCTTTTCCTGGGTTGTTCATGAGTAACAAACCATGGTTTCTTAGTGCAGAAGCATTCTGACAACATATTAACCCACAGTTCAATGATAACCCATACTTATCCCTCAAGTTTCTGTGTTGTCTGAACCCAACCATAGCATACTGGCACATCAGTTCGGCAGCATGTGTCTTCTGGCTGTGTGTGTTTTATAAATGGAGGACCATCCCCTCCGGAGAGCCCCTGTCTGCTGTCAGGAGCAGTACAACCTGTGTACTTCTAGCCCAGCTTTTCTGCCATGTACTGTGACACTGCATTTACCTACCGAAGTTCTCAGTCATGTCTTTGACCTGGTTGGTGCGTAAAGCTCAACACAGTTTGGGATGTTGAAGCATAGGTTGCCATAATTCAAAACAGCTTCACTAACAGGTCATGGTTTTTTAACCAGGAACAACCCAGAAGAGAACCTGCGGCTTATTGGTCGGTTGTGAACTCTGCACAGTTTAAACCATGGGTTGTCCTTACATGCCATCCCAGAACCAGGGGTGGTTCATGGGTTACAGAGTGGCGGGTGGGCGGGAGCAGTGAAAAAGCCCAGTTGTTCCAGATACCAGTACTACAGAGGCATTTGGGATATTGGTGGGGAGCAGGCCAAAGAGTAAGGAAACAAGCAGACCAAGGGCGGGAGGTAATAAACTGTGTTTTGTCTGATCATCAGCCCAACTAACCCGGGATAGAGTGAAAAGCTCGTGGGTTAATGTTATGTGCGAACCAGTCCAAGGCCTGCACCTTTGCCCTGAATGTCGACAATCCTAAATGCACAAGCACGTGCTTCTACCTGTTAGGGGTGCCTGACCTTTCATAGCAATCCAAGCTTGTGGCCTCTTTGTGGCCCCCTCGTTCGTGTGCGCTTAGCCAGATTCATCCCCAGCCAGCCATTCTGTCTGCAACCTTCTGCTCCTTCTCTCCATTCAGAAAAAGGAGGACAAGCGGCCTGAGATATTTGTGAATTTTATGGAGCCCTGCTACGGCAGCTGCACGGAGAGGCAGCACCACTATTTCCTTAACTACATGGAGGAGTGGTAAGTCTCAGAGGACGGCACGCGAGCTTGCCCGTGTCTTTTGGTCGGGTTTGTCCGCCTCTGCCGCTTTTTGCTGGATGCCACAGCCAGCCACGTCCAGGCAGAGTGCGGTGCTTCCGTGAGGCTCCTTGGCCGCTAACCTTAGGATGGGGGCAGTGTTCTGGGGAGGGGGAGAGACACAAGCAACCCCCTTCTTCCTCTTGGTTTCCCAACAAGTGGCACCAGAGCAGACGTACAACGCGCCCTGGGAAGGGTCCCCCTCGTCTAGGTTGCACGGCGGCTCACCAGCTGTCCCGGTGGGGGACCCCAAGCAGGAGGGGAACGTGACAGCCCCCCCCTTCCCCAGGGATGGGCTGCACCCCCTCCGTGCTGCTGGGAGAAATCTGGCTGCTGGGCTGGGGTGTGTCTTGACGTTGCTTTTCCTTTGTTCTCCGCCTCAAAGGGATCTGATCCTCGCCGCTTCTGCCGCTTCTACAGAGGTCAGCATCCTGGCGAGGCAAGGAGACCAGGTAAGCGGTTCCTCCTGCCAGCGCCTCGGAGAAACCAGAAAGGCAGCGGCGAGCTTTTCAGGCAGGGATGAGAAACCTCAGGCTGAGGGAGCAACTGCCGCCCACCTGGGCTCCAGAACTGGCCTCTTCCCCCCCCCCCCCCCCCCGGTGGCCTCACTCCTTTCTCCTGACCACCAATTATTCAATGGTTTCCCAGCTTTTCTGGGGATTCTTCTGCACGGTGGAAAATCAAGGCACCTCTCCCTCATTAATAACAGCGCAGAGCCTTACACTAAAAGAAGCGGGTCTTTTTTGGCCCACCTTTGTCCGTGGACCCTTCCAGGTTGAAAGCATGAAATGCTACAATATGGCCAGAGTACTCGCAGCTCCGATTCGGAAACCACACAGAAGCAGAAGTCTGGATTGCTAAGCACTTGCTCAGTTCGAACACGGGCAGGCCGATTTTCAGGCGATACCTAAAAGGCCAGAAGGAAGGTGTCTGGCAGGCTGTGCTGATTTTCGCAGCTAAGATGCCACAGCGAGAAGGCCGGTTTCCTAGCTGCCGCCCCTCTGCCTCACTTCCCTTGGTGGGGCACACCGATGAGGCCTTCTGGGGGCTAAATCTGGGAGGAGCCAGAGCACGCCCATGGGAGGCCTGTCAGGAGCAGAGCTGGCTGGAGCCAGGGGTCAGACTAGATGGCCCCGGAGACCCATTCTGACTCTCTCTGCTTCTGTGTTTCTATGCCCTTGCCTGGGGGAAAGCCGCTTTTGTGGAGCGGGCATGCTGCAGCAGAGTAAGCCCTGTTGGCAGGGCTGTGGGGGAGGGCGTGGGTCAGGTTCCAGATACGTGGGGGGAGCTCGCTGCCTCTGTGTGCCACTGGCTAGGAAGGGGGGTAGAAGCAGGGGGAAGCTGTGGAGCAGCCCACAGGTATCAGCAAGGCGCAGCGGGGCCAGAGCCTAAGATAGGCAGGAGGCACTGCCCAATCGGAGGAAAGGAGGAGGCGTTTAGGCAGCATCGGGGGTGAAGCTTGGTTTGACGGGATCGGATCGGCCTGGATGGGCCCTTGGGGTCAGCTGACTGCGTGCTCAGAGTGGCCGGCCAGCTGCCCAGGAAGTCTGGTGCTGGAGGTCCCCAGGGTAGGGCTGGCGCCCTGAGGGTGTGAAGGACTCCTTCTGGGATGCGCTTCAGCCACCAGAGGTGGGGCAGGTTGAAGGAGGGCAAAGCTGCGGGGAGGTGGGGTTTCGGAGAGGCGTGGATGGCTCCTTCCAAGTCCCGGCTGAGACCTGGGCTGGATCTGATGCCCGCTCAAGAAACGCAGCTCCCCAACGGCCATGGACTGCAGGGGGCCAGAGGAGGGATCGCCAGGCGAAGCGCTCGGCATGCGAGGCGGTCACGCGCAGTGGGAGGGTCAGCACATGTCCATGGGAGGGTGCGGCTCTCGGGCAAACTCCTGCAGGCCTGATGGAGGACAGCTCGGGCCAGGTGGAGCTCCCCTTCCCCACCTGGCTGCCTCCCTTCCGCCGGAGCGGGAGCCTCCTCTCTGGGGTCTTTCTGCCTCCCCAACAGCACAGGCCCCAGAGGTGTGTGGCACGCGGGGCCGATCCAGCTTACTCTCTTGCAGAACAACTGGGAGCTCTGGGTTCTGGAGGACTCCAGCCGAGCAGAGCTTCCCGTCACGGAGAAGAGTGACGACACCTTGCCGGTGGGCGTGGCCATCGACTGCACCAGCAATGTGCCCATACCTGTCGGTGGGTGTCTGCGTGGGGCGCCGGAGCTCCCCTCCTCTCCCCCCCCCCCAAGGAGAGCCCCAGGACATTCGCAGCGGAGTTGACCCTTGCCCCGACCCCTTCCGGTGCTCCCCTCTCCCCCAAAGCCGCGGGGGATTTGCTGGTCCATTCAAGGCCAGGCCTCTCCCAAAGCCCAGCGGGTTGACCTGCCACTCCGCCTCATCAAGGAGAAAATCCCTCCCCCGGGGCGACTGCAGGGGTTGCTCTAAACTCAGGGGGAACAGGGAATTTAGCGGTAGCTAAAAGCAATACAATTTGAAACATTGTAATAGAGAATACGATAAAATCATAATATCCATCATAAAATAAAAATACGATGAAAACAGTGCGATTAGGCAGAAAGGTCTAAGTAGCGCCGTAGGTGCGCTGAGAAAGGAAGGTTTTTGGCAGGTGCCTGGAACTCAGCAAAACAGCCCCCTGGCCAAGCTCGTGTGGTGAGGCGTGCCCCGGTTGGGGTGCCACCACAGGAAAGGCCCTGCCCCTGCAGCCTCCCCTTTAGCCTCACTGAGGGGAGGGACTCAGAGGAGAACCTCAATTGATGATCTTAAGCAACGAGCAGGGAGGTTCAGAGCAAGGCGCTCCCTGAGGTAACGCGGCCCCAAGCTGTTCAGGGCTTTCTGTGTCGTAGTCAAAACCTTGAAATCAGCCTGGACTGGAACTTGCTGCCAGTGCCAGCAACGAGGGACTGGTGTGATGTATTTATTTATCAGGATCGGTCCTCGTTAGCAACTGTTCTGCCCTGTTCTTTCCCCCATTTCCTCCTCCTTCCTTTGCCCTTTTGTGCCGGGTGTTTGTAGACCACGAGTCTGTGGGCAGAGATGGTCCCCTTTCCACCCTGGGGGCCTTTTGTTTCTTGGGGCTGGAAAAAGTGCTTCTGAACAAAGCCACGTGATGCAGGCACGCCGTGTCCCTCCCTCGTCACATACTCTCTGCTCCCCTCCTGGACCGTCTCGAGGGCTGCCTTGCGAGGCGCGGACATGCCTGAGGCCGGTGCGGCTCTTTTGCAGGTGAGAACAAGACCTTGGACCCGGCGCCGGTGCTGCTGCTGCTCTCCACGGATGGGGTGCTGTGTCCCTTTTACATGGTCAACCAGAACCCCGGCGTGAGGTCTCCACTCGTGGTGCCTGAGCCTCTCCCCACGGAAGGGGAGAGGGGAGCCAGACCTGCTGGTAGGTGCAGCTGGGGGCCGCTGGGAGCCACTCAGAGAGGAATCGGAAACAAAACCCAGTGTCTTGACGTCTGTTTCCCACCTTGGAGGGAAAGGCAAGACATGACAGAAATATGCAGAACTGTGCCTGGAGAGTTTCCCCCCTCCTTCAAATGGTGCCTCCTTGAAGCTAAACAGGCAGCGCCGTCCAGTGGTGAGAGTGCCGGCCGGACCACAGGAGGTCTGGATTCTGGGTCCCACGCAGCCCTGGCACTCACTGGGTGACTTTGGGCCAGTCGTCAATTCGCAGTTCAGTCTGCCTCGCAGGATTGTTGTGAAGACAAACTGTGGAGGAGAGTTACGTCAGCTACTTGGGTTCCTGGTAAGAGAGGTGGCAGGGCAGCTGGGTAGGAAGAGTTCCAGTCCCTGCCCAACCATCCAGCTCATGGAGCGACTCCAGCACAAACACTGATACACAGTGAAATTACCATACAGGGTGGCTGTGAGGGTAAAATGGAACGGAGGAGAGACGAGCGAGTTCTGCGGCCCACTCCAGCCGGCCTCTTTTCATGGCCTGATGTTAATTGGTCACAGTTGCTTTGTTTTTCCTGCTCTGGTTGTGGGCATTGCAGAAACACTCCACTTCTCTCCTTTTTTTCTGCCTTCTTTCCAGGTAGCACTCCCCCTTCCTCAGCACCTGCCCCTCCGAAAGTGGAAGCAACCCCGGCTGTAGCTGCTCCTGCCTCAGCCTCATCATCAGCGCCAAGTGGCGGAGCAGCTGCGTTCTCCTTCGCATCTTCCACGTTAAAGATAACCGGATCCACTGCAGAGGCTTCCCTTCCACATCCCCTCCCTTCGGAGACCTCCAAGCCTCCACCTGGTTCCAGTTCTGGCGGAGCAGCCGGCTTCTCCTTCTCCTCCACCCCGTCCAGAGTGCCCCAAACCCCGTGCCTGCCAGCCAGCCCTGCTCCCCCCTCTGCCTCCCCTTTCTCTTTTGCATCCGTGAACTTCAAAACAAACGCAAATGGCTCAGCAGGTCCCCCTCCTTCTGGAACTCCCATTGAGCTGAAGCAGAATTTTGCCCCTTCGTCCTCTGTGAAAGTTAACCTCAGCGAAAAGTAAGTTATCGATGCACTTGCTGTCATTTAGAGTGGATCCGGAGGGGACTCTGGGGGTGGGGGAGTGAAGCGAGGGATGCAGAATATCTAGCCCTCCAGAGGGCCCAGCCCGGCCCACTCTTGGCAAGGCTAACCTGAGGCATGCGCTCTTACAAATGGCTGCCACAAGGGTGCAGCTTGTCCATTCCAAGGACGGCCATTCGCAACCCACTGATTCCGTGGGGGACAACTCTGCGGCTCAGAGGAAAGTAACTTGCCCCCGAACCCGTATCCAAGGCAGGGGCTGGCCTTGATCCCCAAAACACAAAGCCACTCTTGGGGTGCACTTTGAAGCTTGCCAGCCTCCTAGTTAAAAAAGAACAATTACTTTTTCTCTTTAAAGGCAGAAGTGGCGGGGGGGGGGGGTGTTGTGCTGGAGGCCTGCCTCAGCCTTAGCCTTTCCCCTCCCGTTCAGGTTCTCTGCTGTGGAGTCTTCTGCACCCACGGGCAGCAGCAGCGGCGTCAGTGCCCAGAGCTCCACCATCTTCACCTTCTGCCCTGCGGCAAAGCCTGCACCTTCGGGGCCTCTCAGCCAGACGTCTCTGCTCTCCACCCCTCCGTCCGCACCCATAAAGGCTTCGACCCCTGTATTGTCCGCAAGTATGGCTCCTCCGCTCGCACGGTTCCCTGCTCCTGCCCCGGCCCTGCACTCTCACAGCGGCAGTGGGGCTGCCCTGATTTTCCTTCTGAGTGCTTCTGTTTAAGAAATAATTCTAATCGCCCTGAACTGGGTGGCATTTGGGGAAAGGCTTGTAAGCTGCGCTCCAGTGGAAGTTGCGCTGATCACTCTGACCCACAGCATGTAGGTCATTGCCTATATTATCATGACTTTGACCATCTGAGGCCGTGAGTGGGTCCCCCTGCTCCGTGCCCAACCTCTTCCCAGTTATGGCGACAACGTTTGCCCTGGGCGTTTGGAGAACATGTTGCGGATGCAAGCTTTGCGTGGTAGGAGCTGGCCTTCTGGACACAGTACCAAGAAATGTGCAGCTTCATCAGAAATGGGTCTCAAAGACTAAACATTCTGTGAAGAGCTTATACTCTATTTGTTCTTCTCTACTGCCTAATCGCCGAAGTTCTCTGGTCAGTTCAACACAACTGCAAGACTGCCGGTTTAGCGCCTCAAATTGTCCAGTTCTTGGTGCAGGAGAAGCTGGCCATCACTCCTGCCATGCGGGGGCCTTTTTTTTTTTAACCACCCCCTCCCCCAGCTCTGATCCACCTTTACAAGAGCTCTCTGTTGTGCTGGTCTGCCTAAGATGCTGAGACCAGTCCCTTTCCCCTGCCCTGTGTTCCCTTAACATTGGGGGGGTTTGTCCCCTCATCTTGCTCCCTGCGCCGTTCCTGGAACGTTGCCCTCCTGTTGCATTTCACCCTTGTTGAAAGGCCTCTTGCTTGTTTCTTTCTCAGCGATGCGTCCTGCCCAGAGCGGTCCACCAGCTCCCGCGCTCCAGAAAACAGCCAAGACTGCCCCAGCTGTGTCAAAATCCAGCCCCTCCCAGGTAATGAAGGGTGGGAGATGGCTGCACCTTGGGGCCGGTGGTACAGTGGCAGGGGGATGCAGCCCAGGGAATGCCGGCCTGTTCTCCCTGATGAATCCCGGACTGCTTTTTCTGCGAGGTTGGTGCTTGCCTGTGGTTGGTGGCTCTCTCCACGTCCAGGCCCTTGTGCTCATCCTGAAGAATGTCCTGCAGCACTCGGCATTCTTCAGGTGGCGCGGCTCTCTACAACATGGGAGTTGTAGGCCTTCGATCACCCATCCTGCATGGCCCTCACGTTCCAACCGTGTGTTTTGCAGGGCCGGCAGCCGCCTTCAGGCCCAGGGATGGAGAAGCCGCCGCCTCAGTGGAAGGATTCGGACCCCGTCATCACAGGGATAAGAGAGGAGGTGAGACTTGGCAGAATTGTCGGCCGCCCTGCCTCCCGTCACCTTGCTCGACGCTTGTGTGGGATCGTCCCTCGCAAGGGTTAGCGGAAGGCTGTGCTTCGGGGCCGGCTTCAAGCACAGCACCTTCTGCTGGGCTGTTCTGGCCGTGCTCTGAGCTTAGTGAGAAGTGACTCCTGTGCAAACACAGCCGATAAGCTTCTTCTGAAGATGGGTGCATCTTACACTTCCCCACCTTTTCAGGTGCAAGGATGCTAGTTACCTGCACTTGCAGTCCAGAAGAAGTTCCCCTGCTGTCAGAAGTTTGGCAAACACCTGTCTTTTTTCTAAGGAATTAGAGTTCCTTTTACTACTGCATATTTTGAACAATAGGTATTGACGCTTGACTTCCCCAAAACAATTTCATGGAGATGTTCCTCTGGAGGGTTCCCCGTACCCCACTCTGAGCTCTCATGGCCTGGGTGTCTCCTTAAAATGTACATAAGCGTGTCTTGCCTCCATAGATAGCCCATTTCCAGAAGGAGATGGAAGAGCTGAAAAGCCGGACAGGCAAAACCTCTTTCCAGGTGGGCACTGAGGAAGAGAAGGTGACACTGAGGACGGAGTCAAATGACCTTCACACCTTCCTCTTGGAGATCAAAGAGACCACCGAGGTAAGAGCCTCGGCAGGAGGGGCCGCTCTCCAGCGGAGAAGCAGCCGGATTCCGAGAAGAGCAGATCCGGCTTTCCAGGCTAGGAGTGGACAGCCCATTGGTCCAGAGCTTTTCAAGCGCTCCCAGAGGATCCGCTCCTTCCATTGTCTGGCTGGTAGCAGCCGGGCCAAATCCATCCAGTGGAGATCGGGCTAGGAGGGAGAGTCCGTGGCCAGGGGGCAGCGACCCACTCACCCTTGCTGAGCTCACACCAACGAGAGCAGGGCAAGCCTTTTTTGACCTTTTCCTTCTTTTTAACCCCAGTTGGAGAAGGCTGGGCCAGAAGGTTGGGCCATGCTTAATATATATATATATGTGTATATCTGTGTGTATATATATATGTGTGTATATATATACATGTATATATATGTGTGAGAGCCAGTGTGGCGTAGAGGTTAAGAGCACGGGACTGGGACTCAGGTGATCCGGGTTCGAGTCCCCACTCGGCCATGGAGCCAACTGGGTGACTTTGGGCCAGTCATAGACTCTCAGCCCAACCTACCTCACAGGGTTGTTGTTGTGGGGATAAGATGGAGGAGGAGAGATGATGTAAGCTGCCTTGAGCCCTTTGTAGGAAAAAGGCAGGATATAAATCAATCAATCAATCAATCAATATAAATATGTGTATATGTATTTGTTGTGTTTGTATTCCCGGGCTGCACACACGATCCACCTCCTCCTCCGTGTTATCCTTACAACAATCCTGGAAGGTAAATCAGGCTGAGAGTCAGTGGCTGGCAGAAAATCCCCCAGTGAGCTTTATGACCGAGTGGGGTCCAGGTCCTGCGCTCTGGCTGCTGCGTGCACCAAAGCTTACTGGGCAAACTAGGCAAGCCCTGCACTGCCTTCAGATGACCATTTAAGCCGTGCTATGAATCAACCTGCTAGCTTTGCCCTGGGGCCTTTTGTGTGTGTGAGCCAGCAAATCAGGAAAAGTTCCACTGGAGTTATTTCCCTATTCCATCCAAACTTGGGAGACTTGGCTGACAGCTTGGGAGCATTTCTGCATGAAGCCGCATTTCTCCGGGTGGCATGGGAATTCTCAATGTGTCTCTCTGTCTCTTGGTCACAGTCCCTTCATGGAGACATCAGCCTTCTCAAAACTAACCTGTTGGAGGCATTTGCAGGAGTGGAGGAAGCAAGAGAGAAGGATGAGCGGGCTCACAACTCTGAGTACTTGCACTTGCTCTACAAGAAGCCTTTGGATCCAAAGAGCGAAGCCCAACTTCAGGTGCAGACACAGCACACAAGGAAAATGAAATGGGAAGGGTAGAGGAAAAATGAACCTTTCAGTGAGGCTGGGAGAATCGCCCTGCTTCTGTTTCTCATGTCCCTCTGCAGAGCCACTGAAATGGCTCTACAGAAAGGGCCCTTTGGTCTCCAGCAAAGGGTTCCTTCCACTTGTTCTTGTTCCCTCCGAGTCATGGGGAGTGGGGTTGCCCAGGGAGGTGATGGGAAGAATGTGGGGAGAGGCATTCCACACTGATACTTGGACAGACTAAAATTATCCCCAAGTCTTGGCATTTCTCTGAGCATCCTCGGGGGAAGTTCAAAAGACAAGTGCCTTGAAGAGCGATTTGAGGGCCAGGAGTGGGGGTCTTCCAGCAGGGCTGGATGGCTGTTTTGCAGAAGGGAGTGACCGGCCCATGGGGACCAAGAGCCTTTCATGGCTGAAGGAGGTTTCGAATTGTGTCCTTCCAGCCCTGCTGTGGACAGTGGTGCTGTAATCCCTATGGCACACTGGCCCTCAGTGAGAATTGGGGCTGGCTGAGGGCATTTGCAAGCTCAGCTGAGTCCTTGAACTGCCGTGATTAATAACAATGTGCCACCCCCTTTTTGGGCCCGTCTGGGAGCCAATCCCAGTGACTTGACTTAAAGAAACAAATCTAATGCTGTGCAAAGAAAGCTTCTGAGGAGGTGCCAGTTTAATCTCTTAAGCTTAAAAAAATTCACCGTGGGTGATTGTTTTTATCCTCGCTTGCTGTCCCACTCGGTGATGATTGATAAGCACTTGGGCTGTTGCAGTTAATTTCACGGATGGTAAGACTTAAAACCAAATGAGCTCGTAAATGCGGGGTGGCAGCAGGAACTTCCTGGCAGCATATAAAATGGTTTTGAACAAGACGGAGAGACTTGGGAGGTGGGCAGGGAAGGGGAAGTGGGGGGAGGCTTGGCGTCTCTGCCCCCCGGCGTGTCGAAGCTCAACAAGTTATTTCTCCCCTGTTGCCCTGAGCTGTTCAATACCGAACAGATCCCTGGGGCCCTTGCCCAATGGATCCAGCTTAGAGGCACAGGGATAATACAGGATGCCCCCCTGCCCACCGCCGTGCAGAAGCCGCAGTTAAAATGACGCCTTAAACAATAAGGCCGCAGTCTTATTTCCAGGCGGTTGGCTGTGAAAAGTTGGTTCCAGCAAGGACAACAGAAAGTTTTGTGGCACCATAAAGGTTAGGCATCTATTTTGGCGGAGTCTTGGGAAGATGCCCGTGTCACCAAATCAGCTTGCCGTCCTCATCACAGTCATTAACCTGATCACCACATTTGGCACGAGCTGCAGCTTTTGAACAGCCTTCAGGGACATCCCCTTAAAAATCTGGCGCTGTTTCCCCCACTGAGAGAGTGTTAGGCCTGGGCAGCAACACCAGAGCATAGGTGGAGAGAGTGCCATTCAGTCTCCATTTCTGTGGAACTCGCTAGCCCTGACGGGCAGGCCAGGGACCAGCAGGGTGGCGCTTCCAGTGCTTCCCGAAAGCATCTTGACTCCTCTTCAGCCTGTCAGTTTTTACTGATCATTCCTGGGTTTTGTAGTGCTGCTTCGTTTTATTTTCTTTCCCTTGCCTTTTTTATTCCTCACCACTCTGGAATCTGCATAGATATGGAAAGGCAAATCCGAATTTGAAATAAAAATTAAAAATAAGTAACGCTCTTGGCCTTTCATGGCTTTGGGAACTTAAGGTTTTGGCTTGCATGTTCCTGGTGGATTAGAATGATGGCTTTGAATTAAACTTTCCTGTTTTTGGCCAGGAAATTCGACGCTTGCACCAGTACGTGAAGTTTGCTGTCCAGGATGTGAACGACGTCCTAGATCTGGAATGGGATCGGCACCTGGAGCAGCAGAAGAAGCAGAGGTGAGCAACCTGCACGTCAGGCGATGGGGCCTGTGCTTCAGGGCCTTTCTAACAGCGTGGGTATTAAACCGCAGGCCCGAGAGCCGAAAGCAGCCCCCCGGGATCCTTGGGGAGCCTTCCAGGATTCCTGAGGTGGCTACCCAGTTTAGACCACCCATATTCCACGGTTTCTCAGCCCTGTGCAGGCCACATTCTTGGAAGGCTGAAATGCCTCTCCTAAGGCCCAGTCGTAGGAGAAGGGAACATGTGCCGGTATATATATGGGAACATGTGCTGCAGCTTCCTCTTCATTCCCACTGCCTTTGACTTTTTCCCAGCCCACCACTGGAATGACCCCTCCTCCCTGGGAGCCTCTCAGGAATGGAATGCGCCCGTTGCCGAGAGAGAGAGATTCTAAGCTTACCTTTCACGATGGACGTGGGTTTGCTCGGAAGGAGTGAGCTGGCTGGCATTTCCATTTTCCTTGTGAGCCTTGAGTGCACACCCACCCGTTTCCAGTCAACATGGAGCAGGCTATTAATTTTGCTCAGTACGGGCCAGATTCCCATCTAGCCAGCCAACCAGCTTGCAGTCGAGTTTGTTCCCAGAAGTGATGCACAGCTGGAGCAAGGCCCAAGTTTGAAGCCCGGGGCCTGGTCCAGGCAAGGTCTCTCTCTCTCGATTTGAGGACAGTTGGGAAGGGAAAAACCCACTTGTACCAAGGCTGGCGTGCAGTTTCTCGAATTCAGGGGTGAAGTGCAGGTGCAGCAGGCCACAGCCGCTGCCGTGGGTTTTATGCTGTTGCTCTCTCCCGCCCTGACAGAGCCTGTCAGCAGGCTCACGGGCTCCATCATCCCCTCCTGGCAGATGGGGAGTTGCGTTGAGAGAGGCAAACAGTGTTGTTTTCACGGCGGAAACAACCTTCTCTCCAGAATGACTAAGGGAGGCAGCTTCAGGGCAATGCTCTCCAGTGCTCTTCCTAACAAACTGAACGCCCACAGCCTTGGCTTTGGAGCCCTGGGAAACCTGCTGGGTACCTCCGTCTCCTTCCAGTCGAGCGGATGCACGCAGCATCGAACGGAAGTGTTCCCTGTCCACCTGGCCTTTCTCCCTTGCTGCCTCTCCCTTTCCGTCTCCAGCTCGCGAACATTCCCTTCTGATTGACTCCCCTTTCTCTCTTAACAGGCGCTTGATGGTACCTGAGCGCGAAACTCTCTTCAATGCCCTTACCAATAACCGGGAGATCATAAATCAGCAGAGGAAAAGACTCAAAAACCTGGTGGACAGCCTGCAGGCGCTCCGCCTGTACAAGCAGGTGTCCCCGTGGAATCTCTCTGCACCTGCCTCTTCCCGCAGCGGTGTGCAGAGGTGCGTGTTGCCAAAGCATTCTGGGAAGGGGCTCTCCTTACCTCTGTAGAACCCCCCAACCCAAGTCTCGTCCCTGAGTTCATCCAGCAGGGCTGGGGAGAAGGACGCGGACTGCGCAGCCTCTTTCCTTGCCGCCAGCTCTCGGCCTGTTCTGCGCAGCATGGAAAATCGGCTTGCTTTGCTTTGGTGAAGGAAGCTTCTAGCCCTTGAGGTCACAGCTGTGCTGGGAATGCAGTGTGGGGTCGTGGTGAAGAGCACGAGACTGGGACTCAGGCAACCCGGGTTCTAGTCCCCGCTCAGCCAGGGAGCCAACTTGGGTGACTTTGGGCCAGTCACGGACCCTACCTCACAGGTTGTTGTTGTGGGGATAAGATGGAGGGGGAGAATGATGTAAGCTGCCGTGAGCCCTTCGTAGGAAAAAGGCAGGATATAAATTGGAAAATAAGTGGAATGAATGAATGAATGCAAGGAACCCGGTGCCTGGGACTGGGGCAGCATGAATAGGCCTTTCCATCGTTGGACATGGGGGACCAGTGCACAGAAACAGGACTTTTCCTGCACCGGCATCAGGGCTCCCACCAGCTGCCCCTTTGGGACTGATGTTGCAGCATTTGGTTAAAGAAGGGTGATTTCTTTGCCTCTGTGAGGACTTGAAACTTGTCCAGTCAGATCAACTTCAAGCCTGGGCTCTTCAGTCCTAGGCACACTTGTGCCCAGATCTAGAGTCCATCGGTAAGATAAGTGGCACTGGCCCAAAGGGCTGTTTACGTGTGCCGAAGGCACTTCCGTTTGCCCATGGGAAGGGTCTAAGTGTTCTCCAATTTCTTCCCACCAGATACAGCCCCCCAGCACTAAACATAAAGATGGTGGCACAGCAGCTTGTAAACTTGAACCTTGGGGGAAAACCAGGCAGAAGCCAGGAAGCATCCGTTCTGGGCTGAACCATCCCCAGGGGTGTGGATGGAAATGTCCTCAGAGGGAGGAAATCGGCCCTGAGCATCTGGGGAAGCACAATAGCCCCCCAGGGAGGCCGAGGTGCCAGAGCCCCCCAGGGAGGGACGCCGTGTGTGGTGGTTCCTGTCTGTGTGCGAGGAAATGTTAGAGTGCCTGGCTTTCGAGCAGAGCCGACATTTCGGGGGCCTCCCCTAGGAATGGAGAGAACCGGCGTGATGTCTGGGTCTCTGGGCCACAACTCTGTTGGGATGGCTGGGGGGGCTGCTGGAGGAGGGCTCACCCTGTCTGCCAAAGCGGGCACTGCGTCGGGCAGGCGGAGGAGCCCGAAAAGGCCTGGTTCGCCACGGAAGGCCTGTGGGGGCAAGGCCTGGCTCCAGGACTGACACAGTCCCAGAAACATGCTCTCATCCCCCAGGTCAGGATGATCTGTGTGAGCTGCAGAAGGGAAGTACAGCCAGAACCCCTCCCAAGAGGAGGAGCGGTCATGGCTGCCTTCCACTCCCCCCACGTAAATAAATGCACATTCGATCCACCACAGAGCGGTGAAATTTCTCTGTGCCCTCGGACAGTTGGTCAGGGAGCCAACAGGGGAGGTGGCCCTGCATCTCGCCTGAAATGGCCTTGCCCGTGACCGAGTTCGGCGTCTGAGAGTTGTCGAACCAACCGGAAGCACCAGTCGCCATGCCGTTCAATATATATTTTGTGAGAAACTGCCCAGAAAGTCCAACACCCCGGACTTAAGTTCTCTCAAGCAAAGGAAGTGGCAACAAGGAAGTCAAAAGGGGGCATCTAGCAGGCTTCAGAATGCTTGGTAGTTACTCAGAATCACAACGGCAAAAGCGCTCTTAGAAAGCATCCCACAGGTGGGGAGAGGGAGCCCCAGGGGCCAGGGGAACTCTTGGGGACAAGAAGGCTTCCATCAGAAAATGGGCATTATTTATTTATTTATTTAAAGTTTTTATATGCCGTCCCCTTGCTCTATAGCCTCGGGACGGCTCACAGAAATAAATGGCACAGACGCATCTGGCCTGCGTAAGCCCCCGTTTCCCACTGCCGGCCTTTCCCCGTTTGCGAACGCGTTGCCAGACTTACATGGCAGTTAATGGCTGTGAAGTGCAGCCTTAGCTCCCCGGGGCCATCGTTGCCCTTGTTCACCAGGGAACGCTGCTCCTGCACTTTTCCTAAGAATAATTTTTCCCTGCTCCTTAACCCCAAGGCCTTCCCAAATGGCTCAGTCAGAAGGGGTTCCCCGCCTGCAAGCTTGCCGTCCACGAAGGCACCGCACAAAAGGAAGGAGGACTGGGGAGGGAAGAGGGGGTGGTGCACAGTCCCATGCCAGGCTGGGGGAGGCGGCGGCACTTAAAGGCTCCTACTCTGCCTTAAGGGTCGTCATGGAAATTCGTGCCTGTGCATCAAGTCTTCTAAACCCGTTTGCGATTTTAACGAGCGGCTTCCTTTCTTCTCTTTTCTGTGTGGCTTTTTCAATCTCCTGTGGATTCAGCCTTGACAGCGAACTGGAGAGCCTGAGCAACGCCTTGACCAAAGCAACACTGGAGTCTTGCGCCAAAACGCCGCCAAAAGCAGCAGGTGACGGCTCCCGGGAGGCTCTCTTTGCAGCGCCGGTGCACTGACTCTCTGCATCCACAGTCTACATGAGGAAGGGCCCCTCCACCCAATTTTGAGGGGTCTTCCCCTCCCGATTTTCTCTGCGGACTTTTCCAGGCCGGGGTGGGGGGGGTCTCTATGGGTAGGAGGAGCCAGGCAGTCAATTTCTGTCAGCGTAGTTAATCTAGTTTAAAACTGGATCCAGTCCATCCTCTCTCTCTCTCTCTCTCTCTGTCTGTCTCTTGCTCTCGGTGTCTGTCTCGCTCTCTGTCTCACTCTCTGTCTCTCTCTGGTGTGTGTGTGTGTGTGTGCCCATCCCAGTCTACTGTAAACGATTTATTTACTTTTATGTATTTTTCTGTTGTATATTTTTTGTTTTGATGGAATTCACGCAAAGAAGAAAGAGTGTGTCATTGCGTTTAGTGAAGCAACGCTCTCTGTGTCGTGCAGCGCCCGTGGCTGTAGTCGCCGCAGCAGAAGTAGACTGCCACTGAGCCGTCTGTGTTTGCGATGAAGCTGCATGGATCCCCCTGGGACAGGGTGGCCAAAATGTGGGGCCAGCACTGAGGGAGCCCCGCTCTTAGGACCCACTGGCCTCATGGCTCGTGTGGCTTCTAGCCAAAGCTTGCCACGGTGTGCCAATTGACAACCTCTGGTTAGCACCACCCCGTGATTTGAAACTGGAAAGGGACAGTAGGAAGTTGCAGAGCCGGCTTGGGGCTATTTGTGGGCTTCCTGTGGGGGTGACACAGAGGCCTGGATCCGTGAAAGTCCAGCAGCCGACCCACGAGGGAACACGCCTGATGCCCAAACCACAGTGTGGCTCGAGGGCTGAGCCGGGCCAGATGTGTGCTGCTGCCCGTTCTCACAACCCGAGTCCACGTTGCAGCACATGGGACACGTGCAAGTTGCCGTTGCCTCCGCTGACACGTCTGTGCAATGGGTCTAAGAATTCTGGATCGTTGAGTCTCCAGGACTACAAGGGTCTCTGTCAAGAGCACTGGATAAGCAGCCCTCCTTATCGCTGAAGTGACCCTGACCCCTTTTCCCTTTCAGCTAAGCTCTCCCCTGTGAAGCAGGCGCAGCTGAGGAACTTCCTCGCCAAGCGGAAAATGCCGCCCGTGAGATCGACTGCGCCAGGTATCCCCTCGCACCTGGAAGCTCTCCCCAGTACCTGGCAAAAGCACGTGGCTTGCACTCCTGGTGACGTCATTGGCCTGTTCTTCAGATCTGTCCCCCTTTGAGGGATTTAGATGGGGAGGGTGAGCCAATGGGCAGAGATGCCCGGAAAAGGCAAGAAAAGGATCTCTGTGGCTTCAGAGAGGCTGCAACTTGCTTTGGGGCTTCTCCCACACCTGTGCCTCGTACTCGGCCTCCAGGAAGGCGATTGGTCCTTTGCCGCACCTCTTGCGGCAGTCCTTTTGGCGGTGGCACCCCAGACGGTTACCCAGATTGCCAAAAGGCTTCCCCAGGCCCTCACATGCTTCTGAATGGGAATCTTGAGTTACAGTGTCTACAGTTTGCAACAAGGATGACCTTAGAGGGTCCCACAGGGGTTCTAGATCAGTTCTTAAAAGGCAGTCCATTCCCGCAGACATTAAAAAAGTGGCCTCAGAGAGAAAAGGAACCAAGAAGAAAAGGGATGGGGAGGGGAAAGGAAAGGAAAAGAAAAAACGCAGAAACTCAGCGCTGATCTTATACTGGCCCACTCGATGTGGATATGCAGTTCTTAGGGCTGCGCTGCCCCCAGGTGAGGTTTGGCTGTCTCTCGGCCAGCTTGGGGAGGAGCCGTTCAAAGCGAGGAGGATGCAAGAAGGGAGCCCTCCTGCCCATCTCCCAGCGGTGCCATTTTGCTCATCTGTGTCTCAGGATGGGAACACCGAGTTTGCTTTTGGAGGCAGAGAAAAGTGGAGACCTGGTTCCGCCACAGGATTGCTGGGGCCAGAGGCTCCAGGTGCCAGTCCCCAGCCCAGCGTGGTGCCTCCTCCAGCCCTCCCCCGCACCCCACCCCACCCCACCCCACCCCGCACCTCGAGACGCCAAGAGGTCTAGAAGCATCACAGAGATCCCTTTGACACGCTCCGCAGAGCTGTCGTCTCCAGCTGGCCTCACCATTTTCGCCTTGCCCCTTGCAGCCAGCCTCTCCCAGTCAGCCTTCCTGTCCTTGAGATACGATGAAGACTTGGACGACGTGAGCTCCTCATCCTCCGTTGCCCAGTCCCTGGAGAACGAAGACATCCAAGCGGCAGACCGGGAGGAGGAGGAGGAGGTGGCCCCAGTCCCGGTGCCCCGCCACGCCCCTGTGGTCCGGACCCCCTCGATTCAGCCTGGCCTGATGGCGCAACCCCCGCCTCTCGGCAAATCGCAGATCCCCTTGGGCGCCTTGAGTGAGTAGGCTGTGCCGCATCCCAGTGGGCCCAGCGCAGTCTCCAGAGAAGGAGGGGAAAACACCCCAGGATCGTGGCCAATGGTTCTTGCCATAAATCAAGAACCTCACGGCTCAGTACCCCTTCCTCAGCCTTCAGCCGCTGCGTCCCGGGGCACCTGCTCCAGGGCAGAAGCACCTTGTGGGTGACTGAATGGGCGTCCTTTGTTCCCCTTCCTCCTAGTATCCACCCCCAAAATCATCCCACAGGCAGCAGACAGTACAATGCTGGCCACGAAGACGGTGAAGCACGGCGCCCCTGCTCCCTCCGTCACCCTCCCGGCACCCCAGGCGGCTGCAGAAGCGGCTCTCCGGAGACAGATGGCCAACCAGAATCCAGGTAAAACCGCACGGCATGTTTTGCGATCATAAAACCCAAAAGCAACTATTGGACGGCAACCAGAAAACTGGAGAAGTTTTCATGTATTCCTTGCTCCTTTCCTCCAAGCAGCCCAAGCCACTGCTCCAATCCTCCCACTCTCTGTTCTCTTCACAACAACCCTGTGGGTAGGCAGGACTGAGAATCAGCGACTGACCCAGAATCAACTCGTGAACTTTCATGGCCAAGGGTGAGCTAGAACCCTGGCGGTCCGTGCAGACATCCTGAGCTAGTTGTAAATCTGATCACTGAAACTGCAAATCGCATGCCAGAGCCTGGAAGCGGCTGCTTTGGGGAAATGGAGACATTGAATGGGTAGTCTTTGAGCTTTCCACTTCTAGAAAGAGAATGGGATCTATTGACTGCGTGGGGTTTGTCTTTATGGTTCCTCATAGCAGTAAATTACACTTGGGGCACAACCCACCAGACGTGCAGGATTGCAGACGTCCTGATGCTGGCCTTAAAGAGCGTGGAGGCAAAAGTCAGACAGCCTTTCCCTGCCCTGCAGAGCAACGGGGTGGCCCTGATCAGCTGTTTAACTGCAGCTTTCCGGAGGGGGAAGGAAGGAAGGAGGCTGGGGCACCGCTAGGATATATCATCCCTTGGCAGCCCGTGCTCATGGTTTCCCCTCCCACCCAATCCATAACATTGGATGCTGGACAACTGTTATTTTTTATTTCTATTTTTTGAATTAATTTGTTGTGAACCATCCCGAGATGGTCTAAGTATGGGACAGTATGGTAAAGTTTTAAATGAATACTAAATAAATAATCCCCTTCTCTGAGGTTGCTTTTGCTTTTGCAACCTCGGAGATGCAGCCGGCACCTGAAGGGGGAGGAGGGAGATCTGAACCCAGAACTCCAGCTCCGAGGTTCGAGCAATTTTCCAGTTTCACAGCTGGGAAACTGGGAGATCCTACGTCCATCTAGCAGGCGTGGGACTTCTGCTTCCATCTCTTCCCCCACCTCCATACATCAAGGAAGGACTGGGCCAGACATGATGGGAAATGCAGTCCAACACTACACTGGGGAAAGCCTGAACCAGTAACACCCTTTGGATTGGCATATCGTGGTCGTGTGTGTGTGTGTCTGTGTCTGTGCACGCGCGTGCCTTTAGTGACTTCTCATCCCTATCAGAATCAACCCAGTCCTTCCCCTTCGTATCGTTCGGCAGCCGCAAGCACTTCCTTGACCGAGTCAACTTTAAAGAACGTCCCGCAGGTGGTGAACGTGCGGGAGCTGAAAAGCAGTGCCTCTACTCCAGCGGTTTCTGCAGTCATTGGGTAGGTGGGCGTGTGCGTCTCCTCTGCACCTTCCGGGGGGCCCATTTTGGTCCGTGCTTGCACAGCCAGAGGGTGGAAGTGTTACTGCTTTTGGGAGGATGAGCCTCTGATAGGCTTGTGAGGTTGGGTTAGACTCGGGGGTGGGGGGGCTGGCTAGTTTAAGGAGTACCCCAGACCTTGAACTGCCATTTTTAAATAAAGTCTCTAGTCCTTATGCCCGCGAGCAGGGTGGGTGGGTGTGATTTTACAGCTTAAGGTGCTCCATTTGTGCATATTTTAGCTCTTCTCCATTCAGAATGGGATGGGGGTGTCATTTTGGGACACATTTTCCCACTTTGCAAGAGGCAACCATGGGGGAAGTTATACCGGGGTGTTGAGCAGCTCCAGAGGGTGTGTTTCTCCTGTGCAATTTCGCATCTCGTGGGGCAGGGAGGACACTGTCGAAATGTGAGACTAGGAACCTCACTGGGGAATCTTCGACGATCGCTTCTGGTGTGCTCCGTTACTTTGACATGCCTTCTGCTCTCTGAAGCTCTGACATTTTATTAGTTTTGAATGCTGTTGCTTTTTTAGGCCACATCACTGCGATCTTAGCAACTGTGTGTGTTTTCTGCTTTTAATTGTGTCCCCGGCTTTCCCCACTTTTCCAGGGAGGGAGGAGAGAGAGAGAGAGAAGTTGCATTCATTCATTCATTCATTCATTCATTTAGAAAATTTCTATGCCGCCCCATTCGCCGAAGCCTCGGGGCGGCTCACAAAACATTAAAATATAATACATTAAAAATATAAAATTTCAGGCCTTCTTAGATGAAAGATCTCACAGTTTAAGGCCTACATTGAGGTTTTGAATTGCTAGTGACAGACAGGGGAGAACTGACCTCCACTTTTCCTCCATAATGTTAATTGAAGCTACACTTGGGTGCAACATGAAACTAAGGTTCAGTACAGCTGTGGATCACAACTGGCAGTCAAGACAGCTGCCACTTCACCCATCTGGAGGGTTCAGCATTCTGTGAAGAAGCTTCAGGCTCATGAGCTGCTCCTGCTTTCTTATGTGCTGTGTCCACAAAGAGAGTCCACGTTCAGCTGCCGCAGTTTATCATTAGATCAGAAACGGGGCAGATGGGTTTAGGGAAAACCAACCAGCTTCAGACTGGGAAAGCAAGAGCCCCACAGGCCATGAAGGAGCAGATGTGAAGATGGGCAATCCCTTTCTCAGGGCCCACCGGAATTCCGCAGAAACGTGCACATTTTCACCTGAAGCAGGAGGCAGGTGCGCTGCAAACCAGCCTCTGCCTCTCTGTCCCAAAGTGGCTTCCCAGGTGTGGTCTGATCATGGCAGCATCTGCCACTGACCGATTGCTTCAGACTGCTGCTCTGCGCACAGCAAAAACATCTCGCCTTCTCTCTTCCTTCCTCCGCCTCCTGCTCTTTATACCACTGGGCCTAATGGAAGAGCTCAAAGGGCTTTTGTGGAATTTCGGTCGGCGCTAACAAAAAGTATCGCCCTACGGTAGACGTGGGCTCACGGCAGCCGGCGTGCCCGAGTGGCTCCCCTCAGCCCTCGGTTTGCTGAGCCACCATTTTTGCGTTCAGGCGCACGGGCAGGCCGGTTCGTTGACAATGGAAGGGAAGGCCCTTGTTCGGAAGCTGAAGCAGGAGAGCAGAGGAAAGGCTCGGGCATCCAAGCCGCATTGTATGTCATGCCAGAGCTGACGCGGCCGAGTTTTCTTTGCAAGGAGAAGTCGTGACTTTCTATGCTTGTTTCCATAAAATGGTGGGCGCCGCTCGCCTCGTGGGTGCTTGTAGGCAGGACTGCTGCAAGGCTGTTTCCCGCAAGGCATCTTTCAAGACCCCTTAGCCTCCCCGCAGCCTGTCCCCCCACCAGTCACTTCGTCCCTACAAAGCACTCTCCTCCAGGGTCTCGCGGGGCACAAGTGGCCGCCGTTCACCCAGGCAGGCCCTTCACAGGCGGTTCTCCCCGAAATGGCGAACAAACCGCACTTCACTTTCTGGTTTCTCCCTTTTCCCCTCAATTTTGGCAGCCTTCGCAAGCATTTTGCTGTGCAAAGTTCATTATTGCTGCTGCTGATGATGATGATAACATTATTATCATCATTATTATTAATGTCACCTCCTTGCAACTGGCATACGATCTGCCAGCATTTTGACCATCTGGCTGTGTGGCTTATTCCCTCTGCTGCCGTGGAAAACATCTGCGCTGTCATATAGCTTGCCAGTCAGTTTTATTTCCTGCAGGAATTTGCACATGTTTCATCTGGTAAGGATGACTGTGATCGTCACAGTACATAATCCCCACACATGGCTGCATCAAAGGTTAAATTTCAATTAGGGCGATGCATACCCCTGGAATCGGAGGCGCTGGCCCAGTGTACCAACCAAGGCCTGCTCTGTCTATGGGGCAGAACAAGGAGGTAGACCCAGCTTGTGACTGGGTGTCCTCTCTGCATGCCCCCCATAGAGTGTAGGGGAAGCTTTGCTGCACATGGAAGCAGCCAAAGCCAAAATGTAGGATAGTTCAGGAAAAGCCCAGCTCTGCGTCCTGTGGTGCTAGTTTTCCTCTTGCGAGGACTCTTATCATTGCAGAGAATTAAACAGGGTTTCCCACCTCCACTTGGAAGGGGAGCAGTGTGTTCTGCCCCCTCAGTCCTGTGGCACCTTTAGAACCTGTGCAAGCCCCAGCTTTTAAGTCAGGAGAAGCATGTAACACACGGTATGCCGTGGAGTGAGGCCTCCTCCCCTTTCCCCTCTCCTCTCCCTCTTCTGCAATTATTAGGATGGTAATGCTGGCCTACCTTGCAGGAGCAGTGTGATAATTGTTGAGGTAGTGTGCAGGAGGTGCTTTGAATCACTGGGGCATACTATACAAATGCGGAGAATTTATATGCATGTGTGCATACACACACGATCTCAGATCCTAACTCTGTGTGTGTGTGTGTGTGTGTGCTGTGCTGTGCTGTGCTGTGCTGTGCTGTGCTGTGCTGTGCTGTTCTGTTCTGTTCTGTTCTGTTCACAGGGCATCCCTCAAAAAAATAGACCAGATGAAAGAGACCTGGTTCTCTTCTCTGAGTATGTGCAAGCAAATAGTTGCTTTTCCCGTCGTCTACATGGGGAAAAGCACTCCAAACCCTGTCCCCCGTTTGCAAACATCACAGGAAGGAGTGCAAAATGCTTCTTACACACAAGTGCGGCACTTTTCCCTGGCCCACGTGCACAGCTTGCTGCAATAAACAAGCCCCATAAGCAGCTTGGATGGGTTGCCCCAGAGGTCTTCCTGTCCAGATGCTTGGCTTCTAAGGAAATCCCAGGAGCAGGCCATGAATGGAACCGTGAGGCTTTCTCCTGTCTTTGTCCTCGACTTCTCTGTGGCTGTCACTATACACAGAAAGTCCCTCAGGACTAGCGGCCATCAATAAAGCTCCTCCTCTTCTCTGTTTAATTCTAATAACCCCCTTTTAAAAGCATCTAGGTTCGCAGCAGCCCCGTGATGTGAGGCGTGGCTCTGCTTTGTCATATTCACCATGCCTCAAGCGCCTCTGGCTTGCCCTCGGCTTACCTCCTCCCTCTTTCTGCATTTGCTGCATTTTTGGCTTGCTCTTCAGCCAAAACAGGCCCTTGGCAATGATTAAAGTGGCCTCATGCCCACAATCCAAAAGGCACAACCTGGAGGAAAGAGGACTGGGAGGGAGGAGGAAAGAAGCAACACTCAGGTGCCAGGACTTGGTTTCATAGTTTTTATAGGTGTTCTTTTTAGCAGGAAGGGACCAGAGCAGGCCCTGTGGAGAGAGGCAGGTGCCCTTGCCATGATGCTCTCCATGGGAGTCTGGGGGATGCAGCCTCCCAGTAGCTCTGGGTTCTCCAGCCGACGGATGAGGCCAGAATCTTCCCTCCCAGGAACGGTCCCTTTTCCCGACAACAAGCATGTGACCTTCCCGTTCTGCAAGGATGTTTTCTCTTCCGTTCCACCTCCCGATGTGCTGGCCTTGAATCTTTCTTGCCTTGGCAGCTCTCTGAGGCTAGATAAGAGCGCTGCTTAGTAAAACCAGCCAGTTGGTGGCCGACTGTTTTGCCTCGTACGATCTTGGCATATCGGGCTGCCTTCAGATAGTAACAAGATGCTGGAAGCAATGGCCAGGCAAGGGCTGCTGAGTTGCCGCATCCAGAATCCATCCTGATCTCTCACGCTTTTTAGTGGCATTTAGGATTTCTTTGCCGGTTTTACCCACTATTTTTATCTTGCTGGCCATCTGCTGTTTTGTGTGTCATAATTCTTACTGGTGGGTGTGTTTTAATGTTATATGTTTTACATTTTTAAGATGTTGTATGGATCTATTCACTAGAGCCTTTGTGGAAAGCCAGGGTTTGAATTACTTAACTGAAATAGGCCTCTTGCTTTTCTAGACGTCTGTGTTTCTGGCTTTTGCACATACTGCTTAATTTCCAGCCCTTGTTCAATTAACTTTCCGTTTGAACCTAAGCTTGCCTGCAGCTGGGCAGTGTCTGGTGTCTATAAATCTAAGCAATCGGTTCTTCCTAGCTCAGTGGTCTTCAGGTGTATTAGACTACACTTCCCATCTTCCCTAGCAGGCATGGCCACTGACATTCTGCAGTGCCAACAATTAAATCGGTGAAACCCAATATAAGCTACACTCTAACAGTGTAAGTCTGCAGTATAAAATAGAAGTAAAAACCAAGGAAGGAATCACTAGAAGTAAAAACCAAGGAAGATCTTTCAACTGCGAAGTTGAAAATACAGTAGCAGATTTAAAGCAGAAACTGAAAGGCTAAAGGTGCAAGTCTCGACAGGTTTCGACTTCCTTCTGTCTAAGCCAGTGCATAGGATTGCCCTTCAAAATGCCTGGAAATGCAAGATCTTCCTCTGCTGCCAAAAAGAGGACAATGCAGGCACCAAGTAAACCTCCCTGGGAAGTTCGTTCCACGGCGAGGGTGCCACCACAGAAAAGGCCCCCCTCTTCGTAGCCAGCCACCTAATTTCCTCTGCAAGGGTGTCCCAGAGAAGAACACTCAAGTCCGTATCAGGGTCTGGGCAGGTTTATAGGGGAAGAGCTGTCCTTAGGTAACCTGGCCCCAGTCTGTTCAGGGCTTGGAATTTGACATCTGGAGGTCATCATACTGGAAAAGGCCATACTAAAAAGCTCAGGAAGAAGGCTGAACTAGGTATTCTTGCCCGATAGTCTTGCTTTTTCAACACATGGGAGTTCAGGAATGGGGGGGGGCATTTATCTCAGGGGGCGGGGGTCCCTGGGCAAAACTCCCAAGGTCTGTCCTGGTGGAACTGGGAAAGACTCTGCTCGCCTGAGGCTCTGGAGAGCTGCACTGGGTCAGGGAGGAATGGTGGGGCAGCTTTTGCAGGCTGGATTAGCTCTGCAAGTCATCGGTGAGATGGAATAGGGCATTTAAATTCCTTGCAAAATCCATGCGTGGGGTACCTGAGCCTTTGGGATTGATGAGGGTTGTCACCCCACCCCTCTGCCAGTGACCAGATTGAGGAAGACCAGTTGGCAACTGAGATGGTGCCCAGGTCTGATGGACAAAGTCCCGGCCGTCTGTGTCCCAAGGAAAAGCCACACGGATGGCTTTTCACTTAATTGCCATGTCCCTTGTCAGTTTCCGTCTGCTCAGCTGTAAAAACAAATTAAAGCAACAGTGCAGCAAGAAGTAATCAGCCACCCAAAGGAAGAAAGTCCCCAATTTCCCATTTGCATGCTAAAGAAAGAAGCAGAGAGAAGTAGATGCTGGGAACAGTTAAACTTGGTGTCATGAGAAGAAGGGAGTGTGGATTTATTTCCATGCCCAGTAAATCTCCATGTTTGGAAATGTATGCTTATATCCATTATTGCCTTTGGTATAAATCTTGACTCTTTGCTCTTCCGCGGTAAGGGAGTCTGTTACTCCAATTTTATGCTGACGAGCTGATAACTTTGGCGGGAGTTAGCTGATAACAAACCAATGAATCTTTGCCTTCCCAAGAGGTGTGACCCATTTAGCTGCTTGTAATGGAGCTGTCTCTCGATGAGAGCTGGCGAGACCCAAAGTTTTTCACCAGCTCTCGGGAAACCATAGCAAGACATGCAGAGACTCTGGTGGTGACTGACCCCAGATTGTAAGATTCCAAACATGGCGTCTGCGCCCTTCCCGCTTGCCGTGAGCACTTTCAGCGTTTCACAGGGGCGTCAGATGCTGCTTTGTACCGAGCCACATCCTGGGTCCGCCTTGCCAGGTGTCCCCACTGCTGTCAGCCGTGGCTCTCTGATTCAGACAGGATTCCTTCCTGGAGTCACCGAGGGTCAGGCCTGGAACCTCCTTCTGGCAAGGCAGGGGCTTTGCCACCAAGCCATGGCCTCAGCCCCAAGCACCGCAAATGCTGCCGAGTTCAGCTTGAAGCAGGCCCTGCCACCAGGCGCAGTTCAAGCCCTCTCCCAAGTTTTAGTGGCTTTTAGATCGAACTCCTCAGATTACCTCAAAGGGGCTTGGACGATTGGTGGGTTCAAGAGGTAGCTCAGGCTGAGAGCGCCGTGTGTCCAAAGGCACCGAGAAACATGGCACGCTTTTGTGGATTTGAACCCGGCACCTTCCCCACCAGAGCTGTGCTCTCCCAGGTCTGAAGATTAAGGCCCACTTTCCCCCGGAGTGTGTCTGGATCAGCACTTCTCTCTCACACCTGGGAAGGCCTCCCCCAAAAGCGTGGAAGTTTAAAACTGACGTATCCGCTAAAGGATGGAAGAAAAGCCCTGTTGGGTCAGGCCGGAAGTCAGACTAGTCCGGCTTTCTGCCCCCTTGGTGGCTAACCAGACACCCCAGCGGGAAGCAGGAGCACCCTCTGCCCCCATGGGCCCCCAGCAAGTGGTGCAAACAGACATCCTGCCACTGATACCGGAGACAGCATGCCAGGCTGTCCAGACCGGTAGCCATGGCTAGCTGTCTCCCCCTGGAGCAAGGAGCCCGGCTTCCTGGAGGGAGGCTCAGAGCCTTGCTCCGCACCCAGCGGGCTCCCCGCCCCCCCAGGATGAACCTCGGCGAGCCACTCGCATCCTGTCAAGTTCGTGATGGTTGCTGGTCTCTCCAACAGCTTTCCCTTCCTCTTGCAGATCCTCCATTCCTCAGTCCGCGGCTCAAGCTGTCCACCAAGTTTTGGCAACGGTCGCCACCAACCAAGCCAATCAGGTACTGCCAGTCCCTGTCCTGTGTTCTTAAGTTTGCAGGCTCTTCAGGAGTCGCAAGAATTGGGTGGCCCCAATCACAGAGCTGGGGCATGAGAGAGGGGTGCTGGGGGGATCAGGGAGAATCCTAGGCATGCTCAGATGCCAGAAAAACCCTGTGCAGGGAGCACCTTAAGGGAACCCCCAAAACATCCCCTGAGGACCCCGGTCCTGAGTCATGGGATGGAAAAACCCAGCAACGAGAAGGGAGGAGGAATGGAGTGAACAGGTCAAGAGACACACAGACATAATCCAGATGACACAGTAACCTGGACACAAAGGTTGCGTATGGGTTGAGTGTGGATTGTGAAAGGGGCTCCGGGGTACGCAGACTGGCCAGCCAGCAGCCCTGCAGTTCCTTAACGGACCACGATGGAGCTCCGCAGATCATGCCTTTGAGCTCTCCGCTTAACTCCAAGCTGCCTCTCTTTCTCGGCACGCCTGCGCAAAGCCACGCGCTGTGGGACTGTCTGCTCTGGAGTGGCCCCTCGTTCCCCCGGGGCCTGCGCAGTTTCCAGCTGGGATGCACCTTGTCTTGGGCCCTCTCCCCCTGCTTCCTTCTTGACCAGGCTCCTCCCGCCTAACCTTTCTAGGGACCTCCCGCTGGCTCCCTGAAGATGCAGCCTCTGCCCACCTCTGTACCCTTGGCTGGGGTCTCCGTCGCATCCCCTGGACAGACACTGGCTGGCAAAAAGAACTCAGGTGAGGAGAGGCCGCGTGGGGGGGCAGGGGGCGGGCAGTGGCAGTGTGCTCCATCCAGCTCTGGAGCAGCAGGAAAAGCTCCGGATAGCAATCCCAGAATGCTCCTTCTGAGGCCATACGGCGCCGATGAATGCCGGCGGGTTCACGGTTGAGAAAGAACAACTGGGAAAGAGTGGGCGGGGAGGCAGGAGCATGACTGAAGGGATCCCAGCGACCCTGCTGCGCTGAGAGATTTATTCTGTGAAGCAGAAGGTGCCTCTCGCTGACGAACAGTACGACGGTACGGTTTGCGGAGCTTCGGAGAAAGGCTCAGGCTCGTGGCCCCCCGCGCCCACCCCCGTGTCCTCCGCATCATTCTTCCCACTGGCAGGCTCTGCAGGCAGCAACGAGGCCCCTCTCAGACTGCGTTAACAGCCCAGGGGGGTCCCCATCCTGCCCCCGTTGGGCTTGCACCCGAGAGCTCAACGGACCAGCCCCGTGGACGAGAGCGAGGGGGAGGCTGCTGCTCACGTGCTCTCCAGCACGCGGCCGTTCTGTGGAGCAGACTGCCGGCTCCCGGCTCCCGCCCAGGGGGTCTGCTCTCCGGCAGGAACACCCGGCCTGCTTGGCAGCGCTGCAGGGTGAATCCTCGCCTGCCTCCAGCTGGGGAAGCAGCCCCCCTGGCTGCCCCACACGGCTGTCTGGCCCCCTCTCCCTCGGCCATGACTCTTCCTGCGTGACTTGGGGCCAGTCAGTCACTGCCCCCCTCCTACCTCACAGGGTTGTTGTGAGGATGCAGTGGAGAGGAGGAGAGCCTTGTCAGTCATCTTGCAAGCGGGGGGAAGGCAGGGTAAAAGCGAAATAGCATTTAGTATTTTAATAAGTAAAAATACTGAACTGAGCCTCGGTCAGCATGTGCATGCTTCGCTCATTGCTGCCTAGCGCTGATCTGTCTTGTAAGCATGCGAAGAGAGCGTGCCTCGAGAAATAGCATCAGGCCTGGTGGGCTGCCTCGTGCCCTCCAGAGCACAGGGCCTCTTTGCTTCTGGCCCCCATCACTGGCTGTTCTCCCCATGGAAGTTTGAGGGGTACCAGGGTCGCGGGGTCCCCGACTTGGGTCTCGAGGTCCACCCCAGGCTGCTCGCCCGGGGACCCAAACTCTCTGCTCAGCCACGTGGAACACAGGTGCCCTCGTCCAGTCACTGTATTGTTCAACCTTACAAGGGTGTTGTGAAGATCGGCATTGTCTGGGGCTGGGAGGAGAGCCCAGTATTCCGCGTGGAGCGACTTGGAGGAAAGGTGGAACAGATGGCGTGAGAGCCAGTGTGGCGTGGTAGTTGGGAGTGCTGGGCTGGGTCTTGGGAGGCCCGGGTTCGAGTCCCCGCTTGACCATGACGCCCCCGTCGCGATTTTCAGCCAGTGATTCCCTCTCAGGCTAAGCTACCTAGCAGGGCTGTTGTGGGGGCAAAATGTACTGGAGCAGGTACTGAGGAAGCCACCTGGGGCTCCTTGCAAGGAGAAAAGCGAGGTGGGCCATGCAGCCGTAGTGCTAACAATGCTGTGGTGTAAACAGCTGCGCCCCTACCTGGGGTACAACTGCCTGGTGACAGTGACACATGCGCTGGTGACTTCCCGCCTTGACTTCTGTAATGCGCTCTATGTGGGGCTACCCTTGAAGACGGTCCGGATACTTCAGTTGGTTCAAAATAGAGCTGCCAGGCTGCTGACGGGGACTGGGCATTATGCTCACATGACTCCAGTCCTCCGTCAGCTTCACTGGCTTCCCATTGAAGTCCGGGCCCAATTCAAGGTGTTGGTGATGACCTATAAAGCCCTAAAGGGCTTGGGTCCTGGCTACCTGAAGGAGCGCTTATGTCCATATATGCCCGCCCGCCCCCTGAGATCAGCCCTTCTCCAGGGACCTTCCATGAAGGAAATTAGGAGGGTGAGTACCCGGCAGAGGGCCTTCTCTGCAGTGGCGCCCAACCTATGGAATGCGCTCCCTAGAGAGGTCCGCCTGGCGCCGTCGTTATTTGTTTTTCGGTGCCAGGCAAAGACCTTTTTATTCAAGCATCATTTTAATTGTTAATGGTATTTATTTTTATTCTTTGGCCAGGGCGACTTATTTTATACTGTTATATGTGCTTTATATTGTTAATTTATGTATTTTAATTTATTTGTAAGCCACCCCGAGGCTTCAGCGAATGGGGCGGCCTAGAAATTTTCGAAATAAATAAAATAAACAAATAATAAACAGAAATCAGGCTCAGAGAGGCTTTTCCCAGGAGCACTGATGGGGGAGCACAGTCCCTGCTCGCCCGCGTGTGCGTGTTCGATAATGCTGTGCCCCTTTCTTTGCCATCCCAGGGCAAGGGCCCCCGAAGACCGCTGCGGCCGCGACCTCTCCTGCAGTGACGTCCGCCCCAGCAGCCGCAGGCCAGTTCAACAAGGCGTTCACGTTCACCTCCCCAGGGTCTGTATGGGCGCCTTCTCCCTGCTTCTCGCGTGAAAGAGCCGCATGGGCAGGGGCAGCCTTCTCAGCCTGGTGCCCCCCGGGGGTGCCGGACTACGGCTCCCAGCATTCCCGCCGAGGAGGGGAGTTGGAGTCGAGCATCTCTGGAGGGGACCAGCTGAAGGAAGGCGGGGTTGCGGGGAGACCCACGGTCCAGCCCCCGAGGTTGCCCTCTTCAGGCAGCCCGGCAGCCTCACTGGCTTGTTGTGGGGATGAAATGGGGGGAGCGAGGAGAGAACATTCCTGCCGCATGGCGTGCCTTGCGGGCAGGGGAGGGTCAAAGCTGCAGGGTCCTCAGGTGCTGGGCTCGCTTGGCCGTTCTGGATCCTGCAGCGGGAAATGCACAGGGCGAGGGAGAAATGTGGAGGAGGGTCGTTCTTGCCCTCGTCGTCCGTCTTGCCCTGGACACGCAGCCGGCATCCAAACTCAGGCACGTGGGGAGCAAAGCTCTCCAGCCGGGAGCCGGAATCCTGGCCAGGTAGCCCGGCTGGAGCGCCCGGGAGCTGGCAAAGATGCTGCCGCCCAGTTGCCATGTCGTAGCTTTGCAGTGAGGTGGGAGGAAAGGAGACAAGCCCATGATCCACACTGGGAGGCATCTAGATCGTCCCACTGCCTCCCAAAAGTTTCCGTGACGTAGGCCTCGCACGGAGAAGGACAAGTCTCCAAACGAGGTGTAGCCTTCTCCCTCATCACATTGTAGCCGGACCCAGGAAAGCTAAAACGGGACCCATTTCACGGTGCGTGCTGTCAGGCAGAGCCGTGTGTCTGCTGACCTCCCTCCTCCGCTCAAGTCAGGAGTGGACAACTGGGGGTCCTCCGGATGCTTCAGACCACAGCATCCATAAGCCCCAGGGCCAATAGTCAGGGCTTTTGGAAGTGTATTCCACAGCATTGAGTGGGCAGCCTGGTGCTGGCCCCTGCTGCAGAGACATTTTATTTGTTTGTTTGTTTGTTTGTTTGTTTGTTTGTTTATTAAAACATTGGCTTATGGTGCAGGGAATTCTGGGTGTTGTAGTTCTGGGGGCCAGGCGGTGAGGCGCAGCAAGCAGTTAGCGCCAGCACCCAACAGTGATTCCCGTTTCTGAGGCTGTGGGGAGAGCCATGATTCTAGTGTGGAGCTAAATCTCTCTCTTTCCCACCCCCACTTTTTTTGTTTTTAATCTAGGCCGGGATTTAACTTCGCTGCCGTCACCTCTTCCCCTGCAACATCTGGCGCTGCTGCTTTACAAGGCAAGTTTCTCACACCGCGTGCAAAGAAAGCAAGGCGGCGCCGAGCCAAACGGTCTTGGGGATGTGATAGGACTCCCTTTGGGGCCGCCCTTGGGCTCCCCTGTCCCAGGCAGACCTCCTCTGCAGGCTTGGAGAAGTACCAGAGGAGAGGGAAAGGTTATCAAAAGTCACAGGTTGCCCTTGCCCAGGTCCAGCGTGGCTGCGCCCTGCCTGGGAGAAGGGCGGGAAGGGCGTGTCGCTGCAGCAGGAATCGCGCAAGTGTGCGGCGCATGGCCTTACAGACAGGCGCGCCTGTCCCGTCCCTGCCTTGCGAGAGACGCAGTGAACCATCCGCCGCCCAGTGAGGAGCAGCAGCAGAGACTTAACGGGAAGGAGCTCGGCCCCTGGGCAGGGCATCATGTGGCTGGGCAACTTTGCGAGCACCTCGTTAGCATTTTGCTGTAATTAACGTCTTGCCTCGTGTTGGGGTGGCGCTCCCTCCGTCGCCATCCTGGCCATCATCTGCACCTCCTTAGCAAAGGTGCCTTGCCCGTGAGCAGCCGATGCGGGAGGTCTGTCTCCAGAGGTTTTGAACAACTTCCAGAAGCCCCGCCAGGCTGGGGATGGTGGGAGCTGTAGTCCAAGACTGGCTGCCGATTCCCGGGGTTCTTTTCCAGGCCATGCCCCCTGGGTTTTTGAGTAACTGAGGGTGAGATGGCCGGCACACCTGGCGGGGGCTCTGGGGAGGCAGGCAGCTGGGACACCTTCCTAACGTTGACCCGTCTGCTTCCCTTCCGCCTCAGCAGCAACGACCGCTGCAGCTAAAGAGCCGAGCCAGCTCGACACGCTTTCCTTCGGCGGAACCATGAAGTTCGGGGCCCCTCCAGAGAGCTCGTTCACATTTGGGGCCACAAAGCCAGCTGGCCTCTCGGGAGCCTCTGCGGCAGGTGGAGGCGGCACCAGCGCCGGGGACCTAAGCCAGGCTGTCGGGCAGAGTGCTGCAGGCGCACCTCCGGCCCCCGCCAGCAGCCTGGAGAGAGAGAGCCTTGCCCTGAAGCCCGGCGAGCAGCTCTTCCAGGGCACGGCGGCTGGGGAGACGCTCGGGAGCTTCTCCGGGCTGCGAGTAGGCCATGCGGACGAGAGCCCCCGGGCCGCCCCGGCCAAGGCCACGGGCATTCAAGCGCCGAAACCCTCCATGGCCGGGTTCCCCCTTGGGAGCTCCCTGCAGGCCGGCAAGCCGGCTGAGTCCGCCGCAGCCCCCGCGGCCGCCGGCGCCAGCACCATCTTCGGCAACGTCCAGTTGGCCGGCACGGGGCCCCCGGCCGTCTTCAGCCTCGGGACACCTGCGGGAAGCTCCAAGGCTCCCTTCGCACTTGGGATGCAGCCAGGGAGTGCCGCCCCCGCACCGGCGCCCCCCGCACCTCCTCCGCCGGCATCGATGCCCCTCTCCTTCGGAAGCCTCCTGAGCTCCACAGCCACAGCCGCTGCTCCCGCCGCGGTTCCGGGAGCGGATGGCAGCAAGGGCCTGCCAGGCCCGGAGAAGCTCCCTCCAAGCGAGGCCGCCTCTGCCGCAGCGCAGCCGCCCCCTCAGCCGCAGGGGCCTCCCCCAGACCTTCCCCAGGAGCCTCCCGCGATCGCCACCCCTTCACCGGCAGAGGCAGAGGCGGCGAGCCTCGCCCCGACCTCGGCACCACTGCCAGCCAAAGGGGGGCCTCCGGCCACCGCCTCCGGGGAGTCAAAGGCTGAGGGGGCGGCTGCCGTTGCCACCACCAGCCCTCCTGCCCCCGCAGCCATGGCCACGGCCAGTGCCTTGCCCCCTCCACTGGCCGAAGCCGCCGGCGCGTCCCCATCGCCGTCCAGCCCTAGCACGTCTGCCCAGGCCCTGGCCACGGGCACGTCGGCATTCACCGCCACCGCCTCGAACCCCTCCCTGCTCACGCAGCCCCCCACCTCCGCCTCGGCCTCTCCCGCCTCGGCCTTCAGCCAGCCCCCCGCCGACACCTTAGCAGCACCCGCTGCGCCCGTCTTCGGACCCGCAGGGACTGCCGCGGCGCCCCCGTTCAGTCAGCCCCCTGCCACCTCGCCATCCACCGCCGCCGGTACCACCCAGGGGGCTGCCCCCGGATTCAGCACATCCGCATTCAGCACAGCTGGCACCGCCGGCTTCGGCCACCCAGCCTTCGGGCAAGCCCCCGCCTTTGGGCAGCCGGCCAGCCCGTCGGGCGGCTTCTCCTTCAGCCAGGCAGGCTTCGGGGCGACTCCTGCCTTCGGGCAGGCGGCCTCTGCCTCCGCTGCCCCGGCCTCCAGCACCGGGAACCTCTTCGGGGCGCCCTCCAGCACCGACACGGCCAGCTCCTTCTCGTTCGGGCAGCCGTCCACCGCCACGGGGCTCTTCGGCCAGAGTGGCACGCCGGCCTTCGGGCAGAGCTCCACCTTTGGGCAGGCGGGACCGGTCTTTGGAAGCGCCGCCCCTGCCACCGCCACCACCACATCTTCAGCCGGATTCAGCTTCTGCCAGGCTTCAGGTAAGGAGGTGGTCCAGAGGCCTCCCGTTGAGCAGGGGCCCCCTGTGGGGTGACGGGCCAGACTCCGTGGGTCGCTTGCCAACGAGGATAATGCTCTGGCCTCGAGGTGAGAAGGCGATTCCCAAAATAAGCCTTCCTGTGACTTTCCTGAGCAGGGGGAATGTGGGTCAAGGGGGAGGGTGCTGATCTGAGGAGGAGAGCGGTGGGGTCCTGCCGGAGAGGGGGCTCACTTTTGAAAGTGCCCTCTTGAACCTATTTGGCCCCCACCAGGCCCCAACCCCCCCCTCCTAGTTTTTATTTTATTCCTGAAGGTTTTTAAATCTGAGGAATTGTTTAAATGCAGGGTCCTGTCTTCCAGCACCATCTTTATCACCCCTTCCTCTACCTTGGGCTTAGGTTCTTGGGCAAGATTATTTAGTTTGAGCCTCATAAGTTGGGAAATGTGTTTTATGACGATTCTGGCAGCCTTTTCACGAAAAGGTGGCACCCCCCCCACCCCCCGGCCACAAGGTTGACCATTTTACAAAAGCATCCAAAATGATCTCGCGAAATTCCAAGAGTTCCTGCTGACTCTGACAGGTCCAGCCAGGACCCTTAGTCTTAGTGCCACAAGAAAGTAAAAGGCCGGCTGGGTCACTAAAATGGGGTGCGGCGGGAGACCAAACCACCACTGCTAAGCATGAACATTCCTTGCACACGTTCCCCCCACCCAAAAAACCCCCCAGCACCCAGCCTCACTGTCCTCCTCACAAAACATGGCCAGATGGACTCATGTTCTCTGCCCAGAAGAGGGTTGCAAAATCTGTGGGGGTTCCCTTTGCAACCAACCCCTGCTTTGCACCCCTGCGCCATCCAGCATGTGTCTTCCTGCGGGCCTTTTCCAGCAACAGATTTCCCTGTGAATCATTCCTGCCCACAGGCAGAAAAGTAATTACATTGTTTAGGCAAGAAGTCTGCAGAGGGAAGGGCCCCCTTGTGAATTTTCCAGGAGAAAGGAGTATTTTTAAAGCTTGCGAGTGAAGGAAGCGGATGCCGCTGACTCCGAAGGGGGTGTAATTACAGAAAAGTGCCAAAGGGCTGGTTAGTGAGGAACATGGCCTGTAGCTCCCAGCATGCCCCGGCCAGGCCGGGGCACGCTGGGAGCTGTAGGACTTCTTTCTTCCCTCGAAACATGCGTAGGATGGCGCCCTGGCTCCGATGACGAGGCCTGTGCATTTTGCGCCAGCCTAGGAAGCACTCCATCAAAATGCTCCCTTATGTTCCACGGGAACCGGTGCTTGTCCCTCGCCAGGGAGGCTGGGACGGAGCCATGCAGGGTCCGGTGGCTCGCTTGGAATCCAAGCGGTTCACCGGGGGTGGGCGGCATTGAACTGCAAGGCAGCTCATGGCTTCAAGTGCAGGCCAGGCAGGGGTAGAACAGGGAGGTTTGGGGAATGTCAGAGTGGACGAGCACTCCAGGCCGGGGCCCCCCGGGCCCTGACTTACCCCCAGCACTTTTGGGCGCCTGCCTAGTTGTCCGTCCCCTAACTCGTTCAGCCCTTTCCTTGCCAGCCACTTGGACTGCTGGGAAATCAGTGTCTGCTGCTGCTGCTGCTGAAAACCGGCGGCCCCACACCCACCCCTGCCTTTGGGCAAGCGACTTCTCCTTGTCCACACCTCCCACGGCAGCCATGTTGTGGCGGTGCCCACAAGGGTTTCTCATGTGGTCCAGTCTGCCCGCAGCCTGAAAAGCTTCCCTGCAGCCCAGAGTTCACTCGCCTTCTCCTCTTAACTTTTCATCAGCTGGTGTGTGTGTCCCACCAAACTCTTGGCCTGTGGGCTTGTGCAGTGTGCTGTTGGATGGACCACCCCCTGCCTGCAACTGTGTTTATCTGTGGTTCTTGTCCCCACCTCATATTTTAGTGGGTTTTCAGCTATTTTGCTTCGGCGACTTTGTTTCAATCCAGCCTTGAGTTTTGCTGTTGCATTAGAAAGATTGCCCTTCGTTTATGTTCTCTTTCCTTGAGTTAGATCCAGCTTTAGCTGAACAGGACTCCCTTTGAAATCAGGAACGACAGTGCCTTTGCGTCTAGCACAACCCTCTCCTGCCACATGCTGAAAAGTCTTGCCTCTCTTTCTCCCCCCCCCCCACCCCATTTGTTCCTTCCCTCCTTCCATACAGCATTCGGTTCCAGTAGCCCAGGCACTGTCTTTGGGCAAGCAGCCAACACCAGCGGTAGCCTCTTTGGCCAGGTAAGCTTTCCGAACACTACCTTGCCTTCCTAGGCCAGCTCCACTCCGTACCCAGAGGGAGTGGTCCCTTTTTAATACCTGGCTGTCCGTCAGATGTTGGCGTTCAGCTTTCCCCAGCCTAGCACCGTCTAGATGAGTCAGGCTGCAGTGCCCCTTTTAAACCTTCACAATCCCCACATTTTGACCCACATGTACACACCACTGCAGGGATCAGTGAGGATGCAGGTGGCTTGGTGTCACCCATGCTAGTGTTAGGCTCCCCTGGTAGCGGGTGAACTGCACCGTCCGCTCTGGCTGCTCGCTGTCGATAACAGACTTCTCTTCCTTCTAAGAAGTGATTGGAGGTCTCCCTTCAGCCTTCCTTTGCAAGATGCACGCTCTGGGGGCTTCTTTTTCCTGGAACAGGTGGGCAACCTGCCGCCCTCCCGATACCCTTGGCTGGCAATCCCTATCATTACTCGCTTACTGCCGCCCAGGGTTGATGGGAACTGTAGTCTGGAGCCCTAGGAGAGTCTTGCTGTTTGCCTGGACGACTCAGGAAGAAATACTTGGTGGTTTTCCTGGAAGAAGTTCTCCAAAGCTTAGCACCCTTCCTCTATTCGACCGGCAGCCGCTGCAGCGCTCCTTTTCGGCAGAGTCTGCGAAATCCTTGAGCTGGTTACCAAGTGCGGTGCCAGGCAGCTGGGAGACTGGCCCTAAGCTCGCTGCCAGGAGATGTCTTCATTAAACAAGATGTGCTAATGTGGGCCCTCTGTTTTTCTTTACCTTGAACCCACTTTGCAAGGCACATGTGCAATAAAGGGGAAATATCCTGACCCGCATTTGGGAAGGGGTGGGCCCACTGACACACCCAAAGTAGTTACTTTTGCATCTTAGCCCAGGTCTTCAGGGTGCCTAAATGAAGCCGCTAGTCCTCATGGAAGCACATCTGATCCTTAGGTGTCCAGGAGCCCCTACTGAATCTGGCGAACAGGAGTCCAAGCATGTGTCTCCCCACTTCTGTCTTGCAGCAGTCCTCGTCCAGCAGCGGTTTGTTTGGGTCTGGAGGTGGTGCGGGGAGAGGCGGGGGCTTCTTCAGCGGATTGGGAGGAAAGCCAAGCCACGAGGCAGCGAATAAGAACCCTTTCAGTTCCACGGGCGGAGGATTCGGCTCATCGGCCACCCAGAGTAAGTACCCAGCCAAGTGCTGCCTTTTCCTGCCCTGACGAGCCTCGCCTGTCTCCCTGGTCGGGCTTGTTCCCCGTGGGAGCTCACGCCCTCGGTGGCTGCAGCACGAAGTTGCAGCACGCAGGCCTGAACAGCCCGTCCCAGGCTGCCTCTCGCGTCGCAGCTTTCCGAACTGAGTCTGCTTGCGCGACCAGCCGCAAGAAATCCGAGTGATCAGCATGGTTGGTGGTGCTGAGGACGAGATCGATGCGGGTTTGGTTTATTGGCTCCTAGGCCCGAAAGGCTCCTGGAGGGGCTCTGCAGCGAGCAAGCGCGCGCCTCCCGGCAAACTGACAGCCTAGAAAGGCTCGACACAAATGGAAAGGAAGAGGAGGGAAGGAGTCGTCCGGATGGGCTGGAGGAACGGCCTTGCTTGCAGCCTCTTCTCCCTCCCTACGTCCTGCTGCAGAGAATTCCCAGGGAGACACCCCCCTGCCCCAAATTCTGGGCCCCCATCTCGACCCGTCGCTTGGATAGCAGCAAGGCAGCCACGAGGGATGCACTGCTGAAGCGAGGCTGGGAGGGGAGCAGGAGGAGCTGTCCCTCGAGGTCGCCGCTTCACTCACCCCAGGCTTGAGGCTTCTCATTGCAGTCCCCGTGCCCTGCTGCCCAGCTCTGGGTGACGTTGGCGCCGCTCGGACAGCACGGGGGCTGAGCACCCACCCCCTTCCCCACGGCCCTGCCTGTAGGTCATGGGTCCTCAAACTACGGCCGCGGGCCGGATCCAGCCCGCCATGCTGATTTATCCTGCCCGCCTCAGAGCTCTGGGACTCGCTCGGAGAAAACGACCTCCGAGTGAGTCCAAAAGCTCTGAGCCGGTGCAGTGGGGAGATGGCCGCGGTTGCGGTTGTGCTCGTGCAGGGAAGATGGGCGCAATGGGATTGGGTCTGCGGGGGGGGGGGGGCTTGCCTGCTGCTGGGAGGGTCGTCCTTCAGGTGACTGCATGGCGCTCCTTCTGTCCTCCCAGGCCTTTCCAACCTATGCTTCTTTAGCTCTGCTTCAATGCGGTCATCTTGGCACTCTCTTTTCTAAGGCCACGTCTTAGTGTGTTGGGCTTAGGAACCTTCCTTGCTGCTGGTTCTGACCTTTTGTCAGGAGAGTGTCTACTGAAGACCAGGATGTTTAATTATCCAAATTAATATGCATACTTTCAACTGTTACTGGGGTGAAGATTTGGAAAAGTGGGCCCGATGCAGGGGATGCTCTCACCAACCATTTAATGGCAGTACAGAGACTGTGGGTTCAAATGGACCAAAACAAAGTCCCAGCAGCTTCCAGCACGCGCAGCTGGCACGATGGGGGAACTGTAGGGCTCTTCTGCCCAAGCGTACATAGGTTTGCACACAGCAGCATTTAACGCCTGCCTTGTCCTTGAATGGTAAAGACAGGCTTAGAAAAACACTGATGTTTGAACTTCCTGGGGCTCTAGCATTCAAAACAGGCCTCTGATAGAAAGGTTACTTTAATGGGATCTGTGCAGAGAGACAGGCGGGAGGAAAGTGCATGAAGTCACACGCTGTGCGTGGCAGCACTGTGTTCTTTGTGCGTGTGTGCACACACAGACACACAAATGCACAGCTGTTGCTGCTTGACCTAACCCTCAGGAAGAACTGGGTTTCACATCTCATCGGAGCAATGAGTATGTCTGATGAAGTGCTAGGGTGCTCTGTCTTGAACCTGTCTGACCACTGAGGTAAATAAGAAGGCTGCAATGAGTGGACTTTTGGTCCAGCTCAGCATGCCTTCTCTTAGCTTTTTTTCATTAAAAAGGAGCCAACTATCCAGTCTTCCAAAGGAGAGGGGGAAATGTTTGTGTCTACCAGTTCTGTGACTAACATTTGGGAGACATGGCCAAAAGAGTCGGTGGTTCTTTGCAAATGCCTCCTGTCCACTTGGAGAAAATTCCTGCTCGCCATAGGCAAGTAGCTGCGTGAAATTCCCTAGCGAATTTCTGTGCCTTTTTGATTCCGGGCCCTGTTGCACTTCCTCCCACTAACTCTACCCAAAGCTTTGCCTGCTTTTCCCTGGTAGGTAAGACAAATCTTTTTCTCCCCACCCCAGATACATCCAGCCTTTTTGGAAACAGCGGCGCCAAGACCTTTGGATTTGGTACCACCTCTTTCGGTGAGCAGAAGCCAATGGGCACGTTCAGCTCGGGCGGAGGGAGTGTGGCGTCACAAGGCTTCGGGTTCTCCAGCCCAACCAAAGCAGGTATTCAGCTGGGCCGCTTACCTTGCGATTCATCCAGGAGGGCCTGGTGTCCTGTCTCTGTAGGCAGGAGATCAGCAACGCTCTTCTCCCAACTTGAGGGAAGATCCCCCTGTTTGGGGCCGCGGCCACATCGTACCTTGTCCTGGGGCCAACTAAATGTCGCCCCACCCCCAGGAGCGAGGTTTTGAGTTCCCCAGGAGGCTGCATGTGAGGAAAAAAGGCGTGCTTCAGGAGCATGATGGGGAAAGCCCCGAATCCTCCGTTGGTAGCCATTCCAGGTTGCCGTGCAGGGGGAGGCATTGGTGTTAAACCATCTGAATTAAATTAGAGTCGATGGTACTGGGTATGGAAACACTGCTCGGTGCAGCTTCGCAGGCTCCTCAGCAGACATGGCGGCAGTAATGTAATGGAGCTGCCGGTAATTTTGACCACGCTTCCTGTTGCTTCTCAAGCAGGGCTGCGCCTGTTGGGTGCCAAGATAAGATAAAATTCCACATGTGCGTTTGCCTCTGTTAGGCAGAATTTAGGATTACCTCTGGGTGTGTCAACGGGCTCCGCTGGGGGGCAGCCTCTCTGCCCAGTTTTCTGGAATCCCCCCCCCCACACCTCGCCCCTTTCCACTGGGTCTCCTATTTCTGGGATAGATATTCTGGGGTCTGGAGGGGCAAGCGTGGGAAGCACAGGGCGGGGAAGTCCTCTTCAAGCATAAATCTGGCCCCGAGGCGGGAATGAGGCCTTTCTGTAATTTCCCCTGGTTGAAACATGTCCCCACAACCATCAGGGCCAGGATCTTGCTTCCCCACCTGCTTTTGTCCAGCTTCCTCGGGTTGTTTGATTCAGCACTGTTACTAGTCAGAGCATATGCCCTGCATTGCTTGGACAGTGCATCCAAGCTGTAAGTTAGACAACCAGGTGCTCGGGCGATGGCTGATCCAGTCCCTTTACTACAGGAAGGCCAAGATCTCTTCTTGCTGATGCCAGAGTGTAGGACAAGGAATAATCAGTTCAGGCTGCGAAAACCCAGATTCAGGCTGGACGTCACTGTCAGAGCAATGCGACAGTGGAACCAGCTGCCTGGAGAGGTGGTGGGCTCTCCCACACTGGAGACATCCAAAAGAAACTGGACAGCCATCCGAGTGGGATGGTGTGAACTGGTGTCCTGCAACAGCGAGGGTTGGACTAGATGGCCTTCATGGCCCCTTCCAACTCTGCCATTCTGTGATTCTATGACAGCATGAATTGGAGCCAAGTGGGCTCTTGAAAGGTCCTCTGTTAAGGGCACTGCTGGTTCCTCGTCCCAACCCATTGCCTGGATCATGGGCTTCCCTTAATTGTTTCCCAGCCAATTGGGTGGCTCTCTTCTCAGCCAGAGGCAGCTTTTCTGCCGTAAAACACCCTGGAAGAAAGAACGAAACCCAGCCAGGTGGGGTGAATTACATCACAGAAACATAGAAAACAGATCGAGTCAGAAGGGGTCTCCCGGGCCATCTAGTCTGACCTCTGGCACCAGCCGGCTCCGCTCACGACATGCCCACCATGTGGACGTCCAGCCTATCCTTGAACACCCGCACCAATGGGGCCTCAACCACATCCCAGTGCTCTGTTTCCTGCTTCCCAAGTTCGCCCATGGATGCCAATTGCAGAGATGGCATCAGGCCAGTCTGGGACTTTTGTAGTCCCCACAAGCATTTTCCAAATGATTATTCTGTGCAAGCACATGAAAGGACTGCTCTGGCCCTGCTAGACAGGAATTCTGGGAGTTGCGGTCCAAATGCTTCTGAAGGCCGCCCGGTTGGGGAAAGCTGCCCTAGAAAGCAGCAGAAGGTAGAACTAGCAACTCCATTTTCAGCACCCTTCCCTTTTTTCTTATAATTTGGCAGTGTAAAAGAAGTACTTTCTGTTCTCATTCAGTTTTCACAAGTATTCCTATAAAAATGTCTGCATATATAATATTTAGATCCCAGGAAGAGTTCCTTAATCTTTTTTCCTCAAATATTACAGCTCAAATAATTGTGGGGCACTGGAACAAGAACATAAACACACACACGGGGAAAGGAGGGCTTTTAAGCTTGTGTTTCACTTACACTTTGTAAGCCTGCTAAATTATTTATTTATTTATTTATTTATTTTAGAGTTTTTATATGCCGTCCCCATTGCTACATAGCCTCAGGACGGCTCACATCAACAAATAAATAAAACAATACAATTACAATTAAAACTTGGAAACACAGTGGCTGCACAGTTAAAACTATAAATATTAAAGATTATTAAAATACTGTTTGCGTAAAAAGGTCTTGGCCCGGCACCGAAAAACAAATAACGACGGTGCCAGGCGGACCTCTCTGGGGAAGATAACACTTAGATAGATTAGATAACACTCTGGTGTTTTTCTGACCAAAACTGAAAGTATGCCAGTGCAAGCTGACCGTATCTTGATGCAAAAGACCCTATGGGGGTTGGCCAAGTTTGCACAGGAAAAAAGTCCAGTTTTTTTCAGAAAACCCACCTCCCCAGAAACACTTGGCCCTTTCCCCTCACCCTTTCTGAATCTAGCTGCCTGGCATATTCCACCGGCTTCCATGCATCCCTCTGCAGCTAGCATTTTGGCCTCAACTTCCGGTATATCATGTTTGTTTGCTTGCTTACAGTATCAGGGCAAGCCCACTGCCTGGTGGCTATAGGTAAAAACGGATGGTTCTTGGACAAAAGTGTAACCAATCCCTGATAAATAATTCAACTGGACCTTTAAAACAAACAAACGAAAGACGAGACAGTTACGTTTGCAGCCAGATGGTATCTGTTACGTTACCCCAGACTGGAATTTCACCCAGGGTATTAAAAAGCATCCCCAGTCACAGAGCAAAACAGTTGAAGGCACATTCCTGAACAGGCAGGTAGCCTGTTACAGGATTGTGAGGAAATGCCCCGGTAAGAGGGCCAGGCTATGGTTTGAGGGAGGGGGGACGGGGGAATAAGGCTCCCGGAGGGGCTTGCAAAGATGAAGTATAAAACCGTCTCTGCCTTCAAGCTTAGAAATGTTGGTGTGTCAGCACAAAAGGAGAGGAGATTGGGAGGGAGGAGAAAAAAGCAAAACTCAGGCACTGGTACTTAGTTTTGGCCTTCTTACGGGTGTTCTTTCTGGCAGGGAAGGGCCAAAATACGTTTGGCAGAGCTGTTCCTTCTCTGGATGGTGCACGGAGCTGGGTGGTCTCCTTGCCATGATGTTTTCCCTGGGAGGCCGGAGCTCCAGCAGCCTACAGATGAGCTCAGAGTCGGCTGTACTAGGAAGCTGTCGTTCGGGGCACCTGTTCGTCCCCTCAAACTGGCATCCAGATGCATGGGCAGTAAATGCAGGCCAGCAACAGGGATTGCAGCTTGGGAGAGGCTTGTGGGTGGCAGCCAGCCAGCATGGGAGGTGGGGCCTGCCCTCCCTGGCTAGCACAGTGGCCAGGTTGCATCCCCCTGCGCCCAGGCAGCGTGGCCCAGAAGGGTGGCTAAGGGTTCCCCGGGGCCAGTGCTGCGGGTGGGCAGGGTGGGCGCCTGCCGAGAGCCCGCAGCCCTGCAGGGGCCCACTAGTGAGGGCCCCCTGCAGCCGCTTCTCCTCCACTCCCCTGCAGCCTGCCTGCTTGCTTTGGCCCAGACAAGGGTGGCAGAGAGGAGGAGGGCCGAGGGGCGCTGGGGCCGGCCTGCTCTCCAGCCCTTTGCCTGTCCAGCAGGCGAGTGGGAGCCACGATGAAAAGGAGGAGGAGGAGGAGGAGGAATCAGAGCAGCCACGGACCATGGCGGTGAGAAGGGGCGCTCATGCAGGGGCCATCCTGCCCAGCCCCGCCTGAGCCCTGAGGCCGCCCCGCTTCCGCCTCTGGCCCCGTTCCGGGCAGTGGCACAGTCTTCGCTTGGAAGAGGACAGGCGGCTCACCTCACTTCCCCACGAGAGAGGCTTCTCCCCCAGCGCCCGCTGCCGCTTGCCACGCAGGTCACAGGCAAAGTGCCTGGGTTCCTCTGCCCAGCCCTAGGAAAAGGCCGGGAAGTGGCGACTCACAGGGTAAAGGAAGCCCCGGCTCCATGCTCAGGGCAGGGGTGGGGGGCACCAGCGGCCACATGGTGCCCCGAGGAAAGCAGGGCGTGTCCCGCCCATCCCGAGGCGTCTGACCCAGCACCCTGCTGCTTCGGGAGGCTCGGATGTCCGGCCTTCGGCAGGAGGGGCGCGGAGGCTGAGCTGCTCCTCCAAAGCGTCCTGGGCAGCGGGAGGAGGGAATGGGAGGAGGGAATGCCACAGGCGCGCCTGGCGGTCGCCTCCCGGCCCGCATGACAGGTCAGGTCGGTTGTGTCGGCTGCCTCTAGGGTGCGATGCGCAGCTGCTCCTGCAAGATGGCTGCAGCTTTGCCGGCGACATCAGAAACCCGGCTAGCTTAGCAACTGCTAGCTTCCCCCTTCGTTTTCCCCCCTTTCCACTCCCTGTGAGCTGGCGGCGGTGGCAGCCACGGCTGCTGCGTTGCATGCAGGCTCCCACAGGCGTTCCCGGCCTGTGCCTTTTTTTAAATTCATGTCAAGGGGATTCCTTTTTAAGGACACGGCTGCAGAGCCTAGCCACTGCATTTGCAGTAAGTGTCCCGAAGGATGCACGGTGAGGTGGCTCCGAGAGCACAACGCCCCCCGCCCCTGCCGAGGCGCCTCTCCCAAGGGGCGTGGGTGCTTGCCGGCTCGCAGTGGGAGGCCTCTGGCCACTCCAGCACGGTGGGTGCAGGGGGAGAGAGGCCCAGGCACCTTCCGATGCTGCGGAAGGACCGGGAGCTGCAGGACCAGCATTGAATGCGGTGTTGTAACTCTCAGTGGGTCTGACAGCCTCCCCCCGGGCACCCTCGACCGAGGCTGCTCTCTCCCCCAGCTGGTGCTGCTCTGCCTCACTTGGCTCCCGGGGGAAGCATGGCCCGCCGCTCTTGCAGCTCTGCAGAGAGTGCAGGAGCTGATGCCTCATATGCCTGGGGGGGCTCCCGGCCAGATCCGCGCTCCGCCTGCTGGAGCAGCCAAAATCAGCGATGCCATTCTGGTCGCCCCCCTCCCGTCTGCTTGGTCCTTTAAAAACCAAACCAAAGCAATCCTTTTGCGAGCGTTCCCGGCCTTGCATCCGGCAGGGTGGCGCATGCTGCCATTCGCAGGGGCTGCTGTGTCTCCCGGGGCGATGGCCACGGCACGAACGAGGCGTCCGGCGTGGTTCCGCACGGTGTTTTTTCGTGACAGGGGAAGCTAACCCAGTGTCGTCTTTTCTCCCCTCTCTGTCCGTTTCCTGTTGATGTTGACACACTCTTTTTGTTCCCCTTTTTTTGCCTCTGTGTGGCTCAGGTGGCTTCGGAGCTGCTCCAGTGTTTGGCAGCCCTCCCACTTTTGGGGGGTCCCCTGGGTTCGGAGGGGTGCCAGCATTCGGTTCAGCCCCAGCCTTTTCAAGCCCTCTGGGCTCGACGGGAGGCAAAGTCTTCGGCGAGGGGACGGCCGCGGCCAACACTGGAGGATTCGGGTAAGTCCGCACAGGGCCTCGTGGGGGCGGGGGGGCCCTGGAGTCTGCTTTTCTCTCATTCTGGAAATGACGCCCGCGATGAACTCGGTGCGGCGTGACCCAGACGTGGTTGCTGCACTGGCAGAGAGGTGGGCTTGGGTCTCGGGGGTCTAGCCCTCACGTTGAGGCTGTCCCTGAAGGGCTTGTCCCCACCTAGCAGGGCGATGGATAGGACCCCTGTGACTGTCGCTACGGCTTCTCTGGCCGTGAGCTTGCAAATGCCCCTCCTGCACTCACGCTAGTACTGTTACTCCTGCTAGCACTAGTACTGTTACTCACGGTATTCCTACCATCAGTATTACGATTGCTTCTGCTGTGATTTTATTAATCCTGCTATTACTGCCATCTGTGTTGTTACTTTTATGCTGCAGTTACTACTAACCCGTTTATTATTAATAATAACACTGCTACTATCACTTAGGTGCTTAATCCCGTCAGCAGGAATATTGCTGCCGCGGTTCGGGCTAACACTGATACTGCTACTGCCACGATCTCGTCGTGCAGCTGCTGTCATTTCTACCATCGGTACTTGTAGTAATGAAGCTCCCGCCATGCTTTTTACCACGGCTGTCATTTATTTACTGCCGGAGTCACATCATCCCCTCGGTGTGTGTGTCACTCTTGCTGGCCCGCCTCTGATTGCTGATAGCAGAGCAGGCCAGAAACATCTCTGAGGAATAAATGCAACCACAAGAGCAGCCGGCCGACACTAGAGAAAAACCACTGACTTCGAGAAAGCCAAAAGCAGTTCGAGAGAGCCCTGACTTCCCGTAATACACACACAGCATCTGACATGCCCTTGTCTCCAGTCCAACAGGCTTCGTAGGTTTTTGAAGCCACTCCCCTTAGAACCTGCCAAACCTATTTACCGGAGCCGAAGGTGAGATGGCTCGCCTCACCACGAGATGCAGCAGTCCCTCTCAACCCTCCTTTGAACTCTTTCACTAGCTCTTTGATGTTCTGTCTTCCAAAGCAGAGTGGATAAAAATCCATGGTTTTTTAAGTCGATTTTTAAAATTCTGACCAGGGTTTTCAATAATAACCAGGGTTCTCTTTAGTAACTAGTGACTAGCAACTAGTTCAGCTAAACTGGGCATGAGTATATTAGCCCTACAGCTGAACATTAACCGGAATCCGTGTCTTTGGCAGAGGCATGGATTCAAATGGGGCTTCTCTGTGTAGAGAGCTAATCTGTTCATTTCACAAGTAGAAGTATTGGCCCTCCCCCTGCCCAGAATGCGAGCACTTCCTTTTCACCTGCTCCAAGTAAACGATTCAAATTTGCCAAGTGACTATTTGGCATAATTAGGAAAAGAATCCAAAATTCCAGAATTTACTCCCAAGAGATGGAAGGGGCAGCCACCAAACTGGATGGCTTTGAATGGGCCACTTTGTGGAGAAGGCTGCGAACGGCTGGCTGCAGGCTACCTCTAGTTCCAGAAGTAGTGTGTCCCCATGTGCACCAGTTGCTGGGCATCATGGGTAGAGGGTTGCACTCCTGGCCTGCTGATGGGTCTCCTGGGGGCAGCGGAGGCCACACTATTACTAGAATGCCGGATGGGCCCTTAGCTGGATCCCACAGGCCCTTCTGACATTCCTTGATCGGGGTGGAGTCAGAGTTCTCAATTTGGCTTGCTTTCCCCCTTATTCTTCCACCAGAGTGAAGGCCAAGGCAGCTTCCTACCTTCCTCACAAACCGTCCCGTTGCTGGTCGGAACAGCAGCCCGCTGTGGAAGTACTTTGCAGGCACTGCCCCCCTGAAAGAAAGGCAGCTCACAAAACCGCGTGGCAAATAGAAGCAAGGCCCAGTGGCAAGAATGAAATAGCCACGTTAACATAGAAACAGCGTGAGTCGGAAGGGGTCTTCCGGGCCATCTAGTCTGACCCCCGGCTCCAGCCGGCTCTGCTCACGACATGCCCACCATGTTAACTGCAGTAGTACATGTGTGCATCGGGTCTCTGCCCTTTCTTCTTTCCTGCAAAGGAGCTCAAGGTTGCTTGGGCTGCCGCCTCCTTTCCATTTCACCCTCACAACGACCCTGTGAGGTAGGTTAGGCCGAGAATCAGTGACTGGCCCTAAGCCACCAAATGCGCTTCATGGCCAAGTGGGGACCAGAACCTGACTCTCCCCAGTCCCAGTCCAACACTGTTACCAGTATGCTGCATTGCCTCTCACAGTTTGGCAGCCGCATTTTGCCATGGCAGGAGTGTCACGAGAGCACGGGGGGGGGGGGTGAAGAGGTGACCCCCCAGAACAGGTGCCCGAATTGTTCCTTTGCTACTCTGAATCTTTCAGAGACCACGTGGCTTTCTGCTGTCTAGCTGCATTCGTCGAAATACAGCTGTGGGGAGCCAATTATCTCTGTTGCATCCCATCACCCTGGATTAGTTTTTGGTCTGTGTGTGCCTCACTTACTGCTGCCCCCGCCCTCGTCTCTTTCAGCCCAACTTTTTCTGACCTCCGAGGCCTCCCTTCTCCCCTGCTGCATGTGCCATGTTACAAATCAGGTGGCCCTTCGGAGGTAGGGCCCTTTCAAGGTGCAGACACAGGCTGTCGCACAGAATTAAATTAGGATGTGCCAATCCGTGCCCTTGTTCGCCCTTTTCAATACCTGGCAGCACCCTCGAACAGGAAGCCTGAGTTGCATCTGCGATTCAGATGCACCTTGCTTCAGTTTTTCTTGCTGGCCCTGAAACACCGCGATTTAAGCCCTCCCGCCCTCTCCCGAAGGCAGCCAAGCCTTGCGCATCCTTTCTGCCAAACCCAGCTGCGCTCTTGGGGCTCCCTGATTCCTCTGCAACCCACAGTCTGACGGATGCCGCCATCTCTGGCGATGAATCACCAGCAGGAAAACATTTGCTCTGCTCCTCCTCCGACTTTGACGCTTTTGTCCCCCCACCCCCGCCCCAAATGAGCAACACGCTGTTTATGTGTGTTCATTCGGGCATCCGTTAGACTGTATCCTGTGTGCCCAGCAGGTGGTTCCCTCAGCAAATGGTGAACAGGATGGAGTAATTTAAAAACACGCCCGCCCCTGAATAAAGCGCTTCTGAAAACATGTAATTCACCCACAATTAAAATCAATTGAGTGAAACAGAATCAGAAAAGGAAGACGGAAAGATCCAGGCTGCTGTCGCACGTGCTGGCATCTGCAGTGGCAGGGGCGGGAAGGCGAGGGTGCGTGCGGTCGCGGGGTGAGGTGCATCGGGGCGGGCGACCGCCGGCCTGTGGAGGGGTCCGGAGCTGCCCACCGGGGTCGGCCGAGGCCCCCACCACCTTCCCCCGCCACCAACCTCAGGCAAGGCTCACAACGGCTAGCTCAGTGGGGCGTTTGCGTTGGGCCTTCTCGGCGCTCTCCGTGGTGCTGAGCCACCCCAGCATCAAGGCTCAGCACCACGGAGAGTGCCAGGGGCTCTCCGGGGTGGTGTCCTGGCTCTTGTGCAGGTTTTTCCCCCGTCTGGAAGGCCGAGTGCTTCTCCGACGGCTGAGTCGCCGGCAGGGAGAGCTGCAGGCTGCACCACAGCTTTCTTGCTCTTGTCCCAGCTTGGCAGGCCCCAGACCGTCTCCCAAACTGAGTCGAGCCCTCTGGCTGAAGGGGGCTCAAGCCCCGGAGAAAAGACAGCTGGGACGGGACTGAGCCACGCTTGGCAGGCAGCGAGTGCGAGGCAGCCTGGCTGTTTGCTGGGGGCCGGTGGCCCTCCCCAGGGGAATGGCAGGATACCTCCCTAGATTACAGAAAGGGAGGAGAAAGATTTCAGGTAGCAGATTTGGGTGAAGGCCCCTGCTGAGGCTAACAGAGTGAGTGCAGGGCAATACGAGGTGGAGAAAATTAAGCAGGGAGCCCTTCCTTGCCCTCCGGCTGCCATGCAGGCTGAGGATTATGGGAGCTGTAGCCTGGCAGTTCTGGAGGTCAATGGGTGTGTGCTCACGCTTTCCTTGCTTGTGTGGGCTCCCCGGAAGCTTCTTACTTGAACACAGCAAGGAGCGGCCCCGGTGCAGTGGCGTTTTCCTTACGATCCGAGCAGGGCTGCTGCATCCTCACGTGACGTGTTCTCTTGCTCCCCGGCCCGCAGCTTCGGCGGCACCGCAAGCACGGCCTCGTTCGGCACCCTGGCGAGCCAGAACACTCCCACCTTCGGATCGCTGTCTCAACAGTCCACCGGCTTCGGCACACAGGGCAGCGGCTTCTCTGGCTTTGGGTCAAGCGGAGGAGGTACGAGACCCCGGCCAGGAAAGACGGGTGGTTTGGGGTGGCAGGGCACCCGCCCCACTTTCCGTGGGCCAAACAGGCAGGGAAGCAAAGCAGCTGGGCCACACCTGGCCTCGGACGAGCTCTGAAAGGTGCTGGAGCGAGAAAAATGCCCCGAAACCTGGCAGGGGGCCCTGGCATTTGTCCTGCCTTCGGGACGGGAGTTGGCTGGGGCTGCCCCAAAGCACATTCAGCATTTCCACCACCTCTCCTTGGAGGAGGGTGCGGGTGAGATTGAGGGCCTCAGTCTTGGGCTTGTGAAGCTGTGCCCCACAACTTGGTTGCAGCCTCCCCGAGTCTGATTTCCTGGAAATTCTCCAGCCGTCTTTTGGCAAGGGGGATCGAGAAGTAGGAAGTCAAGAAATGTTCAGGAAGGGGGGGCTGGTGTTCAGAGGGCCAGCCTCGCATGGTCCCTGCCATCTCCAGCTTCACCTCGGCCAGGCCCTATGTTCCAAAATTAAAGGTAGATCTCTGTTCCTGTGCTGGGTTTATTAGTCGTGGCTTCAGAGACGGGGCACCGCGACGCTTTGGAAATGCATGTCTTGTATGTAGTTTGCCGCTTAATCCTTTTAATTTTGCGTTTTTCCCCCGGCAGGCTTTGGCTTTGGATCGTCTAATGCGTAAGTCCCTCATCACTGTCTCATACATTCTGGGTGTGTTTTGCGGGTGCGCAGGAACGAGCTGCTGCCGGAGCAAACTATATTAAACATGGTAATCCTGCTTGAATTTTGAGTCAGCAGGAGAGGATTCCGCTTTTGTTCTCGCTCTCTTTTCTCCTTGTAAGAGCATTAACGAGGGGCTTAGGGCGATCGAGGCAGCAGCAAACCTCCTGCAGTGCCGACTTCTCCCCCCGAGCATTCCACTGGTGGTTTTTCCCCTCCCCGTTTTCTGCCCGTCCTGCACCGGCACTCGCCAGCACCAGTGCATGTGAGAAGCATTATCCCAGGAGCTAGTCTGGGACTCGGGGGACCCGGGTTCTGGCCCATGAAGCTCACTGCACGACTTCGCGTCATTCCTGGACTCTCGGCCTTGCCCACCTCACAGGGTTGTTGTTGTTAGGGTAGCATGGAGGCAAGGAGAGCACCAGCTTTCTTGCAAGAGGAAGAGAAGTGGAGTGTTAATACAATGATGGCCTTACTAATTAGTGGCCGCTCACGGGAAGAGACCTTTTCCTGCCATTTATGTGGTAGCCAGGCATCAGTGTGGAACCCAGAGAGGTCCGCCTGGCGCCGTCATTATTTGCTTTTCGGCACCAGGCGAAGACCTGTTTATTTAAAAGTTATTTTAGCTGTTAATTTATTATTATTGTATTTATAGATTTTAATAGCCGAGATGGTACCAGTTTTTAAATTATTAATTGTATTTTTTTGAATGTTGTGAGCCACCCCGAGGCTTTGTTGCGATGGGGGCGGCATAGAAATGTTTTAAATAAATAAATGAAAACCCCAGGCAATGTGGGGGGGTCAAATCCTGCCTGCTGAGGTTCCCTAGGTAGCCACCCCCGTTTGCCCACACCACCGACCGTTGCACATTTCCCAGCTTTCCTGTTGTGTGTCTCCTCCATCCCTCCACTTTCTCAAAGGTCGAGATGCCATTCCTGGGAATCTGTCACTGCTAGGGAAGGCTTTGGGTTCCAACCGGCTGGCGTTTTTCACCTCCCCTCTCCAGCCTCGCCCCTCGCCGAAACGCAGCCCCGGGGGCCTCTCTGAGGCACGGCGCAGCCTCCAGGCTCAAAGACCCTCGGCTGAGGCACAGCCCCTGCCGCGATTTCTCCTCGTGCCAGAGGTGAAGGGGCCGGGCTAGCAGGAGGATCTGTCTGCCACGGGCCGGGTCGCTGGGACCCTAAGCTGGGCCGTGGGACCCAGCCCGGCCTCTCTGCAGCACCACCTGCAGGCACTCCGCCTGGCCTGGCCAGAGGCGTCCCCCTCTCCCAGTGCGCCTGCCCAGGCAGCCTGCACAGGGGGCGGCCAAGAGTGCACAACGGAGCAGGTCCACCGCTCCTGCCTCTGGTCCAGACGATGCCGGCGGGCAGGGCTGTGGTGAGAAGCGCCGCGCCCTCTTGGTAGGCCACAGCCGGCATGCGCACCTCCACCTGACGCAAAGGCCCGCAGTCCCCCGGACGACCCTCACGTGCAGGCGAGGCGCAGAACGGAGGGCGTCCCGAGGCAGCGGCACTGCCAGCAAGGCCACGGGGGGGGGGGGGGGCAGCCGTCCGCACTGCTCCTCCCTGGCAGCGCCGGCCTGGCTCTCCCGGGGCTCCACTGGCAAAAGCCCCCGAGCCCACTCAGCGCCGGGCGCTCTCCCTTGGGCGGGGCTTCTGGCCCAGTCGCTTGGCCGTGGCTTGGCCCAAGGCAGGGCGGGCAACCCAAGAACCCTTCCTGTTATGTCCTACAGCTCCCATGATCCCTCCCCACCGGCTCCATTGGGTATTCCGGGGGGCGGGGGGGGACTGCAGACCAGCACAGGAGGAGGGCCTGCCTCCAGCCCCTCTGGCCTCCGTCGCTCCCCTGTGCTGGCAGAGGTCCTCTTGCCCTGACCAGCTGTCCTCCTGGCTTGTCTCTTTCAGATCCACCTCTGGGTTTAGCGGCTGGAGAAGCTGAAGGGCAGCTGAGCTGGTTTGCACAGCTGTGCGACCAACAGGAACGGCACGCGGACACCTGCAACAGTAAACCCTCGGGATTATTTTTTTTTAACTTTCCAGCCAACCTTCTCTGACTTCCTTTTTGTACAAAAGAAAAAGCACGCCTACAAAATGCCTATTTTTTTTAAAGGAGTGGTCTCTCCTCTTTAAATAAAATATTTTCTCTGTGACGGTGCCCTTGCCCTTCCAGGTTGTATGAGTGAGTTGTGGGAGCTCTTTCTGAGGGGCCTGGCATGTTGCCACTGGGGAGGGGGCCTGGGTGGGGGAGCGGTCCTTCCCTTGCTGCAGACCCCGTTGCACCGTTTCCATTTGGCAGGTGGGGGCGGTGACCACAAGCAGCTCTCTGTAGGCATCAGGCAAGTGGCGGTGGAGGTAGGTGAGCTGGCACAACATTTTGTGGTACATGGTCCACTCCAAAATACTAGAAGGGGGAGATTCGGCCGGCCGTGCACGCACGCACGCACACAAAGCCGCAAACCGCTGGAGCTTCACTCCGTTGAACGCCAACAGGGATGGAGGACTGTGAGCGGGTGGCTGATCAGGGACTTCAGGAGAAGAGAAGCAAGGCAAAAGAGTTGGAAAGAGGAAAGTAGAAGACAGAGACGGCCCAGGCTGGAAAATAAGGACTCTCTGCCGGAAGTTGGATGGGGGCAATGAGAAGCCAGCAGGCAGAGCAGCTGGGGAGAGTGAGAGCACGAAAAATGTGAGTAATCCACAGGCCAAGCCCGCTGAAGGCAGTGCCCACTTCCTCCATTTCCCCAGCTAGCCGAGCAGTCCTCCCAGCCGTGCTCCCTTCAGCTCGTCCTTGGGTGGTTGCCCACCTTCCATGCAGCTCCCCCCCCACACATTTGCAGTGGCTCTCAAGGTTTTGTTATGTTGTCCAGGGTGAGGAGGCTGGACTAGAGGAGTCTGTGCCCATTAGGGTTCTCACATAAGAATCCGGTGATTCTGCAGAGACTGTTCGGAGGCAGGCTGCATGTACAAAGAGCCACGAGCCCTTTTAGATCGGCTGTACCAGTGCAGAACACCTGGCTGCCCACTCCCCTCTTTCACATGGAAGAAACGGTTCCCATTTCATGCCCCGAGTGTAAGCCTATGAATAGTTTCCAAGGAATTCTTGGAACTCCTTTCAAGAGAAAATAGCTTCTAGTCCTCAGGATTTCAGAAAACCTGGAAAAGGATCCATGCTGAAAGGGAAGAGACATGGTTCATACAGGAGTGGAATCAGGCACAGTATTTTATGAATTAAGTGAATTTTATCCCAGGGCTGAGCCAAATGCAGGCTGAGGAAAGTGTGCTATGAGATTTTGAAGGCTGGACAATACAATGAATGCAAAGACGAATCTTTAAAATGCACTGTGTGGTCCCTCGGTTCGTTTGCAGGCGGGTTGCTGTGTAATCCTTTCACAGAAACAATAGCAGTCTTGCAACACCCTTCCAGAGTTTGCGTCTGCACTTCTTGAGATTGTCTTCTGTGGAGCATCTTGTCGATCATTGTGGGGTTGCAATGCATGATTTGGCATTTGGTGCTCAGGCTTCCCTTTGTGCTTCCTTTCTTGGCCGTGTTGCTTTTCTCCAAGTTTCATGAGTGTGTCTTGTGAATCAGGTTTGGAACAGAAAACTGCTTGCAGAAGAGTGTTTGAACACGCTTTGGAGTACAGAACACACGTGTGTTTCACTGCTTGGGTGCGTTAGCAAGCTAGCATTTCGTGACTGGTCACCCCCGCCGCCATAGCAGCCATTTTGTGAGGGTGCTCACAAAGGCATCCCCTTGCCAAAAGATGTTGGGCATCCCTGCCGTGTGAAGAGCGTCCCTTTGAAATTCAGGGCAGGTTTTCCACATGGAAGGAAAGTCACTGGAAACACAAAGGCAAGCAGAACAGGTGTGCAAAAGTGTGAGTGGACGAAAATATCTTGCCAGGTATTACTATACTTCATCAGTCCTCTCCCCCGCTCCTTATCATATAAATAGACACTGGCTCATTGCAGGTTCTTGACTCAAAATCCTCCACATGGCTCCTCCAACGCGTCGGCATGAACCAGCACCGGGCAAAGGACTGGGGGAGCGGTGCCCTCCGGATGCGGCTCGCGCCGTTTGCTCTGGGGGGTGGGCGAAGCTGTTTTCGTTCTGTGCAAGGCGTGTCAGGAGCCTTTTCCATCTCTCTCACACACACTCGTGCGTTTCTCTCACATACTCACATAGGCGCCCCACAGGGCTGTGGGACACAGCAAGTGCGCAACCCCCCCCCACTCTAGTTCCGGGTAAACCAAAGAGCCCCACATCTGCACAGTCGTAAGCGCATCACACTTCTCACCCAATTCGGAGCCCCGGTTTGCTCCCGGCACGCAGAACCCAGACACCGGTGGGCCGTTTCGCACCAGCGCTGCGCTCCAGCCACCGGAGGGGTGGCAAGCAGCTCCTGCACGTGCCCCGCAGGTACCTGACCTATGGGCAGAAACAGCCCCCCCCACGCCAACAAGGATCCCCAAAGGTGCACGCCCTCCCCCCTTTTTAGTTCTGGACCCTCCCCAGCTGAACCACATGGCATCCGAGGTGTGTGGTCCGGAATGACACCGCTCGGCATAGCGACGCCGGAGGCCGGGGAACAGCGCGTAGATCGAGTTTCTCGCTTTTATAGCTTCAAATGCGGCGGAGGCCGAAAGTCTCCGAAAAGCATTCCGCTCGGGCAGCTGCTCTGCGTTCGGCCTGGCCCGGGTCCCACTTTCAGCAAACAGGTGCTTCGGGGGGGCAGGCAGGGGTCGCTGCCACGCTGTGTCCCTGGCGCGCCGGACGGAGCAGGGCAAACCTGTCACCTGCGAGAGCCTCGCTCGGCAGCGGAATGGGGTCAAGCAGGCCACCGGCCGCCTCGCCCCAGAGAGGCCGGTGGGTCTCCAACTGAGCACCTCCTTCCTCCTGGCCCATCCCTTTCCCCTCAACCAGTGCTTGCTGGAAGGCATCGCATGCTTATGTTTTCAAAATGTAAATGTACAGGAAAAGGGGGAACGGAAGATTAGGGCTCTGCCGGGTGGAGACCCCCTTTTGTTTCTCTCCCCAGACAAGAATCAAACAAGAAGCGTTCTGTGCCCAGCGCACTGTCAGGACTTTGTTGGGTTCTTCCCACCCCGAAGATCGTCTGCCTTGGAATGTCCACAACCCTCGTGTGGCCTCCGTCTTCTGTGTGAAGGAGGCTGCTTTCATCTGCTCTTTGCCTCTGCTATTAATAATGCCGACAGCAAATCCTAGAGACGAGGCTTTGTGCTTCCACGGTGGAATTTTAGAATCTGATTCTGTGTTACTGAAGATCCCGCCGTTCTGTGGAAACAGACTCGTTTAGGGTCGAAGAGAGAGGGAGTGCAATTCCTGGAATCTCCGAGCACAGGACCCTTGTCTGGTTGAGCTCTATTTATAAAGCTGCAAAGAGGCTGAGAACTGCTGAGCGGAGTCGCCCTGTGCCTCCCCTCTTAGGAGCTGCTGACAGCTGCCCGATAGCTGGAAGGGAATCATTGCACCTCTCCCCCTCTGAAAAACACAGCAGCCTCCCCAGGGCCCTCTTCCACCAGATCTTTCCAAAGCATTACAACCTCTGAAGGCGGTCCGGAAACCTCCTTCAGACCTGCTTGCCCGGACCGGTCATTTCAAATACAGCACTGCAAGGCTGCCGAGAGGGCTTGATGGTTTCGAGGGCCCGGTCGGAGTGTGGGTGCTGACCCTAACTGCTTAGGGCCAGGTCCCTGAAGGACCCCCTTCTGCTCAGGTGCCAGGATCACCTTTTCAGGGTGCTGTCCTGCAGAATAGTGCCAATGGCTGGCTACCGAGGAAAGAGCCTTCTCTTTGGTGGCCCTGAAGTCTGTAGGATGCCGTTCCAGGCAGCTCTTCCTTACATCTGCTCCGTATCCATTTAGATGCCAGGTTAAGTCTTGCCCCTCAAATAAAATTACTGCCAGCTAGTACATATCTGTAGCACTTCAATCTTTGAATGCGTCAATATTTTCATCGACGTGCTTAATTTTTAGAATACCATTTTATAGTTTGGGATTTTAAAACTGGTTCCAAACCATTCCAAGTTCATCTGCCCATGGTGTGATGGACACATTTAATAGAGGATTAAGCAAACCCGTCTCGCTTGTGCTCGAAATGGCTTCTGTCAATCTCACCTCCCTAATCAGGAGAAACACGCAAGTGCAGCGCGCTGGGTGAAGAGTCGGCAGATGTGGGACCGACTGTGGCAGGCAGCAAGCAACCTCCTGAGCATGAGAGGAGAATGTGTGGAGAACTGAAGCCATAGCATGTGACTCTGGGAAATATCACGGGAGCTCCAGGAGCAACGGCCTTCAGTCCCATTCATTTCAATGGGTCTGCTCTAAGTAGGACTAACATGAGGCTGCTCCCCAAGTCGAAAAGAAAAAATATTCAAGTCGTTAAGGTTTAAATCAGTTCACTCTTTTTCCTGTGAGTAGTGGATTAAGGTATTGAATTGCCTGTGAACTAATTTGGGAACACTTCTGTGTGTGCTCTGAACCCAGACAAGCTAACAAGCCATGGTTTGTTAACCATGAACCACCCATGATAAGAACTTGTAGGGTTCTTCTCAGTTAACATGTGGTTTGGTCCAAGCATGGCCAGATTCAGACAGCATCACCCATATTTTGACAACAACTCACAACTCAGTGACAATGACATTCAGGCCCCAAGCATTGGGTTAGCATGTTCTCTGAACTCTGGGAGAGGCAGGCCCATGCACATCCAGAAGCCACTCTGAGCCCCTACGAAGCATAAAGACTGCGATTAAAACGGTTCCTTCTGTATTTTCCTCCCTACAGCGCTGCGCCAGCGGTGGCCACAGATCCATCTGGAGGGAGGTGCCTTTAATGCAGCTGCCAGCTGCCTGCCGGAAAGCTCCCAGGGAGGACGCAAAGCCGCACCCGGGGCTGTCGCACAAGCTCCCACGCCTTGTGGGATTGCGTGCGCAAAACCACCCCATGCAAAGGAAGCGTGGCACAGGAAGCCAGGGAGTCCCCGCTCCCACTGCCAGTCTTGGTTCCGGAGCACAGGACTCCGGCGGGCCCATCAGCCACAGCCACATGTGGCAAAGCCGCTGGTGCTGCCATTTACATCCTCTGCTGTCCTGGCCAGGTGTTCCGAAACATCACAGGGATGAAACGGGGCCGG